GCCTCAGATTATTGTCCCAGAAGGGCCGTGTGTGCTCTTTGCAGCTGTGCTGTGGGAATCATCCTCCTATCCTCCGTGTGTGTGTGTGTGTGTGTGTGTGTGTGTGTGTGCACGCATTGTGCTCCAAAATGTTGACTGTGAGGACCATCAGGAGATTTACACTCCTGGCTGCAGGATGTCTGGGACTGGCCACAACAGGGGCACTGCTGGGTCAGCCCCAGTGCTATATGGATTGGGGGCACTCTGGCATTGCTGTCTGTGTTGTGATGCAGGGAGCACATCATTGTGAGCTCATTGGCTCCTTCCATGTTTCGGTGGCATCTGAACATCGCCCATTTGGCTTTGCCCACAAAACAGTGGGTTGTGTTTCCAGGGCTGCTGAGGTGTGTGTGTGTCATTTTTTAACCCTACCATGGGATTTCATGTATCTTTGCTTTCCCTTCCCCTCCTAAGCTGAACATGTACAGAGCTCAGTAGCCATTCTGCCGGCATATCAGTGGAATCTCTCTTCCTCCCACTGGCACAAGTTTCCTTTGTCATACAGGTCTCTAATACTCCCCACACTCTGGGTTGGACAAATTCCCATGCCAAACCACATTTGCTCACCTCTCCCCGAACAAACTATCCATTGTTCACCCTCTTATTCCCTTTTGCATGAAATGTTTTGGTTCAATGCTGCAGATGAGTGTGTGTAGTGTGTGTGTGTGTGTGTGTGTGTGTGTATGTATGCAAACACATGCACAGCTACACAGACAAATTGCAGTGGAACTGATGGAATGGAAGATGGAGTCTGGAACTGCCATTTAACACGTTGGCTCTTCTCTGAGCCACAGACTTTTAAGTGCATCAGAATCTCACTCAGGTTAGGATATGACAAGCCTTATTTACTTTCTGTCTGCACGACTACACTGGCTCTTTACAGATCTCTCAGTAGTAACTGATTAGGGTAGATGCACACCATACATTTAAAGCACATTTATTGCGCCTTTAAAGCTCACAGCTCTCTCCAAAGAATATTGGGAACTGTAGTTTGTTAAGGGTGCCAGGAATGCCAGGATTATTTGGGAGAGTTCATGCTCTTTAAATGTGCATTGAATGTGATTTAAATGTAGGGTGTGGATCTGCCCTCAATGTTGCATTTGTTCTTATATTTCCTGCTGGTGATGGCTCTCCTACCACTCCTTGCTTGAGGGAGAAAGAAATTAAAGGGAAAGCAGGCTTTGACAGCTTGCTTCTTTCCTGCTGGGTGGCTGGTTCCTTGTGCAGCTTGAATGGGAGGGTATCTCAGCCTTGAGGCTGGTCTTGAGCCAGTGGGTTTCATGACCCACAGCAATGAGGATGCAAAGTTACCCAGAGCTGGTCATGCTACTGGTACCAAGGCCATCTCAGGAGAAAGAGAAGAGAGAAGAGAAAAGATTGGTGAGAGAAGAAAGACAAGGAGGAGAGGAAAGAGACTGCAGGAGAGATGTACAGCATGATCCAATGGATGTTTACTCAGAAGTCATGTTGAGTTCAAGGTGACTTACACCCATACAGGTGTGTGTACGGTGGCAACCTTGGATAATGATAAAAATAATAAATAATGTCATCAGTTTGTGTCTTGTTGCATATGGGTGCTTAATTATGGTATTCACTCTCTTACATTGAAAAGTTCATAGCAGGCTAATCATGTTGTTGTTGTTGTTAATAATAATAATAATAATAATAATAATAATAGAATCATTCTTTCAAAGTGCCCAAAGCCCTTCATATGAAATATCTAGTTGTCCACCTTACAGAACAACCTTGTATGATAAGTCTGAATTATTATCCCTTAATATTGCAGAAATGAGGACCATGAGACGGTGCCTAGACGGGCGATGTATAAATAATAAATTATTATTATTATTATTATGACAGAGGTAAGATCTGAACCAGGGACTTCCTGGTCCACAGCTCAATTTATTACCTGCTACACTATACCAGCTCTTGTGTGGTTCCTAGGCAATATCTTGTTGAGGTGATTTATGAAGCCAGACTTCTTTATCTTCAACAGTAGACCTACCTCATGCGCTTTTAAGACCAGATCTTGGACCTCAGAATGTTAAAGGTCTACCTCTGCTCTTGCGTCCAAGAGGCAAGGAGTTCAAGTTCAAGTTGAGTCTGAAGCAGGAAATAAATAATCAGTGCTGGATAAAGCAGAATTAGCCAAACTCATCAGTGAAATATTGATCATAGGGGAAATTTAGGTCAGGCAATGGTGGGACTCGTGGGAGGCATTTCAGTGGCTACTAAACCACTTCAATTGTGATAAATCAACAGTACAGACACACACTATCATTCAAAAAATCTGGGGTGGGGAAGGAAAGAGCTGGAGTTGTACTAGAAATTACAGGGGGAAAAACATTTCCCTCTCTTCCTCTGTTCTGTCACCCTTGAGCTAAAAGAGCATTCTTTCCATTCTTTAAGGTGTAACTGCTGTGCAGCTGCTCAGCTATAACTAATGGCACAATGTAATGATTTCAGACGGGCAGACCTTGGCATGTTGTACTTGCTTCTGTAAACAGCCAGCCGTCTTTTACGAGCAGATATTGGGATAAACAGCTTCATGTCTGAGCTGGTATGAAGTGAGTAAGACAGCAAGGTAGTTCAGTCCCCAGGGGGCGCTCTTCTCTCAGGTTCCACTGAGTTCAGTCCAGCTTTCCCCCAGGTAAGCATGGGCAGAATTGTAGCCAATGTGAGAAGAATCCAGAGGACTTTAGCAACAATAGCATGGGTCGAGATAATGTTGAAGTGACCCTGAGATGGGATGGTAGCACAGAGACTTGCTGGGGATGTCGGCTAGATTTGGGGTGGGTAAGTCAGGGACCCGGCATTCCTTGTTCTTTGAAACTGCATCCAAATCTCCTTCGGTTCTCATCCGCTTAGTGAGGGGAAATTTGTGCAAAACAATTGCTTTCAAAGGGAATGCTGGAACTATGATGACACAGAAGCAAAAATACTAATTCTAATACAGTGGTACCTTGGGTTAAGAACTTCATTCGTTCTGGAGGTCTGTTCTTAACCTGAAACTGTTCTTAACCTGAAGCACCACTTTAGCTAATAGGGCCTCCCGCTGCTGCTGCGCCGCCGGTGTGCAATTTCTGTTCTCATCCTGAAGCAAAGTTCTTAACCAGAGGTAATATTTCTGGGTTAGCGGAGTCTGTAACCTGAAGTGTATGTAACCTGAAGCGTATGTAACCCAAGGTACCACTGTAATACTAATAATAAAGTTTCTGCATTCAAATAATGTAATCACCAACCTTTTTCCTACCAAGGCCTTAGCAAAGCATGGAAGATGGCTTTCTCCATTTACTGGAGGAATGGTGACTTATCCTAAAGTTTGTAAATACACCTGTGAGAGAGACCCTAGAAACCAGACTCAGTCACTCTGGAGAGCTCTGCAGTTTGCTTTGACTGCCTTCACATAATGATTAACAGTGGGGAGCTTTGCAACTGCATTCCCTTACTGAAGTAATGCCAGACTTTGCCCTGCATATGAGGGCCTCTGCTTTTTGGATTCAACCGGTGGAGTACATGAGGCTGTTGCCAAAGGAAGCAGAACATCTGGGTTCACGTATCTACAATGTCAAACCCCAACTTGCTATAGTTCTGCATACTTTTGTTACATCCAGGTTAGGCTACTGTAATATGGTCAATAGGAAGCTGCCTGTGAAAACTGTTCAGAAATTTCCAGCGGTGTAGAAGTCTGTTTTTGTGATCGTATCAGAATTGTACCAACAGGAATTGTCTCTCAGTTGGCATCTGGGCTGAATTCAAAGCGCTAAATCTCAAATGATTTGGGGCCTCAGAACTGAAGGGCAATTGAGGTTCTACAGAGGAAGTGAAAGGTGAGATATTGTAATGAGTAAAATGTAAAATCCTTGGCCTAAGACGAAGGTGGGGAACATGAGGCCTTTCTGAAGTTGGTGGATTGCCAGCTCCCATCAGCCCCAGACAGCACAGCTAATAGCCAAGGGAATGATGGGAGTTTGAGTCCAGCAACATTTGAGGGGGGGGTGCTCACATGTTCAACGGATTTACCCCAAATGGGAGTTATGGGATTATGGTTTAAATCTCACCTGGTATCATGGCTGTCTGATGCCAACTAAAAGTATATCAGAAGACTGCTACATATGCTACATTAAATGTTTCTGTATAGGAAAATATGACACATTATTGCTTGTACTGATTGCATGTATTTCTAGGTACTGGTGGAGAAATTGGCACCAAAGGCATTAATTTAGTGTGCATGCAGCAAAATGCACACGATGGTACATGCAGATGGCATTTTATTTCCTATGTAAAAAAAAAAAGCGTAAAATTGTAAGTCATTGAAAATTTGGGCTTACCTCCATCCACCACATCCATCATCATCTGTGCCAGGGCTCAGCCCTGGAACAAGTGAGGGAGAGGCAATATTGATCAGTGCTTCTGAGCCTGGGTAGAGTAGTCAAATGGCCACTACTTAACCCTACACACCTGGAACTAGGAAGAAGCACGTCTAAGCACGTCTGTCTAACTCTGTTGGGGACCCTGATAGACCACAACTAACTAGACAGTTTAGGGATGCATTGATGCATCCAGTGCTGCTGAAATGTCCTTATAAGCAACTGCTCAGCTTATTAGAAAATGTGTGATATTCTTTTGTTGTAGCATAGTGGAAGAAATTGCTATCAGAGGGTATAGTGAAAGAGCTTTGAACATGTGCATGTAACATTTTCAGGTCTGATTTACCTGCTTGAGTGTATGTGTAGATCAGAGCTTTCCAAACTGTGTGTCACGACACGTTTGTGTGTTGGCTGCAGTGTGTAGGTGTGCAGCGCAAATGCTCCCCTCACACCTCCCTGGTCTGGAAAGGGGTTAGTTCAACCTCTGGTTTGCTAGGAAAATTGAATGACTGTGTCCCAAAATGATGCATGTCTAAAAAGTGTGTCACCAACATGAAAAGTTTGGAAAGCTCTGCTGTAGATAGATCTTAGCTTGTGTATTCATTATCTTGCTCCACATCACACATCTAAATAAAGGCACTCCTCCTCCACTCCTTCTTCCTCTCCACCATCTTGCCTGGACCTCAGTGGGGCCTAGCAACCCACCCTGATTATCGCAGGATAACAGTGATCAACTACTCAATGTTTAAAATGTTTTCTGAATGAGAAATGTACTTTGAGAACTACCACAATCCTTTTGGGTAGTGTTTCATTTTTGTTTGGGACTGAGGGTATGTTTTCCAGATGTCTTTATTTTATAGGACATTCCAGATGTTAGAATTCTAATGCTCCAAAGTGCAATCCATTCAACGTTCTGTGTATTACCATGGAAATGATACCCAATACCACCAGATCAGCTCTACTGGGACACAGAGAACAAGCACATAGGGTCAACCCACGGAGTCTTGTTTCTTTCATTATTTGATCCTTGAATCTCTGAGTATTAACTCAGATTTTGCCCCATAGAACTAGTTACTTTGTTAAAATTAGTATTATGAAAATATTGGATTGTAGGGGGGAAAGCCTTATTTTAAATGAAGGTCAGTTGGATCTTGGCAGCACATCTGGCCCTATATTTACTTAGAAATAAGCTCAAATTGCACCAGAACTTGGATTGCATGCAGTAGAACAACCCTCTTAGACTGAAGCCAGCTGGTTGAGAGAGCACTTTTAAGCCAGGGATGAGGCATTTTGGCCTTCCAGGTGTAACTAGGCCACAACTCCCAGCATCCCTGATGGTTGGCTATGCTGGCTGGTGTTGATGGGAGTTGTGGCCCAACAACATCTAGAGGGTCACAGGTTCCCTACCGCTGCCCATGCATTCTGCTTAGAGCTCCCTCTTCAAAGACACGAAGGCTGAAATGTGAGGGCGATCTGGCTGCGACATCTGTCACCCCATTGATTGCCCGGGTTAATTCGGCTGATCTGGCCGGCTAGGCGGGTGTCCCCTCCCTCCCTCACCACTCCATGTGCTTCTCTCCCAAAGCTGCACACTCGGTGGAAGAGGATGACCATCCCAGATAGAAGGAGTGTACTGTTCTTCGGTCAAGTGTACAGTATACAATAGCTGTGCTCCCCTGCATAGAACCTCCAAGCAAGACCATGTCCCCTTTTGAGATGGATCCACTATTAAGAGCTAAAGAGCTGAACTGGGCCAGAGCAAGGGTCCGTCTGGCCCAGTATCCTGTTTCCAACAGTGGCCAGTAAGCCAGATGCTTCTAGGAAGCAGGGCAATCAAGTTAGTGGTTCTTCTTCACTGTTTGCTTTCCTTGCACCTAACACTGAGAGGCATATTGTGCCTGAAGGTCGAGGTTCAATTTAGGTGGCAGAGCTAATAGCTGGTTTTAGGCTAATCCTTCTTCACGAGTTGGTCTACTCCTTTTACAAAGTCACCTAAGTGCCAGACAAGTTCTGATGGTAGCAGATTCCATGTGTAGAATTAGGATTGCCACCAACTCCCTATAAATCCTGGGGTAGACTGGGTGATTTCAAGTATAGCATTGGTGGGAAAATAGGAACTAAACCCAGCCACGTCCCACTCACCCTTAACAAAAATGTTTCTTCTGTTCAAGCAACCTCAGCCAGGAGAAAACTAAATGGGGCACAGAGAGGATGAGGGGTCTGCTCCTTTTTCTGCATAGCTGTCAACTTTCAGATTTGAAAATAAGGGATCAGCAGCCTCGAAAATAAGGGATCAGCAGCCTCACCTGTCCTGGGGACAGTCTACGGGATATTTAACAATCTGGGATAGCAGCGGGAAACGGTGCTGGAATAAGGGTATTTCAACAAAAAGGGAAGGTTGACAGCTATGTTTTTTTGGTATGCTGTGTTTTACATCTCCTCCCTCTTCAGAGGAATCCGTAAGATACAGACAGAGTCCTGCAGTCAGCATCATGTCTGGCTGCACCAAAAGCAGTAGCCTGCCATCATGAGAATATTCATGCTGAATCAGGCCGAGGCTCGTTTAGTATAGCGTCCCATTGTCATTGTGGCCAACCAGGTTCCTGTGGCAAACCATTGCAAGAACATGAAGCATATCAGCACTCTCTCCACTTTAAAAAAAAAGTTTTTATTAAAGGTTTTCTTGGGTTACAAAAGTATTTACAGTGTCTCTGTTTTCCATTCATAGAATCTTTTCTACAGATCAGTTATACTTGATGTGAGACACTAATGTTATAGGCACTCTTCCCCATTTGTGATCACCAACAAATGGTATTCTGAGGCATCCTGCCTCTGACAGAGGAGGGGGGACATTCTAGTGAGTTGCCATTGGCAGTGTTATCCTCAATGAATTTCTAGTGTGCCTTTAAAGCCAGCTTTGGGGAGTCAATTCCAAAAAAATTATTTATCTGAATCTACTCCCAGTTTCATTGGGTAACCCAAGTTCTAGTCTTAGAGGAAAAAGAAAAATTTATTTCCTCCATTTATAATTTTATACACTTTTATCATTTTCCCCTTCTTCTAAACCAAAGCACTCCAAAACGTTTAGCCTTTCCTTGGAGTGAATGTGCTCCAACGCACTTGGGTGAACCTTCTTCTAAATTATTATTTTAAAAACATCCTTGTTGGGAAGGGCGGGAGAGAATCAGAACTGGGCTTAAGTTAATTCCGGGCAGGGGACAGCAAGAAGAATTTGCAGAGCCGGACACGCACCACGTACTACTTGAATAAATGAGAATTTGCGGGAAGGGGCCAGCGCGGGAGGCCACCTCACTTTCCCCGCGCCCAGTGGGAGGGTCATGCCTGCCTCCCAACATGGTGGAGGTGTGCATGGGAAGGAGGGCGGGCGCGCGCGCGCTTGCTTGCTTGCTCCAGCCGCGGCTGCGGCTCCTTTGTGTCTCTCCCTCTGCCGGAGAAAAGGGTTGGGGCGCTCGCTTGCAGCCTAGGCAAAGAGGAAGCGTTATGCCAGGAGGAAAGGGTTGGGGGGAGAGAGGGAGGGAGGGAGCAGGAGGAATCCCAGCCTCCTCTTTGCCGCGTGTGTTTGTAAGTAAGATCAATGGAGCTGCAGGCTCCCCCCACCAGCGCCAGGCGGCCTGCTTACTGCAAGGCGCGCACGCGCCCCACCCACCCCGGGCTGCAGCTCCATTCCACCCAACCCTCTTACACCGCCTGCTCCTCCTCCCCCCCCCCACCGCGCACCCGGGGCAATTACCTGTCTGCAAGCCCCGCCCCCGCGCTGATTGACGGCCCGGATCACGTGGGGGAGGGAAGAGGAGCAGGAGGAGGACGCCGGGGCGGGCGCTCGCACCTGGAGCTGGAGGGGAGGGAAAACCGGACGGGGATGCGCTCGGCTGGGGCCGCCGCTACCGCCACCGCCACCAGCTCGTTCTGCGCCGCCGCAGGCCGAACCCAGCTCCTGCGCCCGGTGGAGGGGCCATGGTGGCTGCTGCCCCTGCTGCAGCCGCGGCCATGAGGAAAAGCTTCCTGGTCCCCGAGATCAAGCCCTTGGATCAGTATGACTTCCCTCGGGCGCGCAGCGCCGCCAGCCTGGCCTGGGTGCTCGCCAAGGGCTACGGGGGTGCAGGTACGGCGGGAGCCCCGCGCGGGGAAGGGAGCGGGCAGCCCGTTGGCGGGGTCGGGGTTTCTTTCCCTTCCTGATCTCCCTTCCGAGGAGGAGGGGCGGGATCTCCAGTGGCTGCGTGTGAGTTAAGGAGAGAGGAAGCCGTGATTCCCGTCCCCCCCTCCCGCCTTCGACCCGATCTCGCCGTCCCTGGCGGGCTCCTGGGTTTGTGTTTCTTCTGCCTGCTCCTCCCCGGCTAGGATAATATGTCCGCCTCCCCATCGCGCTCGGCTCCGTGGGATGCCCTACCTGCTATAGCACCCGGGGAGGGATGGGATGGGGTGGGCTGCCTTGGCAACCAGCCCTGCTGCTTCCATCCCACCCTTTCAGCGCTAACAATGGGCTCCGCTCGGTCGCCGCCTTCTCGACTAGATAGCCCGGGTGGGGCTGAGGTGGAGGGGGGAGCGACTCGAGTCTGCTCCTTTCTTCCTGGCGAGGGTCGCCTAATGTCTCTCCCCACGCAGGTGCCGGGCTTCCCCAGGTGTGGACAGAGCTGTGATTAGGAGAGGGGAATTGGCGTCTGGGCTGGGAGGGCGCCTTTTCTGTAGGTCGAAGTGGGGCGTGTGAGGGGAGGGGGAGGCTGCCATGATAGCGGAGGGGTGGGTGGGTAGGTGTTCTGCCATGTCTGCTGCAGCTCATTTGCTAAGAGCAGCCCTGGGTAAGCCTCAGCCCCCCCCCTTCACTAAGCTCAATTCCTCCCTGGCTTTTTGTGTTGCCTTTTGTTAACAGTGTTGGCAGCACCTGCATGACTAGCATACTGTTAGGTGAGATCAGAGCTGAAACATGCTCTTCCCTGGGGTCCAGCTGGTCTGCGGAGCCTGAGGGTGTCAGTGCCGCCCCACCCTGCTTAGTGACAGCATTCATTTGCAGAAGCCGAGAGCAGGGCGCTGCTGTTGGTGTTTACCTTTGCTAAGTGGCATTATTTTGTGGCGTTAAATTCCTCCAGGGGAAGCCCTGCCAATGGGTGCCACCAGAACGGCCCCAGCTGTGGAGCTGTATTCTGAGGCTAAGCTGTGGCAGCTGGAAGGCAGGGGGGAGAGAGAGATGGGAGGTAACTAGAAAGGCTTCTGTGCTTGTACTTGATCCTCTGGTTTTGCCATCTCGGTAAGGACTACTCAAGGACCACTTTGCATCTTTAGCTTGGTCCTCTTCAGCTCCTTGGCAGTTCTGGGCCCAGGACTGTGCTCCTTTCCTTGGCAACCCTGGGCTCTCCCCGCTGTTCCCTTTGTCTCTGCCAGGCCTGGAATTAATGTTCTGTGAGGATTTGCAGATTGGCGTTGCTTTCATGCATGATGGAGGAGGAGGAGGGGAGGGGGGAGCAGACAATCCCTAGTGGGGGATTGACCTTCTTGCTGTTGCTTCATAGAAGTGTGTGCTCTTTGTCGCTGCTCTGGTGCCCCCGCTAACCCAGATCCCTCTCCTGGCTTCGCCCTCTCTGCTGCCAAAAGGGTGGTGGGCCAGCCTGTGCGCTTTGTGTTCATTGAGAAGCCATGCTTCCTTCGCGTTGCTCCACAACTGTCAGACTTGTAAGGATTTGCAGAGTAGGGGGGGAGTGTTCTATGGATGAAGTAGCCTAAGCACGACTTACATGGCAAGGTGGAGGTGTGGGTAAGTGAGACGGCCCTTGACAGTGGCTTCTAAAGGTATAAGGAGCTTCATGTTGCTGGCATACCTGTAGGCAGAAGGCTACCAGCTAGTGTGTGACAGGCCTTCCTCATTGTGTATGGGCTGCTATGGGGAGGGGAGGAGAGGATGACGACAACGGGTGTTCCTCTGAGGCTGTTGACCTGAAAGTAACATAATAGGGTTTGAAGCCTGCTGGTCCACAGCCAGCTCTGGAGCTGGGAGCAACAGGAATGGCTTGCAAGGTTGTGTGACAATGAATAACCAGAGTCTCTCTCCCTCCCTCCCGCAACTGAGGGCCTTTCTGCCCAGAAGCTGTTTTCTTCTTAGAGACTAAATGTACCCTGCTTCTGGGCTGAGGTGGGAACCACCATTCCGTGAAGCAACAGGAGGACAGTGAATTGCTGTGCTTGGTGGATGTTGAAGTGCCTTGTGTGTGTGTTTCTGTGTGTGTATTCACAGGCATGTATTTGGATGACCAGTTCTCTCATTTGGAGTTAGTGTAAATATAGGATCTGGTCAAGCCCAAGCGAGAACAGGTTCCCCTTGTCCCTGCCCTTCCTTGTCACCCCGATGACACACCAAACAGTACACTTTGGTGGTGGAAAGGAGAGAGCCTTGTCATTTGCCTTGGATGGAGGCCAGGGCGATCAGCCTTGCTCAGCCAGTGCTGGGTTCAAAGTCTAGTGAAGTGTGTCGAGAATGTGCTTGCTAGGGTTTGCCATAGTTTTCCGAATAGAGCCTGAAAACCCATTCGGCCTGCAAGGCAAGCCTTTATGGAAGCGGCACCTGCTTACCTCACGTCAGAAAATGCACATGGCACTGCTTAGCATCTGCTCCTGAAATAAGCTACTGGTCATGGTGGGAGTCATCATTCGGCTTCAAGCCAGGGATTTTTTGCGACTGCTATATGATCTAAAGGAACAGTGTGGGGGCTGTAGAAAGTTAATGTGAAATGGCAAAGAAATACATGGAAGTGGCTTTTTCAAGTTTTACACGACAAAATTTTAAGTAATTTCAGTATGCATTTGAAAATAAAGATCTGCAAGTGAAACTGAGTGCCAGCTTGCTTTACTAGACACACTGCTGCCTGCACTTATTTCTTCACCAATAAGTAAAAGAGCCAGATGCTTTTAATTTACTGAAAGCCAAATGAGGAAGGGACTTGGAATTCCCTCAGCCCAACCTGTAGCTACAGGGCCTATGACCCAATGCTACGTATTACTCAGCTGATACATCCGGCAACTGGTCCCTTTCCCATAACTGGGTCAGGAACTGGCTAACCTCTGCCAGGTGTCCTGATTGGCATTGCTGTGTTTGTTGCACACCCAAAGCAGTTGCTAGTAATTATGTGCAATGTTGTAGCACCCTGAGGTTAATTCCCTATATTACTTGTGATCCCCTTTGTGTTCGTTCACAAACTGGGGTAATCCCCACCCTCAAGGGTTTGTGGCAACGGGTGGGGCAGGAAATGGAGGAGGAGTGGGAGTGACCAGAGTGAGGCTCACCAGCTGAGATAGGTGTACACACGCAAATGGCGCTGTGGTCTAGACCACTGAGCTTCTTGGGCTTGCCGATCGGAAGGTCAGCGGTTCGAATCCCTGTGACGGGGTGAGCTCCCGTTGCTCTGTCCCAGCTTCTGCCAACCTAGCAGTTCGAAAGCATACCAGTGCAAGTAGATAAATAGGTACCGCTGCGGCGGGAAGGTAAACAGCATTTCCATGTGCTCTGGCACTTGTCATGGTCCTCCGTGTGCCAGAAGTGGTTTAGTCATGCTGGTAATATGACCCAGAAAGCACCGATACGACCCACAAACATCGGCTCCCTTGGCCTGAAAAGTGAGATGAGTGCCACACCCCATGGTTGCCTTTGACTGGACTCGACCGTCTAGGGGTCCTTTACCTTACCTTTACACACCTATTGCTTGGCTAGTGGGATGGGTCATAGCTCAGCGACAGAAGCATCTGCTTTGCATGTAAAAGATCCTGTGTTCAATCCCTGGTATATCAATGTAGGACTGGGAGAGATTGCTGCCCAAAGTTCTGGAGAGCTGTTGCCAGTCAGTGTAGAGAATACTGAGCTAGATGGACCAATGGTCTGACTCAGTATAAGGCACATTTCTATGTTCCTGGTAATCCAGTTAGGAGGACTGAGCCCTGCTCTCCCATTAACCGCTGATTCAGTTTCACTTGCCGTTCTGTAGGTTAAACAGGTGTGGCTGTCTGGATATTGACTCCTGTCTCACCTTCGCCCAGTGGCAAGTTCTTCCTCCACCAAAGACACCAAGAATAAAGCAAGATCTCAACTCATGGGCAGCTTATCCTTGCATTGCTCCCTCAGCCAAACTGTACCCTGGTCTGTAGTGCAGGCATACGAAATGAAATGTTGCCCCTTTTCCCCAAATGGCAATTTATATACAAATCAAACCCAGCCAGTTTCACCCAGTCCTGAGCCATAGCGGATGCTTTTTGCACTTTAGCAAAACTACCTGGAGTCTTCTTGAAACCACAGAACGGAAGGCCTAAAATGTGATACACAAAGCCCAGTATGGGAGAAGAAAACATTTATGGCAGCGGGATGGAAGATGCATGGGTACAGCAGTGCTCTGTACTTCAGTGTCCTAGGTACATGAATGCTTTCTGCCCCCCTAGAAAGGCACCTGAGGCTTGGATCATCTAGTTTAACTCAGTCCTAGGACGGGGCTCCTCCTGCCTGTTGCTAGTCAGACAAGATGTTTCAGAGACCAGCCTGGGCAGCTTGCTCTGCTGTCCATTGTTCTGTGAATCCATTTTGCGGCAACTGGGACCCATGGCTATTTATCATTCCTGGTTCTGGTGAATGGTGGCTGTACCTATTCTTCGGGTAGTTCTCAATGTTTTATTCCTAGTATATGGCATTTGGGACTGCAGAGCTCTTGAGTTCAAGGCCCCACTTGGCTTTGGGGAAATCATCATCATGTATCAGCCTAACAAACCTGATGCAATTATGGTGAGGATAAAATGGGTGAATCCATGAACATTGCTTTGTGCTTCTTTTGGGAGGAGACATGGCTTAGAAATGCAGATAAGTAAGTGACATATAGATGTCTTATATCAGGCACCCCCAAACTTGGCCCTCCAGCTGTTTTGGGATTACAACTCCCATCATCCCTAGCTAACAGGACCAGTGGTCAGGGATGATGGGAGTTGTAGTCCCAAGCTAGAGGGCCGAGTTTGGGGATGTCTGTCTTATATGAAAAAAGGACAGGATAAAAACCTTCCTTTTCCACCTGTAAAATGATTGTCGTCTTTAGCCTTTCTATATATATTATTTTGCTAGCCCTTCAAAACATTCCTCTGAATCTTGCCCTCGTGTTCCTAGAAGGTAATCTCTAAGTAGAACCTTTTACTACTTCTTTGTGGTTTGCTTCAGTGAGTGAAGCTATGTTTTTTAAAACAACAACACCTCATTGCCAATTCCTATTTAGTTTATGTTGATTCAAAAGTCTAAGTCCTCCTTTTGATTCTTTGAGTGCCTTGCTTGTTCCTTGATTTTGTAAAGCTACTTTGGAGCTGTGTGCAATTACTAGAGGCCCTGGATGGGGGCGGTGCCTTGTCTTCAGTATAAAATATCAACCTTATTTATTTAATTTGTCACTTTTTTCACAGAAGTGACTCAAAGCAACTTACAAAAAACAACATTAAAACCAAGCATTAAAAAACCCAACCAAGAATGAAATAGGAACCGATCCAGAAAATGGTCCACTGATGTTATTTTACTGCTTGCACTTCAATTAGTCAAGGACACTTGTTTTAATCCTGCCCTGTGTGGCGTCCCAAATTCCTTTGAACTTTTACATTATCTACAAAGTTGAACATATTACCTGTTTCTGCGAGTAATGAAAATGCTGAATAGCACTACCTCCTAGGAGATAACTCCTTTTGGACATCACACAACAACGCCTCCAGGCTCCCCCCCCCACATACTTTTTAATGCCTTATTGGTTGTTCTTGTGCAGCTTGAAAGAATAAGGGTTGCTTTCCTCATGGTAGTGCCCTCTGATCCACCTGCCAAAGAATATTCCACCTGCCAAAGAATGTGTGGAACCTTCTCCTAGAGACTAACCTACTACAGAGTGACATTGATGGGGCAAGGCCATGCCTCAGTGCTAAAGCATTTGCCTTGAGCACAGAAGGCCCCAGGTTCAATTCCCAGCAAATCCAGGTAGGGCTGGGAGGGACTCCCTGCCTGAAACCCTGGAGAGCCTCTGGCAGTCTGTGTAGACAATACTGAGCCTGATCAGCCAACCGTCTGACTCAGTATAAGGAAGCTTCTTATGTTCCACATTGGTTTGGTCTTGGCAAGTCCATGTTGGTTGTTAACGATCACCTCATTTTCTTCTACATTGCATATATTATTTTTTGATGAATTTGTTCTCATAACGTCTTATAGGTAGACATTGGGCCTGTAATCTCCTGGTTTCTACTATTCTCCCTGTTAAATATAGATTGGTAGCTATTTTTTGCTAGTCTGCTGGAACCTCACTTGTCTTGAGAGATTTCTCAAAGATGACTGTTAGCAGCTTTGAGATTTCTACTTCTAGTTCATTTAGCATTTCAGGGTGTATTTTGTTGGGAGATTGATGCAGATATTAACTAGTTCTGCCATTCCTTTCACATCTCTTTGATCCGATCTGGCAACCATGTGTGTGTGTGTGTGTGTGTGTGTGTGTGGGAAACTGAAGTGAGTTTGACTCTTCTTGTGAAAAAGGACTGAAACAGGTATGCTGCGGTCTCCTCTGGTGCCGTTGGATTTCACTTGTTGACCATGAAGTTGTGTATTCATCTACTATGGAATCCTGTTCTGTGCACCATTTTACCTTATTTTGGTAGGGAATGCCTTACCATGTCAGGCTAGATTGGCACAAACCGAATCCTCTGCTAAGTGCTTGCTATAGTAGCCTGAACTGGTGCCAGGTCAGTTATTGGTAGGATCCCTTGTTGGTACTTCCCTGAGATCTTCTGGTCCTTTCTAACTGTGCCATAGATGCTTGTTGCTGAGGGCCTATTTTTTCCCATTGGCCCTGCCTAGCACTGACCTGACAACATGCACAGCTATGTATGCCCTGTAAATCCTGTGCTGAGGAACTTTGAACGTCTGCTAGGCTTTGAACAGTAGAGAACCCAGAGATACTCTGTATCTTACAGGTGCTCAATCTGGCTCAGGAATTATGACTGCAGGCACATCCATATTGCCATATATCAGGGATGGGGCACCTTTTCCAGTCCAAGGCCCTCATTCCCATCTGTTGTGAGGGGGTTGTCAGTGGTGGGTGAGTCTGGAGGCAATGGTGGGTGCAGGAGCACATGTAAATGTTACCTTTGTACAGCAGGCAAGCTTCCACATACAATCCTCTTTTGTCTGGACAAGGAAGAGGAGTTATTAAGGATACACATTCCGACCAGGCAGAAGCTCTTTGTGTGTGAAGCAGTGCCAGTGGGAAATCTGGCCTGGAGAGAGTTCTGAGGGCTAGATACAGAAGCCTGGGGGCCACATTTGACCGCCCCAGGCCTGATGTTCACCTGTGCAAGGGGAGTAGGGTGGGAAAGAGAAACAAGATCCCAAATTAACACTTCACAACAAAGGGCTTGCCTTGGTTAACCTTTGGGATATTAGCAAAACTGTTGGTTGCTACTGAAGTAGCTGTTTTCCATTTAGACCCTGCCTTCAGTTCCGTTCTGCAGCTTGGACCTTCACTTTTACTTCCTGTGGTACCATATTATGCATCCCACCTTTGCTGGGATGCATAAGCCCAAGAACCGCCACTGGAACATGGCACGCACATATCATAAGGGGCCCTACTCTTAACATTATGCTTTGTAGAAGCTGACATGCTGCTTGACCTCTCTTTCAGCAGGTGCTGGCAGGCCCACCTTACTACCTGCAACTCGGCGTAACCCTGAATTTTGCCTATAATTGCCTGTGTGCAGGTGCTGTCTGTGCCCCTGCTGTTGATTGCCTTGCCTGTTTGCTTAGTCTCCTTCTCGTGTCCCTTGACTTAAGCAGCCCTTACTCTCTTGTAAGGAGTCGGAAACCACTGGTGGGAACGAGGTTCTCACGTCTTTGTAGCTGTGGAGAACGTCCTTGCAGGTGGGAAGAGATTTGAATTCTGCTCTGTCATGCCAGCTAGAGTGGGGTGGAAGTTGCCTGACATTTCCCAGCAACTCCCCTTTCTTGGCTGTGCCTCCAATCTAGTTTAACCTGCTGGAGGCACCTAACATGACCATGAGCTTGACAGCCTTTGCCTCATGGTGCTTGCTGGAAAATGGGTGGGTTTGTTTCGCTGCTGTGCTGATTGGGTACGAGATGGTGCGAGAGCTTCTCCCAAAATGCAGCGCACACCCACTTCTGTCAAGGACCTCACTTAGGGAGTGTCATTTGGCATAGCAGTTTTTCATTTTCCGCTCCACCCCCTCTCCTGGCAATCCTATAGATGTTGCTGGACTCCATCTCCCACTGGCCCCATCCAGAGTGACCAGTGGTCAGGGAAGATGGGAGTTGTAGTTCAGCAACATCTGGATGGCCACAGGTCAGAGGATATTTTCCCAACCATTTTCTGTGTAGTAGGATATTTGTTCAAAGAAAGGGCTTCCAAAATGACCAGTGGGCTGGGCCAAGTCCCCAATGAGGAAAGTTTCTAACATTTGAGAATGTTTTTTAGCTGAGGAAAGAAGCAAGTAACGTGCAACATGGTAGAGGTGTTTTAACACTTTTGCATGAGAGAGAGAGATAAGTTCTTCTCCATCTCTCGTAATATTAGAATCTGGAGCTGTCCAGTGAAGCTGATTCAGGACAGATACGGAAGTACTTCACACAGTGCATAGCTAGAACTATGAAATTTGGTCCCACAAGAGGGACTACCAATTTTGGTGGCTTTAAGAGGGGATTAGACAAATTAATGGTGGATAAGGCCTTAAATGGCTGCTCGTCCTGAGGGCTTTATTATCTCCCATATTGGAAGCAGCATGCCTCTGAATACGTTGCTAGGGAGCATAAGCGGGAGGGTGGCGTTGGGTACATGTCCTGCTTGTGGGTTTCCCAGGTTGGCCGCTGTGGGGAAACAGGAAGATCCAGCAGAGCTCTTACATGAAATTGGAAGCATACGGCCGTCCTGTGCCTTGATCCTGTGCAGGCCTACTGACATTGTCTTGCAGCTGGCATGCCTCTGGATTTCATAAGATTGCCCCTTAAGCTGCTGGCTGCCTCTGTGCCCCTCCCTCTTGCCTGGCTGTAACCCTGCCACAGAGCTGGAGCTGCGACCTTGGCCGTCTGAGAGGGTGGGGGAGGCGGTGGCTGCTGCCCTGCTTGTTTTTCTCTTTAATCCGGCTGCTTGGCTAAGGCTCCCATATGCAGGTTTCCCCTGCCTCAAGAATGGTTTCTGGGCTTGAGTCAAATGCCTTTGCCCCTTGAGTCCTGTATCACACTCTGCTTGTTGCCTCCTTCAGTGTACCTGTCAGTTTCTGCTTCTGATCTGTGCCCAACACCCTCTAGACTTCTTCAGTCAGAGAGCCTCATGCCAATGGTGGGCAGAGCCAGAGGCAAATGTGGATGGAGCAACAAATGTAATAATAATAAAAATAAATGTTATTATTTATACCCTGCCCATATGTACACTGGGCTGGTTTCTGCACACTCTTACACCTTTCTCTGACCTCCATTCAAACAGACAAGAGGCATTATCAGAGCTCAAGGACGCATTCTAGCCATACAGAGCAGGATTGCACAGCACCCTGAGGGCCAGATAGGCGCAAAGGGCCACATTTGGCCCCTGGGGATGGGGTTCCCCTTCCTACTCTAGAATATAAACTTATCCATGAAGTTTACGGCAGGGAGAAATTACCTCCCTCACCCATCTTGGTCGTATTTGTTATTTTATTTGGAATATTTTTATTCTGCCTTTCTATCAAGAAAAGACATTAATAATTGTAATTCCCTGAAAACTTGATTCTATGTTGGGACCGAGAAATTTAGGCCCCTGTTTACAGGGACAGTAGAATGTGGGGGCAGAGTTGCCTACAGGTTTTCAGATGGTGGTCTACGAGCGCCATTGAGGTAGACCATGAAATGATTGTGAATGTCTGTACTTCGGCCTGCACATGATTTATACTTTGTTGGCAGTGGAAGATGAGGCCATGTTGGTCGGGAGCGGATAAGGTCCAATGATGTCCTGGCTTAAGGCCTGTGATTTTCATTACAGTGGTACCTCGAGTTACATACGCTTCAGGTTACAGACTCCGCTAACCCAGAAATAGTACCTCGGATTAAGAACTTTGCTTCAGGATGAGAACAGAAATCGTGCTCCGGTGGCACGGCGGCAGTGGGATGCCCCATTAGCTAAAGTGGTGCTTCAGGTTAAGAACAGTTTCAGGTTAAGAATGGACCTCCGGAATGAATTAAGTACTTAACCCGAGGTACCACTGTATATGGTGCTGGTGCAGTTCACTCATTTTTACCTTAAAACAACAATTGAAGGGACTCTTCTCAGTGCCTTGACCTACGGCTCATTATTTTTATGATCAGGTTCTGGTTTTGAGAATGCCAGCCCTGAAGGATGAGAAGTTTATGAAGTGGTTTGTCAAGATCCCCAACAATTTTTAAGTGGTCCATTGGGGGGCGGGGAAGAGATTGAGAACTGACTATACTTGTTGAGGAATTAATTGAGCAGGGCACAATTTTTGAAATCTCGTGCAGGTTAAAAACAAAGGGCATAATGGGGAGACGTTCTAGCCTATCTCCGACTCTCAGCTGTGCTAATTTTCTACCTGAAGTGGTTTTTTTAAATGACAAAGCATTCAAAGATGTAAAACCTCCATATCTATTAAAGGAGCACTGTCCTATTTTACCACCTTGAGACTTGACCACCTCAGTCCCTTGCTATGTATTGATCTAGTCTGCATATCTGACTTTCAGTTCCTCTGAAACAAGAGTCCTGCTGATTAACATTACAAATACAGTGGTACCTCGGGTTAAGAACTTAATTCATTCTGGAGGTCTGTTCTTAACCTGAAACTGTTCTTAACCTGAGGTACCACTTTAGCTAATGGGGCCTTCCGCCACAGCCGCGCGGTTTCTGTTCTCATCCTGAAGCAAAGTTCTTAACCTGAGGTACTATTTATGGGTTAGTGGAGTCTGTAACCTGAAGTGTCTGTAACCCAAGGTACCACTGTGTATCTTTCCTTGATTTGTTTGGACTCTGTGCTCCCTTTTCACAGACCCTTGCCATCTAAAGCTGTAGAGTAGCAGCCTTTTGCCAAACTTGGCTCCCTGGATTGGACGCCAACACTCTCATCTCCAGCCAGCATGGACAGCAGCCAAGCATGATGGGAGTTGTAGTCCAAAAACATGAGGAGTAAGAGGAGTCACCTTTTCTTCCCCATGTCCCCATCCACTTCAGTGGTCATGCTGGGGAGGCAGGCCGTCCATGGGAGGAATTCAATGTCACACTAAGGAGATTGTTCAGTCAGAGGAAGCATTTTTTAATCTCTCCTCTGCTCCATTGCGCATTCTTCTGGGGGGTTCTCCCAATCCCTCCCGAGCCGTTTCTGGGGGTGAGGAAAAGCTCTATTATGATAGCGGGGAAACCCTTGCCTGGATTTCTGCTAGTGGGACCAGTTACCTGAATCTTGCCTCATATTTGCCTGCTTCCTGGTGATAGCAAGTTCCATCTTTCCTCATGAGTTTTCACTACGCTGTTTCGCCCTCTTCTTAGTTTGTTCAGACCTAACCTTCCTGAGATGCAGGCTGTGCTGTTGCATCAGTGCGATCATTTCTCACCAGAGTTGCTGTGTGGACGAGTGCTTTAGAGGAAGCACCCTGTGCTGGGTAGCAAGCCTAGAATCATAGAGTTGGAAGGGACCACAAGGCCTGATGGATAACGGCAAGGATGTGTTTTGTATGTGTGTAATGTAGCACTGATGTCATTTCAGGGCACAGTACTTACGCCCTGGAGCCTGTGTTGCGTGTTGGGGCCTGTTGTCAGGTGGGGGTGTGGTGCTATGCCGGAGACAGGTTTTGCCTTCGCCCCTCTGGCTCTTGCATAGTTCCTGGGGCGCTCTTGTCACGTGTAATTGTACAAGCCCCTGCAGCTTCAGACTGCAGCCAAATAGGCTTGCCGAGGCCTATGGATGCTCTGTGGTGGGGCAGTCTGAAGCTGCTGCGCAAGAGGTTGGTGCAAGGCTCCTTGGTTCATTCCCCTTCTAGCCTTACCTGCTGGGACTGGGGCCTGATCTGTGAGGCACGTGCCAGTGACTTCTGGATGGAGTGTGGTTCCTGTAGATAATGCCCACTTCCTGTGTCCCAACAAACTGCGAAACCTGTGTTAGAATTGTCATTTGAGGCACTTCAGGGCACATCCCCATCATTAAGTCATGACTTAACGTGGATTAGTAAGTGCTGAAGGTGTTTTAACCACATGAGTCTTTGCTACCTAAGGCCCAAACTGTGTGCTAATTTTAAACATGTATAATGGTAGCTCAGGGACCCTTTTGGAATAGGGGAAAACACTCAGTTTCCAGTGGAGGCTACTGAAAGCGCTTGGGAGAGACAATCCTTTTTTCTCATGGCTGTCCAAATCTTTCTCTCCACCCCACCAAGGCTTTTCCCTCTGCGGGGTTTCAGATGCAGGTGTCTGAAGGCCAAACTAGATGTGGCTTTCAGTTCATTGTGGCATGTGGTGTTAAATATGCCTGTGAGGGATTTCTGTGGCTCAGTGGTAGGCCATAGGGTCAGCAGCAGAGCATCTTCCTTAAATGCAGACGGTCACAGGTTCAATCCCTGAATTTCCAGGTAAAGCTGGAAGACGCTTGCCTGGAATCCTGGAAAGCCACTGCCAGTCAAGGTGGACAATAATGGGTTAGGTAGACCAGTTGTGTAACTCAGTATAAGTCAGCTTCCTATCTTTCCACAATGCAAATATTTGCTTCAGAATATTTGTCTTAGGACCACAGCAAGGAAAGGACTAGCTAAGCTCCCCTTCCATGTCTGGTACTGTCACAATAGTTGACAGCCCCCTCACCTGTGATGCTATTTGAATTTAAAAATAAAAAATAGACCTGCAAGTTAAATGCTTTGTGTCTGGTTTGGAGTTGAGAGAGCACAACATTGCTGGGAGCGCTGAGGCTGAGAGCAAGGACTGTTAGCTTCCTTTCCCAGGCTTGGGAGTTCCCACTTCTCTGAAACATGATGAGGCTCTCATTTGGAAGGTGTTCTCGTTGCACCATGGCGTGTCCCTGCTTTTCTGAAGTTTGTTTGAAGGAATCGGCACAGTGATATTTTATTAAGTTTTTGCCTGCATTTCCCCCTAAGACCTGCGGGCCCAAAGCTGATCCTAATCATGTGCTGCCACTCATCTCCCATTGCAATTATGTCTCCATGATGCTTTTCTCTCTGTGTCCTTTGTGGCTACAAGCTTACCACATTGGGATGTTGCCTGGCATCATTTTTGCTGCTCATTAAAAGTGCAAAAGCTCATGCCAGGATGGCTGGGGGCAAGGGAAGAGCAGTGGCCCTGGATATAATTGTTGGAGAGCTTGTGTTGTTTGGTCTGCTCTTTATGGTTCAGATTCTTTTTATTAAGTCAGTGGCCTATGTGGCACAGTAACTCCCTGTCATGAGAGCTGGGCTTATACCTTTCTAGCATCTCACTGGGTGTCAGATTAATATCTTAATGTGAAGAGCAAACTAGACGTGACATTTGTTCACTTGAATGTCTGATTTTAAAACAAGAAGTAGCCAATGACTCTACGCAGATTGGGACCATGGCATGGGAGATAGAGGGGCTTTAAACCTTTGCCTCCCACTACAGTCCTGCTTGGAGTTAGCGAATAACCCCTCTCTATATCTGGTTTTTGTAAAAATCAGAAAACTCTTGATGCCTATTTTCCTCACAGTCCTTCCTTGCTTGCTACCTTATTTCTATTGTCAATAGCAGGTGTGAGGACCTGATTCTAGTAAGTACCCTAGTGGGGACAAAGGGTTAACACCCCCCTGCCCTCCCCACCCCCAGCATGGTTTCTATTCAACTTTGTTCCCTCTGCACGTGCTGTTTATTTCAAATTAACAGCCAGACGAATTAAAGCCAAGTGCCAAATGTCACATCTGATTTTTCCCCAGGCTGGCAAGACCCCCTTATCAAGTAGCCCCTTCATCTATTGTGAAGTACAAAACAATAATATCCCCCTTGAGGTTGGTGAATCAGGACTGAGCTACTCTTCACGTGAGTTCTTGCGAAGCTTCAGTGACAGGTTCTATCTAACTTTCACCATATCTAGTCTTTCCCCTTTGTGCTTCCCTTACATCTGGTGTGGTAAGGAATGCAGATTCCAAAGATCAACCTTGGTTTGGAGCAAACTCTCCTCCCTTTGTAGCTGAGCAGGTCCATTTCTGTACTCCACTCATGGAGTTTCTGACAATGGTTCTACGCAGTGAGCAAGCTGCCATCATTTTAAGTTTATTTGCAGTGGGAAAGTGGTCGTTGCTGCCTGTCATGTGAAAAGGGGCTGATCCCTTTTCAATTCTCAGCTCTGGATACTGCTGAAAAGGCATCCAGGAGAGGATGTTAAGAGGCAGTAAAACCTGTTGGCTTCATAATCCTTAGAGCTGCATTACTCCCCACCCCAAATATTGGGTTTGCCTGTTGTGCAGAGAAGCCGCCCATTGTGGTTGCAGGAGAGGACATGGGTCAGTACTAGCAACCATGCTAGCCTTGGGCAATAATTGATGTGGGGTGGGTGTGTTGTGTGGCAGGGACCCAGAGTATTATACATAGCCATTCATGTCTAGGCTGACCTCTTTGCACTCCCTTAGGTTCTGGGCTACTATATGCAGGCTCTGCTTTGTGCTTGTCCCCCTCCAACAAGAGGTTTGGTAATGATCTTGGTGTCTATGCCAATATTGGTGAGCACATGAAAAACTGGACCTTTTGGCAGACATTTCACAGATTGCTCAGTTGGTAGAGCACGAGACTTGATCTCAGAGTCATGGTTTCAAGCCCCATGTTGGGCAAAAGATTCTTGCATTGCAGGGGCTTGGGCTAGATGACCCTCATGGTCCCTCCCAGCTCCACAGTTCTATGCTGTGAGGTTTCAATTCAACGTTGGCCTGTGGCCCCTGTTAGCTCTGTTACCTGCTCTGTCTATATTTCTCTGTAACAACATGTGCCCCCCTCCACAAGTTCAGCTGTGCTTGGGAGGGAAGCTGTGCTATTCACAGCCTAAAAGATTTGACTAGGGACGTGTGTGTGTGTGTGTGTGTGTGTGTGTCCCACCACTCTCCTTATCCCTTCCAGCCAAAGTAGGCTGTTCCCAATGTTGGATGCCCTGAAGACTTGGAGGTGGGTGGGATGGGCTTTCTGCCAGGAGGGGTGGCTGGGCTTTGTTAGTTTGGGCTCTGAGCCATGGGGCGGGAAAGGAGCTGGGACTGCAGCCACAAGTCTGGTCCCGTGCAGTTGTGGCTGTGATCAGGTGCTGCTGAATCAGCTGGCGAAGCTGTTCCACCTGTTCCCCTTTGCACACTCGCGCGCTCAGGAATGTCCCGTCCCTCCCAGCCCTGCTCACTGGCAGGAGCTGACACGTAGATCTCCAGTCTCGTGGCCTCACCTCTTGAGGAAACAGCTGGTATAGCGCGTGCGTGTAAGCCTTGGCATGATCTTCCTGTCAGGAAGACGCTAATATGTCTTGCTTTCCCTATACCTGCCATCCGCAGGCCAGAGTACCGCAAACCCAGTGGGAGGAAGAGAGCTTACAGTTTCCAAAGGAGAAGCTTGTACCGCTGCCATTTATTACTGAGCCTGTGGGAGGCCTGCTTCCCAGTTCCTCCAAAGGCCTGCCCCTTTCCCAAAGCAAAAATTGGCCTGACTTCTCGCTCAACCCTTTAAATATAATTTGCCTCTTGCAATCCAGAGGCTAAACACAGGATTCCAAGCCTCCGGACACTCCACTGCCCCCTGAAATAGTGCTGTGATAACATTGCGGATCCCCTTTCTGTCGTAAGCCTGCAGTGGGAGGATGTGTCTGAGCCTGCTGATGTTAATCGTGTTGTCAGGGTAGAAATTAATACCCTCCTCTTACGGTTGGATGCCAGAGCTCTTGCAGTGGGTGCCCCCAAGCTATTTGTCTGCTCTGCACTTGCTTGTTGGGGTGTGTGGTTTGCGTGCAAGTCCCCAGCGGATGCACAGCCAAGGCTGCCCCTGTGAGGCTCCATCTCTGCCTTCTGTCCTGTAAGGTTTTATCTAAGATTGGGAGCACTCGCCTAGCATTCAAGGGAATCTGGCTCCTAGCCATGCTGTTCCTTGCTTCTGCCTTTTTCCTCTTGGCATGCTAGGGGAAAGGTGCTCAAAAGAGGCAGTGCTTCTGCTGTGGAGATGAAAGTGCATGAAGGGGGAAACCCCTTGTCTCAAAATCACAAGTGTTGCCAAATCGCATCCATCTGGGGATGCTGTTCCAGTGTGTGCATGTTTTATGATGCCAGGAGACTTGTAAGGTGAGGACAAGGAGGGATTAGTCTTTCCCTAGTTGCCTCATATCTATTCCAGGGATGGACAATCTTTTTACCCCCAGAGGCTACATGCGGCGATGGTGGGTGCTTACATACATGTACATATCACCACAGAGATATGTGCGCACATCCTTTGAAAGCAGCAATTGTGGTGGCTAGCAAATATGATACTTGCTTTCTTTCCCTGCTCAGAGGAGAATAATTGACTCCCACCTCAGAATGAGCAGCTGTGTGGTGTGCTGTGAGTAGCACAGTTTACATACTTCCACCAGTAGTAAAATTCAGCAAAATTCAATTGGCATTGGGAGTGGGTAGCTTGGGAACACACAGTGGGCTGCATGCAGCTTGCAGTTTGCTTGTGTGTGATCTAAGATGGTGACTTTTGATGCCATCATGGCCAGCCTTGGCCATCAGGAATGTTTGTTTCTGTTCTAAGCTCTTGACAGCACTAAGGAAAAGGCTTTGGGAAGAGCGGACTAAAGAAGCTATTGCTCTTTATAGACAGGCCAGGAATAAATTAGGGAAAGTATATTAACGAATCTGTGCAGTATGTTTTGGCTTTCCACATTTGGGGAGGTGACGTCGTTGGTGTAAGTTTTCCCCAAACCATTGAGTAGGGCTGGAAGAGGCCATGCAGGGAAACCTTCCACTTCCTGAAATCGGCATGTCCACCTGGCCATAGGAAGGGAACGAGGGTGCAACAACCTTTAACCAGCCTACCCTCCAGGTATGCCAAGGCAAGTTTGGGGAAGCTGTGCCCACCCCCAGACATTCCTGGACTGCATCCTTGACCTATGGATATGCTGGCTGGGGCTGGTGGACTTTGGGAGCCCAGCAATGTTTGTAGGCCACAGGTCCCCCCTTCCCACTTCATTTTTTTTTATAAGATATTTATTAGGCTTTTCAAAATATTACAAAATAGAAAAAGAAAAAAGAAAAATAGAAAATAAAAATAGTTAAAAACAATTCAGTCTTTCAATCACTTATCTTTCATTTGCTTGTTTCCCAGACCTCCTCATGCCTCCCTTTTCTGTATTCCACTTCAGTTGTTAGTTTAGCAAATCCCTCCCCTCTTTGTTTATCCTAGTCTTCGATCTTAAAGTATTATAACATTAAATTTTTACCTATTTATAGTCCATTTTTTCATATTCCCTTATAACATTACAGCTAAAAGCCACTTACTGTATTTTTCGCACCATAGGACGCACCGGACAATAGGACGCACTTTGTTTTAGAGGGGGGAGAACAAGAAAAAAAAATTCTCCCCCTCTCTGCCCAGCACCCCTTCAGCGAAGTGGCAGGAGGCGCTGTGCAGAGAGGGGAGAACTTCCCCTCTTGTTTTCCCGCTCTAAAACAAGGTGCCGTTTAAGGTGCGTTCAGGCGGCTACCTTGGAGCCTGGAGAGCGAGAGGGGTCGGTGTGCACTGACCCCTCTCGCTCTCCAGGCTTCAGGTTCCTTCGACCTGCTCTTTGGGGCTGGCGGGGAAGCCCACCACCAGCCCCAAAGAGCAGTTCAGGAGCAGCGGAAGGCGCAGCGGCGCGGCTCCTGCCATAGCCGTGCGTCACCTCTCCAGCCGGGAGAGGATCGCTGGGCTATGGCTTCTTTAGCCCCCCGCGCGCCCTCCCGGCTGGAGAGGTGACGGCGGCTATAGAAGCTCCTGCCATAGCCGCCCGTCACCTCTCCAGCCGGGAGAGGGTCACGGGGGGGCTGCTTTAGCCCCGCGCGCGCTCTCCCGGCTGGAGAGGTGACGGGCGGCTATGGCAAGAGCCTCAATAGCCGCGCGTCACCTCTCCAGCCGGGAGAGGGTTGCGGGGGGCTTCTTTATGGCTCCTGCCATAGCCGCGCGTCACCTCTCCAGCCGGGAGAGGGTCGCGGGGCTATGGCGTCTTCGCTCCATAGGACGCACACACATTTTCCCTTCATTTTTGAAGGGGAAAAAGTGCGTCCTATAGAGCGAAAAATACGGTAGTTTCTATCCAACATCATTCTAACATTCATCAATTTTACAATATGTCTGTAAATAGTCTTTGAACTTTTTCCAATCTTCTTCCACCGACTCTTCTCCCTGGTCTCGGATTCTGCCAGTCATTTCCCCCCCTTCCCACTTCAGAGCCCAACTACTTGGGGCACTTTCATGTGCTGTGAGTAAATCAAAATGAGGGGCAGCTTCCTTTCCACTGTAAGTCCTTTACGCAAGGAACCAGGAACGTGCCAGGCACTGCAGCCAGCCCTCACTTACCCCTCATTTGCCATGATCAGCCAGAGGCTTTTCTGCCCTAGATTCCTAGCTGCTGGTGGTACTGTCATAAATCTGTGACCAAGGGACTGGGTAAGTGGGAGGGCCAAACAGCAATGTTGGTGGGCCCTGGTATGATGCTTTGGGCCTGGTAGCTGCTTGAGCATGGGTAAGCAAACTAAGGCCCGGGGGCCTGGATCCAGCCCAATTGCCTTCTAAATCCGGCCTGTGGACAGTCCTGGAATCAGTGTGTTTTTACATGAGTAGAATGTGGCCTTTTATTTAAAATGCATCTCTGGGTTATTTGTGGGGCATAGGAATTCGTTCATTTCCCCCCCTCCAAAATATAGCCTGGTCCCCCACAAGATCTGAGGGACAGTGGACTGCCCCCTGCTGAAAAAGTTTGCTGACTCCTGTCTGCTTTGAGGATGCTGGGTGCTACTTCTGGCCCTGGTCATGAATGGTGGGATTCACCCTGATGCAGCCTTGATCCACTGTATGTGCCTCTAACTTGTCTGATTCCCCCCACACCCAGACTGAGAGGAGTAAAAGAGACAACCTATATCATTAAGAATCACCTTCTGGCCTTGACATTTGGAAGGCTTTTCAGGATCCCCTGCCTGTTTTGTGCCTGGGCTTGAGCCCACCTCCATCTGTGGAACTATTTCCCCCCTTTAACACTGGAGACAGGCCTGTGGGGACAGGGGAGAGAGACAGCAAAGGGCCCTGGAGGGGGACAACGTCATTATATCTGCAGCACCTCTTCTCTTGGTATAATTTTTCATTGCATTTCTACCCCATTCTTTATTACGGGAAGACAGAGGACAACGTGCATAGGATATCTTTTTCTCACAACAGTTCCTATGGGATAAAATAGTCAAGGCTTCCCTAACCTGGTGCCCTTTAGATGTCCTCCAGAATTGCAATTCCCATAATTACTGTCCATTGACCATACTGGCTGTGATTGATGGGAGTTGTAGTCCAACAACTTTTGGAGGGCACCAGATTGGTGGGGAGACGCAGATCTGGTGTCTGAGCTTCAGGGTGGATTGAGGATTTATACTTGAATTTATTGCACCAAAATCCACTCTGCAGCTCACTGACTTGGGGCAGATAGTGGTGACAGAAAACTAATAGGGTACTGAGAATCAGGAGGCTCCGGGGGTTGGTGTGCAAAAGATACTGTGAGGCAGATGGGATATTTTAGAGAGGCTTGCTTACTGCAAGGAATAATGTGACTGTTTCTCTCTTTGTGTGTACAGAGCACATCCCTGCTGAGCTACGTGAACCCTTCTATACAGACCAGTATGAACAGGAGCACATGAAGCCTCCTCTCATCCGCCTGTTGCATTCGTCTGACATCTACTGCCGTGCCTGGCGCCGGGCCCTGCCATCGGGCGCTGATGGCGCCCCTTCCCCCAAGGACAATGCTGCCTTGCTCCAGCTTCTGGCCCATCGTGGCTTGGTGCCCACCTTCCAAGACAAGCCCATCAAGGAGACAGATCTGCACCACAAACCAATCAGACTGGTAAGTCCACAAGCTTGGCATCTTCCCAGGGGTAAACATTTTGACTTGGTGCTCTTGCAGAAGGAGGGGGGGAGTGTACTGTTTATTCAAACTGCAGTGGGTGTTGGTGTTAGTTGCTGGAGAGTGGAAAGAAATTAATTGCCCTCCAACTCTCAGCTGAAACCAGGAGCAGAGGTGGGGAGCTCAGTTAGTGCCTTTCCAAGAATGAACATGGTAGGATTGTTCCTTCTAAATTTCAGTGGGGTGCTACGATCCAGGGGTGGCTAACCTGCGGTTCTTCAGTTGTTGTTGGCCTCCATCACACATTGGCCCCTGCTAGCATGTCCAGCAGTCAGGGGTGATGGGAGCCTGGAGTCCGGCAAGATGTGGACAACTGCAGGCTGTGCTGACGTGAGTTGGAGGACCTGCTCTTTGAGGATTCAGGAGCAGAGCTAAGTTCATCATGGTCGGTTTCCCCACTGTACTGCAACAGTGTGGTGGGGGAGGCCGTGCTTGTGGTAGTCTATCCAGGATATCCACAACTTGCACACATTTAACTTGTGTGCATTCAGCTTTATGCACTTGGCAAAAAATAAAAAAAGAGGTGAAAAGGGAGCAGACGTCCAAGAAAAAAGGCTTTGGCAATCCCACCCGCCATTGTACCCAAGGTGTTCTGACAATACATGATTTTAGCTTTAGGCATGATCCCCGGAATGTAAGTCCCACATAAGCATTAAAAATTAGTCTATATTAGTTAACCACAATGTGAAGCATGAATTTAGTAGTTTTGAAATGTGGTTGGCTCAAATGGGTGCAGTCATCGCCTAGATATATATATATATATATGCCTGGAGCTCTGTGATCTGGTATCACGATGACAGTAGCACAGGCTTCACTAGCTCTGGTGCTTTCCAGATGTTTGGGACCACCATTCCCCATCAGCGACTGTGCTGGCTGGGCCTGGTGGGAGTTGTGGTCCACAACATCTGGAAGGCACCAGGATGGTGAAGGCATCATTAGTGGCTGGGCGCTGCTGTACAGAGGAAGAGCACTGGCTGTTCTGGGCATATGTTTAATGTAACTGATGGTTTGGGGGAGAGGGCGGTGGAGAAAAAGCTTTTCTGTGAAAGGATCCCCCTGCCACCAGCCCAAAGGCAGGCTCTGAATTGTGGGGAGGACGCTCGCTGCTCCTGTTGATGGCCTTGTGTAAATGCTGCTCTCCCCAGCGCTGTCCTGTCCTGTGCAGTGGCATGGTGGAGGCCCTGAGGGTGACAGACAAATCCCCAAAACTCCTTCCCTCCTCCCTCCCTCCCTCCCTCCCTCCTTGCCTGCCTCTGTTAATACAAGGAGCGTCTTCTGTGGCGCCACAGCTTCAGGGTGGAGCCTTTACAAGCTTAGATCCCAGCCACCCCGTGGGAACCCCTTCCCTCATCTCTCTGTGGGTGGGGAGGGCTGAGGTGTGGCTAAAGACAGGAGAAGTTTCTTTCTACCCCCCCACCCCCACCCTAAGGTCTTTTGACTCTCCCTCTTGGGAAGCTGAAGCCTCCCGTTGCTCCCTTCGAAACCCCCTTGGTTTGTAAAGTGCTGATATTATCAAGGAGAAAAGATGGGCCACAGCACTCTAAAGGTTAGATGGCCAGCATTAGGGACATCTGCCTCATGCCAGATGAGGCCGCTGGTCCTTCCAGCTGAGTGTTGTTTACACTGACTGGTAGCAGCACTCCAAAGGTTCTTCCTTCCCTGGAGACTCCCAAGGATTGAACCAGGGACCCTCTGCTGGCAAAGGAAGTTATTTACTGTTGGTCTAAGGCCTGGCAGGCACATACATCTGTACACCTGTGAGAAGGAAGGTCCTCTGTAGAAGCTGCTAGTCCCTTTTCACTTGTACACAAGAACATGGGAATTCAGGTTTCCTTTAACTTGGGTGGGACCTTAGTGTTTGTAGCATAGCAAATCCTAAGAAGGAGGGAGAACAGGATAATATCCTAGAATGAAGGGTGCTTTTTTGTTTGTTTGTTCTGGTTTAATGTTGCAGGGGTGAAACAGGGTCCTGGCTTTGTGTGTCCCCTTTTAGAAGCATCTATAACTAGCCAGCTCGGAGTGTGTGGGGGGTTGAGCAATAATAAGTGAACTTGGGGAAACTTATCTGCAATAGCTGACAACTCCACATCCTATCTCCCTTTCCAGTTTATCTATTTTCAGGAAGGGCTGTTGTGAGGAGGGGATGTGGTTGGAAAACACTGTGGGTGTCTCCCTCTCCCCTCTGCAAGAAAACAGATGGGAAAAAGAGAGCCGTGAAGGGTGGGAACCATACACTTATTTAGGTGTGAAAGGCAAGAAGTGTGTGAGAAGAGAGAGGGGGGGTTCAGAAGGAGGCTGAGGTTGGAGTCTGTCTGTCCCTCACACCGAAGCCCACCCCACTGTGTATGAGGGATTTTAAAAATGAAAATTGTTGAGGTGTTGATATGAGAATTCCAAATGGATACACTGGCAACAAAGGAGGTGGCAAAAGAAAGAAAACTCAGTTAAAACGCTAGGAAACCAAGGGAAGAGTGGAAGGGAAGTAAAAGTAAATATATATAGCATTTAAACAGCTTGGAAGAATATATATGTGTGTGTGTGTGTGTGTGTGTGTGTGTGTGTGTGTGTGTTACTATTATTAGTACATGTTTATGTTTTATAAGCATGTTACCGTTTTTCTTTTCGTTTTGTGCATGCATGTAACAGAATATGTGTTGATGGCAAAAACAGAAAAGCAAATAAAAAATATTTTTTTTTGGCAGGGGGGGAGTTTGCTTTTGCGGTGGAGCAAAGGAAGACCTGGAATATGGGGGAAGCAACACAAAGCCAGTGCTAGGAAGGATGTACAAATTGTTAAAGCCTAGAAAGGGGGCTTGGGGATTTCTGCTTTCTGCTCCCTGGGCCCAGCAATTATCATTCTTCCGCCTGGTGCTTGTGTAATGGGAGGGGGAGGCGGGGAGGGGGAATCCCCGCTACTGGTACGGCTCTGCTGGCAGGTGCCCGGCGGGATTGCTCCGCGCTGAGCGGGTATCTCTGATTGCTATTAATTTTGCTCTGGTGATTCTGTCAAGGCCGGGAGGAGAGGCAAGAGCGCCAGCTAGCTGGAGGGAGGGGTGTCCTCTATCTCCCTTGCTCCCAGCTGAGTGCTGGGGAAATGGTGCCCATGGAAGCAATTGGAAAGGGAAGGTTTAATTTTGCCCAGGGTTGAGGGTGAGGAGAATGATGGAGACTCTTGATTTTGATCCGGGCATTTGGAGCCCCTCCCAAGGAAAGTGTAGGTTGCGCACCACATGGGACAAGATGTTTAGAGAGCACACAGCTAGGCTGCCGCCACACCCTGAACTCCAAGAGTATGGGAGAGCAAAGCAGCGGATTAGTTGCTCTGTGGAGGGAGCTGGTCGTGGCAGCCATGTTGGCTTTCTGCCAGCAATGATATTGGAAAGCAGACATCAGAGCCAGAGCCGAGCAGTGTGGCTATTATCCGACTCCCCTGGCCTCGTCTGACACGGCCTCAGTGTATTTATCCCACAAAGGCCTTATTGAGGCCCAAGCAGCTAGAGGGAGTGTGGCTGTGTCTGTTTTGGGCCTTGTCTTTGAAGGAGGGGAAGAAGAAACCAGGGGAACAGGGTTTTTTAGCCAGAGGTCCCCCGTCCTGAGGTGTGCTAGGTGTGGCCCCAGCTCTGAAGGGGAATGAGAGGCTTGTTCTCAGGCTTCTCCCTTCAGGCTTGGCACATCCCTTATTCTGCATTATTCTCTCTCTGTCTCCCAAGTACGAGCGCCCCATTAACACCCAAGCTTGATTCACTGTCGAGTCAACAGCTTTTTCCTCTGCTTCAGTTCCCGCTCTGCTGGTGCAGAAAATCAGGCTGCCAGGAAGGGCTGGGTGTGGTGTACCTAGAGGCCTGCATCTGGCCTGCTTGCTGCCTTTTGCTTGCAAGGACCCAGTTGCTGTTGGGCACTCAGTGAACTCACATTTTGATACTCCTGCTCTTCTTCCTTTGAACCCACCTCCTCACAAAAAAACCCATTCCTGGATCAGGCTAGAGCTGTAGTCATTTGAATAACCAAACAGACATGCGGTGTTTGTGTGACTACATAGCCCATTCTTAAAACGTTTGCCATGGTAGCAGTAAGTTTTATTTGATGACAAAACTTGGGTCCTAGGATCTGCATTAAAGATGGGTGGGAGCTTTCATTGCATTTTACAGTTGTGGGCTGACTTTCCATAACTTGTTCAGGCAGGGGTTTCAGTAAAAACTTTGTGCAGGGTGCACTAGTTTGGCCAGAACTGAGTAGCAAAATTTGTCCCTTTTTGAATGCTGATCCCATACCTGCATGTAGAGAATGAGCATGTCAGGGAGAAGAGTTCAGTTTAGTCCAGGAGCAGAGAACCTTTAGCCCTCCAAGTGATGTTGGTCTCCAACTCCCATCAGACCCAACTAGGATGGCCAGTGGTCAGGGATAATGGGAGTTGTAGTCCAGCAACATCTCTGGAAGGCCACACATTGGCTACCTTTGGTCTAGTTTCATTAGTTCAGCATTTTTTTTTCATGGTGAAAAGGCTTCAGACTTGCAATTCCTTCCATGCAGCCTGAAGAGGTACAGTCCAGAGAAACCTTCATCAATTGAATTTAGCTGATTGTATAAACTGTCCATCCTCATATCGTTGTGAGGCAAGCCTTGAGCAGTATTCAGTTGTCCTGTTGGCACAAGGATTTCCACTTGGGCAACTGGGCTTCTACCACTACCACCTTTGCCTTGCATGTGCCATGCACCCTCCCTAAATCTACTCCAGAGGGTTGGAGAAACCCCTGGAACAGCTTTGCAGGGGGAGGAGAGGGGAAGAACATTCCGTTGCACAAGCAAAAATCCCCGTGCTGATGGAACATTCACTTTATGCTGCGTTGGATATTCCCCTCCCCCCTTGACTCAGCAGAGACTTCACTTTTTTCCATTTCTTGTTAGCAGATCACTGCTGGCAGAAAATCTTCTAGTGCTGCTTCTGCCATGGGGGTGAGGTTGTAGGAGGGAGAGTTCCCTGTCACATTTTCTGTTCAGGAGCTTAACAGACAAAAGTACCATTATTCAGGGCCTGGGACCTTCCTTCATATTTCCATAGGAAGTGGCTCAAGTTTATCCCACCTGCTTAAACCTCTTGGCTAGAAGGATTTCAGCTTTGCTTAGAGAGACTACAGGCAATTTTGGGTCTTCCAGTCTAATGTTCTATCTGCTGCTTCTCTCCCCATGTCTGTACATCACAACTGTGACCTTTGTCAACCACTGCAAGTCCACTGTGGACTGCAAATGGGTTCTATCAAGAAAAATGCTGTCTTCCATCTCCCCCTGCCACTTCAGAATATCAGAAGGCAGCTGGCATTGTTGCTAGGGTCTTCGCAGAGATAATTGGCTTGTAGGCTATCCTATTAGACCTCCCCAGAAGCAGAAGAGGCTGTTGCTCCTGGACCCATAGTTCCTGGGCTTGGGGCACTGAGAGATCTTGCATGCAGAATTTGGAGGGAAACATGGGGGCAGGCAGACTGCATGCATGATGACGGTGCTGGTAATAAAGCCCAATATCTGCACCTAGCACATGTTCCCCTTGCCCCCAGGCTGCTCTCATCCAGGTTCTCCTTAACAGCATTAAAAGCTTAAGGCAACTAATCTGCTCTCCTGTGGTGTAAGACTGGGACTGAGCTTGCTCAGTCGGGCACAGCAAGGGGGATTCTCATGTTACCATGATCTGGCCCAAGACTCCAGTCCTTGTAGTGGGGTGGGACAGCTGAAAATAATGCCAATATATTTCATATCTGGCAACCAATGCACCCTTTTGGCTTCAGATAGTACATGGGTAGAGGAGGCTAAAAAGCCCAGGACACAAATTTGCACAGCCCTCTAGCAACTATGGTGGCTCATTTACCAGAAGTAATGTATTTAGCATTAACTCTGAAAGTGTATACTAGATTCTGACCAAACTAAGCCCCCTAGAGCAAAATATACACCAGGAAGCTTAGTTTGGTCAGAATCGAGTATGCACTTCCAGAGTAAATACGTGCTGCCAGCCTGCATCTGCTGGTAACTCCATTCATTCTGCTTATTCACCCCAGCCAAGACGCTGTCCTTCCAGCATGCCCCCGACACTCTGTGTGCTTTATTACACTGGAGAAAGCAGCTTATGCCATGGAGGGCTAGCCTGTTGCCCTGTGATAGGAGAGCAGAACATACCGTATTTTTTGCTCTATAAGACTCACTTTTTCCCTCCTAAAAAGTAAGGGGAAATGTGCGTGTCTTATGGAGCGAATGCGGGCTGCACAGCTGTCCCTGAAGCCAGAACAGCAAGAGGGATTGCTGCTTTCACTGCGCAGCGATCCCTCTTGCTGTTCTGGCTTCTGAGATTCAGAATATATTTTTTCTTGTTTTCCTCCTCCCAAAACTAGGTGCGTCTTGTGGTCTGGTGCATCTTATAGAGCGAAAAATACAGTAGTTGATCTGTGTCTCTGAACTTTAGGAAGCAGGGAGAAAAGTAAACTGAACTTGGCAATTCATCCTGAGGAATGATGGAGCTTGCTTGCACCTGTCCCAGCATCAATGGGAAGATAGTTCTCCCTTTTCCTGTGTAATCTCACACCTAGGGGTGGCATCAACTATGTGCCTGGCTCCATTTGTGGGGTAAGGATACCCTCGTGGCTGAACACAGGTTGCCTAACTTGTCTCTCTCTTCCTTGCCACACGTACAGGGTGCGCACCTGGCATTGATTGACTCACTGATGACAGCGTTTGCGTTGGAAGCCACCAGCTCACTCAGTGTTACGCCAGGCACTGATCTGGCAGCCATCTCCTGGGACCAGAAACTTCTGCACTGGATAGACATGGTACCTTATTTATTTACCAATCAATCAATCAATCAATCCATCAATCAATCAGCTATTCTTGATATTTGTGCTTCCTCCAGATTACTTAGGTGGGCATAGAGAGAGTTAATGTCCCACTTTATTCACACAGCAAGTTTGTTTGATTCTCTACTACAGGAACCTTTACTCCTCTAGAGGTCAACTACAACTCCCATCAGCCCCTGCAAGGATAGCCAGTGGCCAGTGATGGTTGTAAGTTGTAGTTCAGCAATATCTGGAGGGCCAGAGGTTCTCCACATCTGCACTAGTCCATGCCCAGCTGCACTGTCCAACCTCTGACATGGAAAATGTGAGGTTGGAGTAAAATGGTTTCGATGGATTACTTACAATTTGTGAGCCCTTTGGGGACATAGATTTATCCTACTAAAAATTGCTATAAAATCTCACCTGGAGCCCAAAGGATAGGGGCAGGATAATAAACATAGTTTTTTCATTGGTTTTGAATATGACCTCATAGAAACTTGGGATAAAATATTAAATAAAAGGGGCAGTTCCTTGATTCTGTTCCGGCCCGTTTCATTCTATCACCAATTTGCTGCTGTTGTGAAGGGGTGCTGGGCTTACTTGGCGTACATTTAAGCTCAAGTGGAGTTGCATTTCATTGCCCTTTCCTCTCCAGCAAAAGTTTTTTTACACCCACATGCCAATGGGGAATTAACTTCATGCATCTGATAAAGGGATCTCTAATCCATGAAAGTTTATCCCTGTAACACATTTGTCATCTTTAATAAGGTGCCACAAGTCATTTATCTCTCTTTTTGGCCTGGACTCAGGAAGGCAGTCATGTTTTTGGAGACACGTATAACATGACCTGTTTGGAAAGGAGAGGAGAATAGCAGAGGAGGGACCTTCAGCACCTTAAAGTGGTCTGTGGGTGGGATGTGCAGGGATTGGTAAGGTGTGTGTGCCTCTTCCCAATACATTTTTTTAAAATAATCTTTTATTTAAATTAGTTTGACTTTTATTGTATCCTGTGCTGAAAAAACCCCCAATAAAAATACAGTCATACCTTGGTTTTGGAACAGCTTACTGTATTTTCCCGTGTATTGGATGAGGTTTTTTGACACAAAAATCATGTCAAAGGTCATCCAGTACATGGATAGTGGCATGGGGGGAGATGCCGCTGGAAGTGCTGCGATCTGGAAGTGCTGGGTGGCGGCATGCAGCTTCTCCCGATGCTGCTGCCTACAGGGAGTGATCTGGGGGCACTGGCTGGTGGCACGCAGCTTCCCCTGATGCCGCTGCGCATGGGAAGCACTCCTTGGATCGTTTCCTGCGTGCACAGCAGCATCAGGGGAAGGTGCCCTCTGGCCAACCTGCTGGCTGGTTAGAGCACAACTTCCCTCGATGCTGATGCGTGAGGGAAACACTCCCTACCTGTGTGTGGGAAATGATCTAGGGAGTGTTTCCTGCCCACAGCTGCGTGGGGGGAGAGGCTCAACAACTTTGAGCCATCTCCCCTCATTTTCTTAAAACTGAGCCCCCCCAAATAGGGGGGTTGTCTTATACATGGGGGCATCTAATAGACAGAAAAGTATGGTAGTTCCCAAATGCCACAAACCCAGAAATGACTGTTCCGGTTTGCAAACGATTTTTGGAAGCCGAACATCCAATGGGGTTTCCGATTGGCTGCAGGAAGACAATCAGAAGCCACGCTTTGGTTTTTGAATGTTTTGGAAGTTGAACGGACTTCTGGAACAGATTCTGTTTGACTTCTAAGGTACTACTGTATTTATAAAAAGCAAAACAGAAAACAACAACGGCATGCTCCTTGCTTCCTCCCTCCAGATCATCCACAAGATACAGCAAAGCAGCGAGCAGGAATGCACTCAGCGGGCTGCGCCGGGGACAGACAGCCAGACCCAGGCCTCCAACAGCGGTCCCAAGGTGCGTTTGTCTGGCTCGTGCAGCTTGCTTCTGAATGGAGCAGGGAGGGAGCCTGGACTTGTGGCGTAGCTGGAGTGGGAGGGAGGGAGGCCATTTGTGGGCCCTGCCCCAGTTCCTAAAGCGTGGCGACGGAAGGGTGGCTTTATCCATGCCGGCTTTGTTCTGTGTACAAGCCACACCCTTTCCCTCCCGCTCTTTCCTTCGAAGATAGAATTTGCTTCCTTCCTTCTGACTGACTCCCTGCCCCCCAACTCTAGCTCATGTTTGGGAACTCCCTGCACCCCAAGGATTCCCTACCTCCCCCCCCCTTGTAAATCTGCTGCTTCGCCCTCCTCCTGTGAGGTGGCCTTTGTCTGCTTTGTCCTTGCTTTGTGGGCAACCAGAGATCCTTGACTTCTCCCCCAAATCCATTCTGTGGGGCTGGCTCACTGGCTCTGTTGGCCAGAGTGGTCAGACCATATTGAGGGGGGCGGAGGCGGGTTGCCTGCCTGAGAAGCTGCCCTGTTCATGTTCCCGATGGGCCCAACGACGAGGCCTCATCCCAGCCCAAGCTGCCCCTCCGGCTTTCTGTGCTGCGAGTGCGATACCGTCACGGTGTGTTATGTGACAGAGCTGTCTTTTTCTGCATCTTTTCCTCTGCTTCAGTGTCCCACAAGGTGGTACTGGAAACTGGTTCCTGTAAGTGGGTGGCTTTACTTATTATCTCCCTGCTGCTTTTGGCTCCTGCGCTGCATGCCAGGGGGACCCAGAGCAAAGGATGCTGGGGATTTAGGACCTTGGAGCAGAGATACCTGAGTGTGTGTGTGTGTGTTTGTTTCAGTGAGGGAAAGGCTGCGGGGACGACATTGCCCTGCTCCCTGTGGGATGGGCACCTGCCTGTACTTTTGGGAGACTTTGAGGGCAGAGGGGACCCTGTCCCGGGAGGAGGAGGAGGAGGAGGCGTGTTCCCACATGAGACACCAGCTGCTGGGATGCTGGTATATCCCAGCATCCTTTGTTCTCATCTCCCTTCCCTCCGCAACCCGCTCCTGCTTTGCTCTCTCTTAGCTCCGCATGTTGGGGCACATGAGGGTTGGGTTCTGGCGGTGGCGGTGGGTGCTTAACGGATCTCTTCTTCCTGCCCTGAATAACGCAACCTCCTTGGGGTTACAGGTGCCCTGGGGTCTAACGGACAGGCAAGAGGGACTGCCTCAGAGATGAACCGAGAAGCCCCGGTTTTCATTTGTGCAGAGGGGTTAAGAGACAGCCAGAGCAGGGCAGCTCATGCCTGGAGCTGCCAAGTAGGAACAGCATGCTAGTTACACGACATTCCTTTATTCCCCCCTTCTGTGTTGCCTTCTGTCCCCCTCCCCCCCCCGCCATTTGCTTGCTGCCCAGCTGTACTCAGTGCAGCCCAGAGTGCGGACTAGTCCGAACTTAGGCCTGGATGCTACATTGCGTTTAGTGTTCAGGAATGTGGGGTGCTCCGGAAGGGAGAGAGGGCTCTCTCGGGAGCCCCAGGTGCATGCTGGGGAGGCTTTAATCACCCCAGGCGGAAAGCTAGGCCTTGGCTAGGCCTTTCCTGCAACCCCCTACCCCTACCCTGTTCCCCAGCCTTGCAAGGCAGCAGCAGCAGCCCTTTCCTCCTCTCTCCTCCCTCCTTGCGGGTGCATTGATCAGGCTCTCTCTTTTCTTTGCTATTGCATCCAGCATGCCATCGCTTTTTGTTTGAAGGAGTCGGGGAATAAGCCTCCTGTGGTAATGTATCCGTCGGCGCGTGCCTCCCACCGCCCGCCTGCACCACCTTGCCATCCACCCGGGTTGCTGTTTTCTAGGACTTCGGGCCGTTCCTGCTGCAATGGGCCTGGGCCGCCTTTCTCCCCTGCCCCACAAGCTGCCAACTTGCCTGGGGCTTGGAGAGGCGAACTTCCCTCTCCGCTGTGGACATTTTCCAGGGTCCTCCTCCCTCCACGTTCAGAGCAACCAACAGCCGCCTCCAAGGGCTCCCCCCCCAAATGCCCACAAGAGATCTGCCATTTGCCCTCAGTTCTTGGGAGTTTGCCTCATCTTGTTGCTCACCCTCCAAACACAATCAGCCCCTTGCCTTTCCAGAGCCTGCAGAAATCCTGGGATGCATTTCTTGTTTTTGTTAGACACTCTGGTTTTTGTTCTATTTTAGGACGTTTAGTGTGGGGGCGTCTACCGACTTTTCTCTCTAGAGCTGTAAGGTGTCAGGAAGGGAAAGATGTGGGTGCAGGCAACAGCACAAACCCTCTCATTACCACCACTGCCCACCAAAACTCCTGCTGTGTTGAGATTTGACCTGTTTTGGCCTCTGGGGCCAGGTGACCACCTCCTCCCTTGGTTCCTTTTGGGTCTCTTCTCCTGGGCTGGCTGGTGGGGGGGGAAGGCTTGCTCCATTAATTCCTGGCTTCAGCAGTGGTGGAGGAAGGGGTAGAGCATCTGTCAAGCTGGTCTCCAGAGCTTGCTGTCTACGGCCAACTCTTCCCCACCCCCAGGGATACGGCCCTTTCCCTCTGAAACCTCCCTCCAGCTCATTGCAGCAGGAATGGAGGTGCCCCATTTGCCTCTCTCTTTTTTTTCTCCCCACCCTTTTTTATTTTTTGCTGGCCTGCTGGGTGTCTGTGCCTGTTTGTCTGTCTGGTCACCCCTCCCCCCCTCCCTTTGCCCTGTGCAATGTCTGCGCACGGCCTGCCCTGCTCTGTGTGTGTCTCTGGTGTGGGGGCTGCCTTTTGTTGTCTTGTCTGCTGTGTCCTGGGGTGAGGACAAGCATGTTTCCTTGGAGTGGGAAATGCAGTTATTTAGCAGGACTGACTTGCTGGCTCCTCTGTCTTCTCTCCTACCCAGGGCAGACCCCTGACCCCCCATTTAGCATTCCCTCACAGCCACTGTGGCGCTGCAGCCCACTGGGCCTAGCACTAGGCCAGAACCTCCCCTTGGAACATTTGTGTGGTGGGGAGAGTGAGGGGAGCTGGCAGCTGGTCTTTGGGGTCACTCAGAGCTGCTACAGAAGGGAGAGTGTCTCCTTTTCTCCTCCTATGCTGGCTGCTTCCTCCTCACTTCCCTCCTGCTTTTCTCCTCCTTGGCTGACACAGAGGGACTTGTGCCTTCGAGGGACTCGCTTGCGCCCCCCCACCCCGCTTTATATCCTTTGCCTCCTTCCCAGCATGCACTTTGCTCTTGGTATTGGGGCAGGGTGGGGGAGGTGTCATATTTTGTGCACACATATTCTTGGGGTGGGAAAGAGGGTGTTAATCTTGGCTGGTTCTTCACCCTCTGGGTATTCCCAGGAAGAATTTCATGAGGGCTTCTGCATGGTGGTGAAGTTGAGGGTGGGATGGAGGAGCTTAGAGTGTGAGGCCCTGGACCGAGAGGAGGCAGGGGGTGCATTCTTCAGGCTTTTTCTAGTGTCCCTCGTGTGGGGACCAGCTCCTTCTGTCGCTGTGTTGACTTCCTCCTGCATTTCTGCCCTGCACAGATCCGCTATCGGAAGGACAAGGCGCTGCCCAAGCAGACTCCCTGCTTCCCTGCCATCACTGGCATGAAGGACCTGGCCAGCGGGGGCGCCATTGCTGCCACCATCCACTACTACTGCCCCCAGATTGTGCGCCTCGAGGGTGAGTCGGTGCTCTGGTTCCTGGGTGGAGGGAAGGGGCAGCTGCTCGGAGCTTGCAGCCGTTGTGTGTGCATTGCTTCCACTCGCACGTGTGTGTGCACACGAATGCACCCCGCACGCTGATGGCTATTGTGTGCTTCCCTTGCCCGGTAGACGTGTGCCTGAAGGAGACCATGTCGGTGGCAGACAGCCTGTACAACCTGCAGCTGATCCAGGGCTTCTCTGCGGACTATTTGGGTGGCTCCTGCTTCCTCTCCTTGGAGGACCTGCTGTACATGCCGCCTATGCTGAGGGTGAGTGCTGGGACTGGGCAGGAGGTGGGGCAGTCCTCCAGCCCCTCTGTACCTCTAGAGATAAAAACATGGCTGCCCTGGCTGCAGTAAGGGAAGCCCTCACAGCTTCAGGGCCGAGGAGCTGCTTGGAAGGAGCCCTGGCATGGCAGAAGGAAGCCTTGCCCCGTGCCCCGTGTGGCTGCTCATGTGGAGCAAGTGGGGATTAGTGTTTGGTCTGAGCGTCCAGCCTGCCTTGGCCCTAATGAGCCTTGGCTGGGGCCTCCGGCTGCACTAATTGGAGGCTGATCGTGCAAGAACAATGAGGCCCTTCTGCAGTGGGTGGCAGGGCAGTGCTGGGGGCGGGGATTGCGGTGGGTCAGAAGAGAGACGTTGTAGGCACCAGGAAGAGTTCTTCTCAGGAGTGCTACCTGCAGATGGAGATGGTGGAGCAGAGACTAGGTCCTCTCCTCCCCCTTGTTCTCTGGACCCAACTCGGCTAAGTGAGGGGAATGAAGGCTGCTTCCTCCAGAGACTATTTGGCTAACTCATTGCCCTTCATCCCCAGATAAACGTCGGGGTGTTCCTGGCAGAGTTGTTCCTGTGCTTTGAGGTGCTTAAGCCTGACTTTGTGCACCCAAAGGAGCTGCCTGGACTTCAAGGTAAGAAGGTGGCAGGTGTGCTTGTATGTCTGTGGCACCCAGGAAGCTGCCCAGGTTCACGGGCTCGCACTGCTTTGGCTTGCTCCTTGTTGTGTGTAAACTGGCTGCTAGTGCCTCTCTGGGGTTTCAGGTCCAGAGCCTTTCCCCCTGACCTACCTGAAGATGCTAAGGATGCTGGAGTCTAAGGTATGGCTCCCCCCACCCTCCACACCTTAGTGGTAGCAGTTAGCTTGAGGAGCAACTAACCCAGGATAGGAGTGAGGCAGTCCATTCCCAGCCTGCAGAGCTGTGCTGTTTGGGGTATGTAGTATTGCAAGATATTTGTCAGTACATTCATTATGGGCAGACTCTTATATTTGGTATACTATGTGCTGATAATTTCCAATGTGCTGAGCAGGCAGAAAAACCCAAACTACCTCCCCCCCCCCGAATAACTTAACACCCACCCCCATTTAATAATTGTAGCATATATGGCAACAACAAAAAATTGTTTGTATACTTGTGAACATGAGAATTATGATTTTTGAAGTATATGGAATGCTGGTGGGATAATTAGAGTAGAGGAGGGAGCACAGTCGACATGGGGAGAGAAAGGAAGAAGCGCAGAACATCTTAATTGCAGCTGTATCTAATTGTTTCTGAAGACATTATTACTAGTTGCATGCTTTCCAGACATTTTGCAAATCTGGGGCCCACGCGCCTGCTTTTTCTTAGTTTTGAGAATGAAAAGCTTCTCTTAAAGCCTAAGGAAATTTGTCTTCCACAAGTTATCTGTTACAGTTCGTACAGTGTTTTGAACTAGATAATTGGCAATCAGGTCCTCCCTTCCTTTTAAGGGGGAGATGGAAAGAGGGTATGGCATATGCCTCCCATATTACGTGGTATAAACCAAAGGTGACTGGTATTTTTGTTTCACACCTTGTAGTCACTTTGATCTGATTAATTGAACAAACATATTCTGTCTGTGGAGCATCAATGGATCCTGTTGCAGGATTTAGATTGTGCTTGCCTTGGCTTTATCTTGACCAGCAGCGTTCACGGCTTTTCCAAATACTTGTTAAAACCTTGGCCCTTCCTGGAAAGTTTGCATTTTTATGTTGCGAACGCTTTTCTGGTCTTGCTGCAAGAAAAGATACCTTTAATCCCCATTGTGCATTCTGTACATCAGGTGGTAAATTGCATGCCTGAAAAATAAGGAAAAGTAAAGGCTGTGCTATAAAGCCTGTCTGTGCACACAGGTATTTGATAGCAGCCTATCACTGTCACACTTCCCCTGCCGCCCTAAATCAGTTGTCCCACTGAGTAAGTGGAGCAGAGGCATGGGCTGCTGGGAGCTGGCATGCTCCAGCCTTGGAACAATGGCCTCCTGTGTGAGCCGAGATGGGAGCAGGTTCCTCTCCTGCCCTTTGGTACACGTGGTTGGCATTCCCACCCTTTCCTGACCTTCTAGTGACTTAATCCTCAGCGTGAGCTCTCTGCTCCCTTCCCCTCTCGGCTTGTTCAGTAAAGTGGCTGTTCTCTTCCAGATTCCCCTGGGCTGAATGACTCCCTGACGCCCAACAGTGGGAACAACAGCAGGTAAGGGAGCCTCTGCTACTCTCACCACCGCCACTTGGAGCCTGAAACCAGGCTTGCCCTCTCTTGCCCATGCTGGGAGTCAGATTTGGATGCTGTGCTTTGCAAGGAAGGTGTCTGTGGGCTGCTCTTTCTCTCTGGTGCCTCATTCCAGAGCTAGGATTTTGTAAATGGATGATGATGTAGGAGCATGAGAAATTGCCTTATGCTGAACCAGACCCCATTGATCCACCTCTATCAATGTTGTCTACACCAGGGTTTCCCAAACTTGGGTCTCCAGCCTTTTTCAGACTACAACTCCCATCATCCCTAGCTATCAGCATCTGGTCAGGAATGATGGGAGCTGTAGTTTCAGACAGGGAGCCTCTCCCAGCCCTACCTAGAGATGCCAGGGATTGTCTTCTCTAGGGCACTAGTTCCCTACCTTTTCACCCACCAAGAGGACGGTCCCTGCATTCTGCCATGTCAGCTGCAGTTCCAGCTTATAAAACGAAGCTGCTTTAGCCTGAGTGTGTTGCTGTCACTAGCTTCCCTGTCTGGCAGCGTGGCTAGCCAGTCTCCCGTGTATGAATCAAAGCTGTTGGGAAGCCTTAGATGGGAGTCATGTCCAGACTGCTACCTGCAAGTCCACAAGCCATGATGTTGCTGACAGAGGACTCCAGGCAAGGAGCCTTTGGCTCTGAAAATGTTGCTGGACTCCAACCAGCAACAACCAATGTGGCTGCTGGTCAGGAATGATGGGAGTTGTACGCTGCTGGTGGCTTAACTGTGCCCTTCCCAGTAGTGCTCAAAAACCGTGAATCCCTTTAGGAATAGTTAACTATCGTCTCCCTTCCCCTCTGCCAACTGCAACAGCAACAAGGGGCAATGTTGCTGTTGCAGCTGGCAGAGGTCTGGGAGAGTCCTTGAGGTCCTTCACGATTTCAGTGCTGTTGACGTAAGAGTCCTTGCTTTCCTAAAAAAAACTCCACCCAGCAACTTGCTCTTCAGATGTGTTAGTACTGTACTCCAAAGTGCCACAACTTGACTTTCCCCCTCTCTGCTTGCCTAGGGGGCCTCTCCACATATTAATATTAGACAGTCTTTGGGGAAACGTGATCTGGAAGGAGTTATTCCTGTAATCAGGGTGGGGAGAGCTCCTTATGTTTTTTGTGGTGGCTCAGTGCCTCCTTATGTTTCAGGAGGGTTGGACCTTCCTTTGCTCTGGGGAGAAAACTGCGTCCCTGGCACTGTGGTGTGTGAGTCGGGTGCTCCCTTCCCCTGATCAGCTGTAGCTGCTGATCAGGGGAGTCTTCGTGGTTTACCTGGATTGAGTTGCACTGGTGGAGTAAAGGGGAAAGCACTCTTGGCCAGAGCAGCTGCTCTCCCTTTGCTCCAGGCCAGCAGAAATTGTAGTTCTTCTTGCAGGGCAGGTGGGTGGGTGGGGGTGTGACTGGGCAAGCTTCTGATCTTTAAGGTAGGCACAGCTTTCCTCCCATGTGCAAGTTATGGGAATGCCTTTAGGCAGCAAATTAAAGGAACTTGTTCCTGCAAGTCTGTTCACTTCATTTGCCAAACGAATGAGCGGAATCAACACTTAGCAGAGTGCCTACATGTTCCACGTATAATGTAATGCAGTGATTCTAGTGTTGTGCAAATTCCTTCTTGGGTTTCTATCACCCCTCCCCTTTAAAAAAACAAATGCAACAACCCACACCAAACTAGTCCTATTTCCTCAAAGGACTAGCTTTCAGCACCCAGTTTCCCTCTGCTGACTTCACTTGTGTGAGTGCAGACTGTGTTGGTGCTGCCAGAGGATTGTGGCTGGAGGCCTAACCAGTGTGCAGCAGCATCTGCTTCTCTCTGTGTGACAACAAGTTTTGTAGCAATGTTCTTAATCTGATCTCATCTCTCTCCCCCCCCCGTAGCTCCCCAGTTTTCAGCTTCCGCCACCCACTGCTGCCTGGAGGGCAGGCACAGTCCCCACTCTGTGGTTCTTTAGGTAAGGTGCTGCTGCTTTGTCTAGTCTCTCTCCCCCCACCCTGGCCAATACAAACCACATACAAGCTGTGGGGGAAGAAAAGGAGTCCTTCAGTTCTGTTGGGGGTAAAAGGTTAAGCAAAACACATGCAAGTCTCTTGGAGGTCCTCCTTAAGGCGTCATTATCATGACTGTCGGCATCCCCAGGGGCTTGTTTCTGTGGTTTCCCAAGCTCTTGGTCCTGGATAGCTGTTCAGCTTCACCCAGCAGCTGCTGCACATTTCTCAAGAGCAACAGAGCCATAGTATGCCTGCCTTAGATGGCACAATTTTAAGATGCTTTGGTAAAGGCGCAGTATGCTAGATTCATTGCATGAGTAAGGGTGAGCTCTGTTGAACCTCTTGTAAGGCAATAAGGGCTGCAACCCTGTGCAACCAGAGAGGGGAAAGCTCTGCCCTTCTGGGTGCTTTGAATCGCCTAACTTCCATCCGGCCCAGCTGGCATAGCCCAAGGCCAAGGACGATGGGATTTGTAGTCCAGTTATGTCTGGAGGGCTGCAGGTTCCTCCTTCCTGGTTTACACCTGGAACTTTGCTTGTGAATAGGCATGCACAAAATTGTACTGTGTAAACTGGCCTATCATGGGAAAAGATCATTCTGAGAAGGCAGGTTTTAATCTACATCTCACCTCAAGAGATGGCCCTAGACAGCCTGAGATATATCTGACGTCATCGGAGTTTGTGCTGCTGATGTCGTGCCCTCGTGGGCCTTTGGTGTCCTTTCAAACACATGCTTTGTGAAGGATCCTTGTCAAAGTAGAGCGGCTCTCCTTTTGTGTGCTTGCTTCTCCTTATTGTGACATGGAGGATACTGTCCCCCAAGGACAGCCTGGGCCAACTTGGAGCCCTCCAGATGTTTTGGGTTGTCACTCCCATCAGCCAGAGCAAGCATGGACAATGGTCAGGGAGGGATGGGAGCTGGAGTCTGAAACATCTGGCAAGCTGCTTGGATTCCTCCCACCCCTTGAGTTGAGGGCCTTGAATCCTGCCACCAAGTCTCTAGGACAACCCCACTGTATCTTCTTGTTCCTCTGATTTGGGTCCTTTTTGTGTCCTTAGGCTCCCTGCATCACTCCACATCCATGTCCCATGTTGAGGGCTTTGGTAAACCATGGAGCAAGAAGCAGCTCAGGTGAGGAGCACGGGGGGTGGATTTCATATGGCCAGAGGAGGGGACAACTTCCCAGACCTCTGCTTATCCACCGACTTGGGATACAGAGTTCTGAGAAGCAGTACCAGCAGGTTGTGAGTGGAAGGTGGGCTTGGAATGTCCCAGCTTGTCCGTCCTTCTTTTGCTCCTAATCTTATCGCTTTGCTCCGCTTCCCTAGCCACCCGTTGTCGCAGGCGGTCTCCTTCAGCATCCCCTTTGGCTTGGACAGCGATGTGGACATTGTGATGGGGAACCCGGTGGGCATGCTGCGCTCTGTCAGCTCAGACAGCCTGGCCCCTGCCCTCTATTCCTCCTTGCCTCGCTCCCCACGCCCACGGTCCACTGACGTGGTTGAGGCCCCCAATGGCTTAGTGACAACACCGCTCCATGGGACTGGACCCAAGGCCCAGGAGGGGCTGGCCCTGGAAAACGGGCTGAGCGACGGCTACCCCGACCTGCCTACCATCGAGGAGGCCCTGCAGATCATCCACAGCAGCGAGCGCCTGCTCCCCGAGGGAGCGCCCGATGGCTTTTACCTGCACTCTCCGGAGCCGCCGAAAACTTCTGTGCCAGAAAAGGCACCCATGGCTGCTGTTTACCGCTGCCACAATGGCCCCCCCAATGGGGCCGAGCCAGCCCAGGACGGCAGCCTAGACTCAGACGCAGAGGAGCCCACACGGGCCCCTGGCGGCCCAGATGACTCCACCTCGTGCGTCAGTTCGCTGAGCTCGCAGCCCGACAGCACGGCTTCGTCCGCCTCTGGTGTGCGCATGACCAGCTTCGCGGAGCGCAAGAAGAAGCTGGCGGCGACAGACAGCAAGTCCAGTGGGATCAGCTCCGAGGGCTCTGAGGTTGGGCCTGTCCCGCCAGACGAGAGCCCCGCCCAGAGCCCCGCCCTCAGCTCAGAGATGAGCCAGCTGGGGGCGCGGCTGGAGGAGAAGCGCCGGGCCATTGAGGCTCAGAAGAAGCGCATTGAGGCCATCTTCACCCGGCACCGCCAGCGCCTGGGCAAGAGTGCCTTCCTGCAGCTACAGAAGGCCCCCGATGCCCAAGGCCAGTCGGAGGATGGCCGGCTCGCTCTCGAGGAGCGGCTTGCCCAGCTGGAGGCCGAGGAAGAGGCCGGAAGCCCTCGGGCCCGCCTAGACAACAAGCAGGTGACCTTTTCCCCGGAAATCACCAAGGGCGGAGCGTTGGACGAGAACCTGGGCGACTACAACCGGGCGGTGGCCAAGCTGAACACCGCCCTGAGCTCCCTGCAGCTGGACATGCAGCGACTGAGCGATCAGCAGCAGCGCCTCCTGCTGGATAAGAAGCCTAGCGTGCAGGCCTGGGTGATCCCAGCCCCAAGGACCGGCCGTGAGGGGGCTCCTCCCCGCTCCTCCCTGGAGCTGTCCTCCCCCTCGCCGTCGCCCTCCCCTTCCCGCAAGTCCCGCTCCCCTCAGCCCACCCCTAAGAAGTCTCCCGCCCCGGCTCCGCCCAAGAGCCCCCGGCACGCCCGGCCAGTGGAGCTGAAGCTGCCCCCCCTCACGCGGGTCCTGACGCCTCCCCACAACGTGGACACCCTCCCGCACCTCCGCAAGTTTTCCCCCAGCCAGGTGCCCATGCAGACCCGCTCCTCCATCCATTTTGCCGAGGACGAGGAGCTGCCCGTGCCGGAGGCCCAGGGGAACTTGCGGCCTGTGGCCTCGGTGCCCCCTCAGGGGGGCAATGGCCGTGTCTCTGGGGATGGTACCAGTGACGTCTCCTCGCCCAGCGACCGGCGCAGCAGCCTGATTGAAATCCCCTTGTCCAGCCTGAAGGGGGAGGAGGAAGACGACGATGCAGATGGCGACGACTCGCTGGAGGGATCCATCACCGAGGCCCTGGACTCCGAGCCGGCCCGGGCTGGCATGGGCTTCTACTTCAAGGTAAGCGCTGGAAGCGGAGACTGCAAACACCCATGACGGGCATTCTGCACTTTCTGTAGAAGAGCTTTTGGAGCATGGGCAAGAGGCAGCTGGGTATGGCTCGGCCCTTGGAGCCAGCCAGGGCTAGGCTGGGCTTCAGGTGACTGTGCTGCTTCGCTCTTTCTTGGCTGGCTCAAGGTAACGGGAGTAGGCAGCCTGCAGTGGGACAGGGATTCCAAGGGGCCCCTTTTGACTGGCAGGAGCGTCTGCAGAATGTGCAGGTGGGGTTGCTGAAGCCAAGTGCTTGAACAAAGACACTGTGTGCGTGTGTCCAACTTAAAACGGACATCTCCTTTCTGAGATCCTTGTGGGTCAGGGAAGATCTTTTTTCAGACGTGTTTTTCTACTGCGCCGGCTTAAATCACACCAGCTGCTGCTGCTCTCTAGTGGCGATGCAGATCTCTGCAGCATCTTGGACTGGCCCAAAGATAGGACCATAAGCATGAGCTCCAGAAGCAGAACTCAGCCTCAAATGAAGAGAGGATGGAGTGTGGATCATGTACAGAATGACCTCTGCCAGGTTGACTTGGGATTTGCAGTGGGAGTTTGAGGTCTCAGTTCCTGAGCTTTCTGCCAGTTTTGGACCTCATTCTGAGGCTCGATAATCCTGGGACCTCCAGGCATCGATAAATCACATGAAGTTTTTTCCTTCTCTCTATCACCCACCTTTGGGATTCTGATCCTATCTGTAGGTGCTAGAAACCCCATTTTGGGCAAGCCCTATCTATAGCTGGCAGGATCACACAGGATACATGGAGTGGCATTTGCAGAGGGGTTGAGAGCAGTTGGCTCCAGTCCAGAGGAAGGTAGAGAAAGAACCTAAGAGCTCTGCTGGATCCGACCAATCTAGTTCAGCATCCAGTTGTCATTGTAGCCAACCATAAGGACAGGCCTGGCTGCTGCGTGACTCCTGTCCTGAAAGTGAAAAGTGACCCTGCATCTTAGAGGACTCACCAACCCTTTCTCTCTACTGACTCGCTGCGTTTGTTCAGGATGAGGCGAAGGCTGAGGAGGAAATGGCGCAGAAGCGCGCAAGCTTCCTAGAGAGGCAGCAGCGACGCACTGAGGAGGCGAAGCGCAGGAAGCAATGGCAGGAGGCGGAGAAGGAGAAAAAAGAGGAGGAGGCAAGGTGAGGTTGGGATGGGGGAAGCCACAGGGTCCTTCTCATTCTTGGCCCTCTTTGTAGGCATGGCCATGGTAGGTGCTTCTGCTGTGGCGGGAGGCCATGTGCTTCCAGTATTCCACCCCCACCCCCAGCTCTATTTGGTTTCCCCAGTTCACATGCTACACCGACACTTACAAAAAATGGGTCACTCAAGTAATGCATCTATAACTACTGCTTCATTTGTTTTGTATTGGTTCTGATGCACTGGGATTTCCCATTGTGTGGAAATGGCTCTCATGTCACAGTGGGGCCTTGTGTGAATGGGGCCCTTTTCACTCAATCTTCCAGGGTTTCCACCCCCCTGCACACCCTAAAACTGGAGAGATCAGCCCACTTGTTGAGCTGCAGTGCACTTTAGTATGATGTTGAATCCTTCCTCCTATAACTACAAAATGTCTGCTGGGCTTGTAGTCACTTTTAACCTCTGGCTGTGTTCTTGACTGTGCTTCTCCAGACAGCGGCAGGCAGAGGAGCAGCCCCGGCAAGAGGAGGAAGTGGTGGGGCCGAGGCGCGGTGACTTCACCCGCCTGGAATACCAGCGGCGCCACCAGCTCAAGCTGATGGAGGACCTGGACAAGGTGCTGCGGCAGAAGCCCACCACTGTGCGCGCCCTCAAGAAGGGGCGGCCCAAGACCGTCTTCTGTGATGACTCTGCCCTCGCGCGCAGCCCCGTGAAAGGCCTCCTTGGTAAGAGCTGTGGCTAGTTGGGAGAGGAGCTGGGCACGCTCTGCAGGGCGGCGGAAAACTTGTAAACGCAGTTGCCATGTGTCACGGTGGGACTAGAATGCAAAGGGACCGTGGTTCAGGAAAGGGACCACGGTTCAGGAAAGGGGAAAGGGAAAGCTGTGGCCATATAAACTTTGCCCCCAACTCCTGATCATGTGCCTGCCTATTCCTAGGCTCCAAGCTCAGCAAGGTGTATTCCCAGTCGACACTCTCGCTTTCTACGGTGGCCAACGATCCTGGCAACTCTCTCTCCATCAAGAGGTCTTCTCGGTGAGTTTGTAGTACTTCTACTTGTTACTCTTAACGCATTAAGAGGGTACAGGGGAGATGCAAAAACCCTGGCAGTGTGCTCTAGGGTGGATGGGATTTGGGTTGGCCTTCTAGCTAGTAGCAGGCCCAAGGAAAATGGGTTTGTGCTGCGCTTGCAGAAGTTAAGGGTGAGCACTTCTGTTTTGCAGAGCTGCGTCTCCTTCTGGGCCAATGTCCCCCAGCCGGTTGCTGTCCAACCAGAACCGGGAGCGTGACTGGGAGAACGCATCGACCGCCTCCTCGCCAGCCTCCATTCCAGAGTATACGGGTAAACCTCTTGCTGTCTCAGTCCTCCCTTCCAGAAAATTCCTGCTTTCCTCCTGTGACACTACAGAGGGGCCTCTGCTAGATCCCCTTCTCCAAATGCACTGGCAAAGTGTCTTGATCTGGTGCCTGCTCTGCAAGGGCATCAAGAGACCTCTAGATCCTTTGCCTTGTCTTGCCAGGGCTGCCTTCCTTAGGGAGCCTCGTGAGCCTGTCTTCTCTGCTGAACTTTTCTTCTCTCTGCAGGGCCCAAGCTGTACAAGGAGCCCAGTGCCAAGTCCAATAAGTACATTATTCACAATGCACTGTCTCACTGCTGCCTTGCTGGCAAAGTCAATGAACCCCAGAAAAATCGCATCCTGGAGGTAAGCTGAGGGGGCAATAACATGGGGTGGGATGGCAGGTTGTTAAATGGCTGTGGGCTGGGCAAGATGCATCCTTCGCCCTCGTCTTGCTGAACTGTGCACATCATGTAGATATCCTCCTCTGATCTCTGTGAATTTGGAAGAACATCATGTTGGCTCCAGCTCCTGACTCTGCATGGGCTTTGTAGCTATAGACGTTTGCCTTTGCTTAATACAGCAAGGCCTCACCTTCCGCTGTTAGAAAATAGTGGCATAAAAGCATCGCACTGGCTGCACCACTGAGAGATGTTAATCATAGAACCCCATGTACAAAGGTGTTTGGTCACCTTCATTGGCTGTGAGCCTAGTGGCTGTTGAACCGTACTGTCAGAAGGTAGGAGAGCCCCCTACCCTCTGAAGAAATCTCCCTTTTCTCAGTGGAGATCAAGAAAATCATGTGCGACAGCTGCTGGCTCACAAGAACTTAGAACTGTACATGTTTGTTGTTGGTTCTGCAGACATTTCTAATGTTGGAATGTTTTATGTGCCTCAACTTGATTCTTACTCCTGTTTTACACGCATCTTCCTCCCTGCCCCCCCCCCCCATTTTAGGAAGTGGAGAAGAGCAAAGCCAATCACTTCCTCATCCTGTTCCGTGATTCGAGCTGCCAGTTCCGGGCGCTGTACACCCTGTCGCCGGAGACGGAGGAACTGACGCGCCTGGCAGGCTACGGGCCGCGCACCATCACTCTGGCCATGATCGAGGGCATCTACAAGTACAGCTCTGACCGTAAGCGCTTCACGCAGATTCCCAGCAAGACCATGTCCATGAGTGTGGATGCCTTCACCATCCAAGGACACCTCTGGCAGACCAAGAAGCCAGGCACCCCCAAGAAGCCAGGCACACCAAAATAGCCAGGCCTTTCCAACCTCAGTCCGTCTACTGCTTTTCTCTGCCTGGACTTTAGAGCTGCTACTTGTTAGGTTGCCAGCGAAAGTTGGATATATGGAACCCTACACATAACCTTCCAAAATGGGTGGCTTGTGTAGATGGGTCTGTTAAGCAGGGGGCCACATCTTGTACTGGACCAGCGTTCTCTCTGGCTGTATCAGAGCCACACAGGAATCTTGTGCATAGTTCTGATGCCTGTTCTAAGGAGACTACTTTTTTGGGGGGGGGGGGGTGTTGTTGACAGATGCTCTGGAAACTGCCAAATCCCATGATAATCTAGAGGCTCAGAGTTGCCATAGTGACACTGCCCTACATGCGGCCTGTGTGCGCTCGTCTGGGCTCCTGCATGCTCTGTCTGCCTCCAGCCACCACCTGAATGTTGGTCCACCACCACAGCAATGAAGGGTCTCTCTCTCTGACTCCTGCTTGCCTGGGGAATGGGGCCCAGGCCTTCTTTGGTTCTGTTCGGGGTTTCTTGTTTCCCTGGGTGCCCCTGTTTATATTTATACATACTTATACATATATATATAGATATATATATATATATCTTGGAGCTATTTAATGATTTTTCAATTATTTGTATATAAAAAGGAACAAATTGCATTTGGAACAGTGGGGCAGGGTGAATTTGTATATGGAGATAGGCATGGTGGGGGGAGGGTAGCACAGAACAAGGTGTGTGTGTGTGGATGGATGTTTCCTCCTTTGGCGTTTTGTCTTTCTTCCTTTCCCCACTTCCCCTTTGGGCTTTTTTTTTCCTGCTCCCTTGTTCACAAGGGCTATTTGGTGTAGAGATGGGCAAGGGCTGTTTACATGTCATAACTTTTTAGCAGGCATTTTGGGGGATGGCAGGGAGCCTGTGAATTTGGCAAGCTTCAGCTGGCCATTCTCATTCAAAATATTTGGAAGCTGGGAGTTGCTGTAGTCACAGAGCAGGCCTCTGTGGATCCTGAACTGAGCTGCCAAATGGAAAAAGCAAACTCCTACCTGCTCTAGGAAGAGAGCAGGCTCCAGCCTCTTCTTTCCTTCCTTCCTTACCAGTTTAGAGCTGCGCCTCTGGGCTGTAGCAGGCATTGAATGTAGGCTGCTCCTTCAGTTGTCCTCCCCAAGAGCCAGAGAAGGCCTGGGCACTGAGGGGCTTCTACCCTCTTTTCTTTCTCTTCTCCCCCACCCCCTACCCAGCCCACTTGCTGTTTGGGTCTTTTCCTCCGCCTCCTGCTCTTTTGGGGCTCTCGAGGCAGAGTGCAGGAGGGAGCTGGGGGAAGCCAGTCCTGTTCAGCTTGGGGTTCTGTCTTGTTCAACTTTATTCCAGGTCTCTCGTGGTTGCTTGTTGATGACCGAATGTCATGTAGGTGTTTGGGGATACAGTATAGTGCAGGGTTGGTGTTAAAAAAAATTAAAAAGGCAGGTGGGAACTTTGTCCCTGGCTGCTTAATAAAGTAACTTAAATGAACTCTTTGCTGGTCATTACTTTGGTGTACTTCCATCCCACACAGAGTGGGGTGAATAAAAGACACTGGAGGCAGATTGTGTCTCTGGTTTTGAAAGCCTGCCTTTCCTTTCTCTCTATAATTGGCTTTATGTTGCAAGTGTCTGCTCTTCAGCTTTAGCCTGTGCCCATTACTCAGCTGTTTTGGATAGCAGCGCGGAGGCACGGGCAATAGGAGTCTAGCCATTTTAAAGCCTTTTTTGTCGGATGTTTGTGCACTTGTTCCATGTTTAATGCAGGGTTAGAACTACTGGGGTGTGACCAGCTGCTGTTTCCTTGTTTGGGTTTAATTAAGCGTGGCTTCCTTGAAAGCAGCGAAAGTTTGGTAGGTGTTCAGCTGGTTGGTAGAAGGAAGTAAGGACATTCTCCCTGTTCCACCCAGCTATTTGTTGGACTTGCCCCCATGAGCATGACCAAGCAGGACAGGAATATACTTAAGAACAGGACTTGGGAGAAACTGCTATAGCAGGAAAAACAAATTATATATTGGCATTCACAAAAGGTATGTGGTAACAACCTCATCACTACTGCTTAACCCCCTTTCCTTAATGCTCATTGTTCCTAAACATCAAGAGCTTATTCACAAGTCTGTTTTAAGCTGCCAGGATCTTATGAAGTAACTGTTGTCACAACAGTTAAGCTAGTGAGAGAGGATGAATTCTTATCAGCAGCACAGTTAAGGAAATTCCATTAGGAAGGTGAGGGTTAAGCACTCCATTGTATTGAACATGGAACTGAACTGAAAGCAGTGTTTGACATAAATTGAAGAAGCCCCTTTTATTACACTTTTTAAGCGTAGGAGAGTTAGCATTTCAGTAATGAAAAGTATGCCAAACTAGCAGCTGGCAGTGCAGGTTACTTATTCTTGTATACAGCAGCTGGCATTGTTGCCCACCTTTTCTCATAGAGCTGGAAGGGACCCTGAGGATCATCCAGTCCAACCCCTTGCAATGCACAAATTTGTAGCTGTCCCTTATGGGGATTGAAACTGCAACCCTGGTGTTGCCAACACCATGCTCTAACCAATTGAGCTAGTTTCCCATACAGACCTAAACCAGACATTTGATAAAAAGATTTTATAAATAGCAACATGACAGAATGGAAAAGGATACTATCAAGGAAAACAAACAAATTACACCAAGCGCAGCTTATACAGATACGACACTTGTAGCCCTAGTTCAAAAACAGTTCATCCATCTGCAGCTGCTCAATCATCCTTAAGGCCTCCAAACACAGCGGAAGGAACACTCTTCTGCTCCAGCTGCACCTCTGTAGGAGAGAAGATTTGGGATAATCAATATAAAGCAAGAACAGTCAGATGTCAGGCTTAGAGAAATGACTTTGCTGGGTTGGACCTCAGCATTCTAGCAACCATTTCTGATTTGTGCAAGAACTAAGCTGAACTCTCTTTTTCACACAAAAATATACTCTTAGTTTTGCCAAAAGTATCTTCAGCAATCCCCCTTTTTCTTGTGGGGAGACTTTTTAGAGACCTGGCAGATCAGAAACCCTTGCCGTCCTGTTGCAAATCACCTGGAGATCTACTGGTAAACCCTAGTGTACTTTGTGCCTATTCGCTTCAAAACCTAGACCATACAGCACCATCTCTTACTTACCGTCAGGCTCATTATCCTCACTCTCATCTCCATCATCCAAATCAATGTCTATCTCATCAGGATTAGCCTGTTTGGAGAGTTCAGCCAGCTCACTGCGGGAAGCATCACTCCTAGAAATAAGGAACAAGAAACTGGTGAATCGTACAGGAGCCAGCACAGTATTAGTCACACAGTGACTGCCCCATGCCTATACTGCAGGAAACAGGTCCATCCTGCTGGCTTTACAGGTTCATATGTCTCTTCTCCACTGCAGGCTGCAGCTGAAAGCCACTAGATAAGCTACACCAACTATTAGAACCTGCAGCGTTAACTCAACTCTACAGCTTCACTATCCACATTATCATAAACGCATTAAATGCATTTGGTTTCACTGTAACAACCATCAAGGCAAAACAGAACAAAAATGCATAGTGAAGGGACCAATGGAGGTTAAAACATAAGTCACACCATTGCTACATTTCTCCCTCTACCCTGATCTGCAAACTCTTAATCCTGTTTTGTGTTCCTTTCAGGCTTTAGTCTAATGTCAATATCTTAGACTTCTCACCTTAACGTTTAGCAGACAAGACTCCAGGTTCAAGTCACATAACAACAAAGCCCAGCCTGGGTCTGACAGTGTGTGCCTGCCACTACCCAACGGAGCCACAAGTTTAATCATGATAAGAACTAGAATTCCACTACCTATCCAAATTGAGTGCATGTGGACACATACAGAATTTTAACACAGCAGATGGACAAACTGAGCAGTTGTTTAAAAATGTCTCTTCCCCCACCCAACAACCACAAAAAAAACCTTTGAAGTAGTGGAGACAGTAGGCATAAGGTGGTTTCTGTGGCCCTGGCTATACTTCTGTGTCTCTTCTACTACCCAAATTCCAGGGGGAAATATTTTTAAAACCTCTAACCAGAACATACATGCATTAAGATAAAAAATAATGTACACTCCACATTAAATAGATTCTGTCTACTACCTAGTTTCTCATGGCAAGAACACTGCATGTTTTCCTATTTCCATCAGCAGCTACCTTGTGCTGCCATCCCTACTTCTACAACTCTCCAAGCTTACGACAAACAGCTTGGTTCTTGCCCAACCTGAAATATGACCCCTGGTGTATTGCATGCTGGGTGGTGACCTACAGCGAAGAGGTTAAGCAAGTCTCCCTGGCCTGCAGTACACTCACCTGACAAACAGGATCTTCTCCTTAGCTTGGGGCTGATCTCGCTCCGCTTCAGCTGCCAACTGCTCCGCCCGCTGCTCTAACAGTTTCATGTCATCCATGCCACTCTGCCCAGGTGCCAGGTCAGACACTGAAACCGAAAGACAAGCAGGAGGGAAGGGCAGGGGAAGGGTTAGAACGGAACAGGAGATGTAGCAGCAGACACCCCTCTCTGCTGGGACCTGGGGGGGGGGGGAGAGAGAGACCTACCTGTGCCCGTGGCATTGCTGTACACCTTCAGCATCTGAGAGGCCATGAAGTTGACTTGTGTGTTGTAGGTCGCTTGCACGCTTCGTTTAATGCGAAGCATCTCCCGGATAGTGTCTTCGTTCCCATGCCGGATCTCAAATTCCTTCCATGTCTGCCAGAAATTGGCAGTAGTCTGGAAGGAGAAGAAAAAGTGTTTTGAGGGGTGGGGTGGGAAAGAAGGCAGTCACTGCGCGGTTCAACAGATCAACTGGAACTTCTCCTTCCTGCTTCACTAGTCTTTCCCCTGAGCTCTGCTATGGGAAAAGCAACACGAAGGTGTGTCTGTGTACAGTGGTACCTCGCAAGACGAATGCCTCGCAAGACGAAAAACTCGCTAGACAAAAGGGTTTTTTGTTTTTTGAGCTGCTTCGCAAGATGATTTTCCCTATGGGCTTGCTTCGCAAGACGGAAACGTCTTGCAAGTTTGTTTCCTTTTTCTTAACACCGTTAATACAGTTGCGACTTGACTTCGAGGAGCAACTCATAGAACACGGTGTGGTAGCCTTTTTTGAGCTTTTTAAAGACTTTGGTGATTTTTGAAGCTTTTCCAAAACTTTCCCGACACCGTGCTTCGCAAGACAAAAAAAATTGCAAGACGACAAAACTCATGGAACGAATTAATTTCGTCTTGCGAGGCACCACTGTACAGAAATGAGTTGTGCTGTGTATCTTCTGCACCAGAAAAGGAAATCCTTGCATCTTTGCGATAAATAAGCTATACTAACGATAATAATAATAATTAATAATAATAATATACTAATGATGCTGATAGAGTTATCCTTGAACATAATGGAGAGCTAGCTTTTCTTACCTTCCCACACTAGGTCCTAAAAAGCCTTGCTCAGGCAGATGTATGACTAGTTCTCTAGTGTGTGGGAGAGATCATAGAATTGTAGCACTGGAAGGGTCCCCGAGGGTCAACTAGTCCAACCCCCTGCAACGCAGGAATCGCAGCTAAAGAACCCCTGACAGATGGCCATCCAACTTAATTAGAAACTTCTCACAAAGGAGAGTCCACCAGGTGACTTACTCGGGGATCACACATCTGCGAACAGTAGGAATAGATGGCCCGAGCTCGGTCTATTTCGCCCAGCTTGCACTCCATGTCGGCAAAGCGCAGGCACATCTCCCGAGCGTGTTCATCTGTCAGCACCTGCAATGGGGATACGTGTTAACACTGCACCCTGCCCGTCAATGTTTCTAAAATGGCTAACGAGTTAAAAACAAAAGCATCCAAACACATATTGCAAACCGAAAGGGACACAATAAGAGCACAGCAGCAGAAAAAGTTGATATTAGCAGTCCTGTTGCATGATGACAAAGATTTGTGTGGACACCAAGTGAGCCTCCCCAAGGGCAGCCTTCCAAAGGTTGGCGGTCACAATCAAAGGGACTGGCTCACTCTCAGCTCCTGAAGTGGACCTCAGAGCACAAGCAGGTATCTCTGGGAAATGTCCCAAGCTGTATAGGGCTTTATAAAAAGGTAGCACTCAACACTTTGACCTGTACTGAATAATAGCAAAAACAGCATATTGCACAATATCCTCATAGTTGTAATAGTGATTACAGAAGCTGTATTTGCATTTACCCCATATCATATAAGGGAACACAATCCTATTCAGCCATTACCTAGCAGACTACTTTCTCTCTAGGCGAGGGCAAGAGCCAGTGTGGTGTAGTGGTTAGGAGCGGTAGTTTCGTAATCTGGGGAACCGGGTTCGCGTCTCCGCTCCTCCACATGCAGCTGCTGGGTGACCTTGGGCCAGTCACACTTCTCTGAAGTCTCTCAGCCCCACTCACCCCACAGAGTGTTTGTTGTGGGGGAGGAAGGGAAAGGAGATGGTTGCCGCTTTGAGACTCCTTAAAGGGAGTGAAAGGCGGGATATGAAATCCAAACTCTTCTTATCCTGGAGTTTTAAACACAGTGTTATTTATTGGGAAAGAAGGAACTAACCTCAATAGCCTTCTCGTAGATGCTACGTGTGTGCGTGACCCCATAGATTTCAGCTGCTCTCTTGATGTAGATATTGTACATGTCATACTGCTCCGAAGGCTGCACAGCCTGAGTGGCCCTCTCATACACTGCCATGGCATGGCGTGCCAGCCCATATTCTTCCTCCAGTTTGGCATACAGCAGGTAGATAGCTGTGAACAGAGAAGAAATTCAAGCAAAACTACATTCCTCCCCCACCCCCAATCTTCGGATCAACTCTTCTCACCAAGACATTTTGGCCCTGTATGGACTACGTTAGTGACACTCCAGATACCATAGGAAAAGTTTTAAATAAGCACTGCCCCAAGGGAGAATTATTCAGACTGCCCTCTTGCACTGAAGAGGATGTGACAGAGATGTTCTCTCCATCTCAATGGCTCCTGCTGGACAGGAACTTATCAGGCCTCAATACAGATTGGCTACCCTAGGGGGTGCCCTTCAGATGTTTTGAACTACAGCTCCCATGATCCCAGACTACTGGGCTAAGCCAGCCCAGCTGAGGCAGATAGGAACTGTAATCCACAACCTCTGGAGAACACCACAATGGCAGCCACTGGGTTATGGATGCAGATGCCCTGTGGCTCGCTTTGGGGGCAAGTCCTCTAGCTTTGGCCTTGCTGTTTCCTGTATCTCAGCTTCCATTGCCCAGGAAAACAGGACTGGGCATTTCCCATTATCTATCAGCTCCCACCTCCAGGCTTTTACTGCCTCTGCTCCCTTGCAACAGAGCACAGTTCCGCTTACTTTTAGCATATTTCTGGGGGCAGCCATCTAGAGCCTGTTCAAAGAGGTCCCGTGCACGCTCCAACTTCTTGCCACCATAGCGGTCGGTGAATTTGGTAAGATAGGTGTTCCAAATGTCATACACGTTTGGCCACTTGAACAATGAGATGCCCCTCTCATACGCCTGCCAGAGAGAAGGAATGGTAAGAAAAAGACAGCAAAAGCTTTCTTGTTGGTATACTCTTGCTTATATGAAAACCACCATCAGGTGATTGTGGTCTATGCAGTCCAGTACTATCTGCTCTGGCTGACAGCAGGAACCCAATATCTCCAAAATAGATAAATCTTTTCCCAGCTTTGCTACCTGAGGGTCTTTTAATCTGGAGATGCCAAGGAATGAATCATGGGACCTATTAGTTGAATACTACCCCCCATGCTAATCTTTCCAAAGGTTACAGAGATGTAGGATCTGCATAGTTCCGCTCTGCTACCTAAGAAGTACACCACACACTGTAGATATTTTGAGCCCAAGGTCCTCTCTCTCAAGCTCCACAGCTTGCAGCAGGCAGCTTTTACGATTCAGTGGCTCCCAAACCAACCAGATGGGCAACTTCCCACTCCCCCAGCTGCTATGAGAGCAGACAGAGGTATTGATATGGCCAACTCACCTTGAAACTCTCTTCAAAGTAGCTGTGCTCTTCCAGGAAGAGGCCATAGTTAATGATGATTTGTGGGGTGGCAATGCGCAGGTCCAGAATGCGGTCATACACAGCTTTAGTAGACTAGGGGTGGTAACATAAAGAAACTTCAATATTAGGCTGAACCACAAAGAGACAGCTGAGTTACAGAGACAGCTTGGGGCCCTCAGTCACTGTTCCTTCCCCAGCTATGCCCAGAGATACAGAGGGAGGAAACAAGTCCCTGTGGTCAATACAGGCCTTTTAATGCAGAGCTGGCAGGGCTGCTGCCCACAGCTGCTCAAGGCAAGCGGTAAACAAGGCTCCCTATTACCGTCAAAGGGAATCAGTAGGCCCCAGTTGGATTGTCAGAAAATAAGGGAGCAAGAACTGTAGTGCTTCTCATGTAGTGTACTACTTCACATGTAGTGTACTACTGCTGTGTGCTTCACATAGTGTTTTATTTATCAATTAAATTTGTCAACTACTTTATCTTGTCCAAGGCAATCCACAGCGACTTGTAACCAAACAGACAATAAACCTCACATAGATACATTAAAACCAAGAGAAAAGGGAAATGCATTAAAAATATCCCAGCGCCTTCTAAAAGGCTAGCTAGAAATAATCATGAAAAAAGGGGGAAACATTGAAGGCAGGAAAGAAGTCAGGAGAGCGCAGATAAATATGCTGAAAGAAGCTATGGGTACCAAAACCCACTCAGTTTCTTGAAGTAGAGACTTCGCTTCAGGGAACAGGAAGTCAGGGGCTTGAGTTGTGCAAGGCTGCTCTGCTACTGACTCCATGTAACAGAGCCAGTTCCCTGGGCCCTAATGCTACTCTCTAGCCAGGCACAGGAAGCAGCTGATGGAGCAAGACAGGCCCCCTCTCCATGCCTCAGAATCATACTATTTCAAAGCCAAAGCCATGGTGAATGGGGAGGAGAGGAGGGTACAGGCTCTAGAATAGCTTTAAGGAGACTAGGAAACAGTGAGGGTCTGTCGTTTTGGGTGGTTCAGAAGATCTCAAAGTATAGCATTAGCTAGCAAACCAAGAGGTCCACGGAATACCTAACCACTGATTTTGTGCCACTCAAAAGCCAAGGAATGCCAATTCAAAAACCAGCTCATTTGTGCGTGGCTAAAGCTTTTTTTTAAAAAAGATGACTTTTGGGAGGGCTGATGAAGTGGCAAAAAGTCATTCACTTTCTGCACAGCTTGTCCCAGTGGTTAATCCTTTTGCCTGCTAAACTGGAGCCAGGTTTCTAATTTGTCTTTAGTCTAATTCCCAGATGTTGACCCTTATTCTGTCTTTCCCTGCTAGTTCAAGGAGACATTTACTGCCCACAGTACTTGCTTCCTTGGATAGTTCTCAGACACTTCTGGACAGAAGGCGATTAAAGCTGATTGAATAATACTATAAAAAACAGCTAGAGAGAAGTGCCATGATAGGAAAAAAGAACAGAAACCTAAAGCTAATGCTTTTCCTGTCTGGATGAGGCAGGCTTCCATGACTGCTCCAGACAGGAAAAGTCGGTGCTTGCCCTTCCCACAACTCCAGAAGGCTCTGGCAGACAATGGAGGCCAGGAGAGGCCACTTACCTTGAAGGTGCCAAGACTTTCTTCCAGGTCAGCCAACATAGACCAAACCTTGAGGGACTTGTACACACGGTTCTGCACAGGTTCTGAGGAATCAAAATACTCTGCTTTCTTAGCTGGGATGGCTGTGGCTTTCTGAAGGAACAAGAGAAAACAGATGCCGGTGAATGTAAGAGAAGCCTATGGAAGTCTAGCAGCACATCCTGATGATTAAGGGTAGAATTCATATAGCACTAAGTGGGGTATGCACATGGGGAACAAGGCCTGCTCAAGCAAGAAGACGTCCTCCCTTCTCCCCGTGTGCCCTCTAAACCTGTTCTGAGGATCCTCTAACTTCCAGAGCAGATTTTCTTTTGGTGTGTGTGAGCGCAGAGGAATCCTGTTGTGGGAACAGACCTCACTTTGCGCTTGCAACAACTTAGTTGAATCCCACCCTTAGAATGTATCTCTCTCCCTCTTTAGATATAAATTATCTCTGCAGACAGGAAATTGGGTGGCCTCACATTGTTAGAAATACAAAAGCTAAGAAATCTTGGTTTCCTGCTTTCCACAGGGTTTCCACAGCGCACCATTCAGCTAATAATGGTGCTTCCCTGTGATTTAACCACTAGAGCTCCAACTCCATTCAGGGAGATGTGGACAGAAGAAAGGAGTCTTGTTTTTGACTGCATGACTATACACCCTTAACTCCGAAGTAATCCTCTGGAAACCCAAAAAGCAACACTTCTGGATTATCAGATGCCTGCCGCCCTATTTCTGCTCACCCGCAGGATGCGCAGCGCTTGGTCATAGTTCTCGTGCCGCAACTCCATCTCGCCATATTCGCACCACACGCTGGCCAGCTCATCCACTTGCTTGAAGTTGACCTTGGTAGCCTTTTCAAAAATGGTTCTGGCCTGGGAACAAATAAGGTAGGCAAGGTGAGGGGGAAAGCAGGGCCAGAAAGAGCCCCCAGTTTCAGCATCTCCTCTCCCTGGACTGGGCTATGTGGTGGGGCAGGTCATCCGAGTAATGCTGCATCACCAAGGATGGTGGCTTCCCGGAGTTTGGGTTAGATTGACTGAATATAAGACTCACTCACCACAACCAAAATTCCTGAATCAATTTACAAGAAGAATGAAACACAGTAACAAAAATGCATGGAGTTAAGCCTGAGGCAGCTGTGGTGAAGGGTCTGTTGTGCTTCTGGGCAGCAGGCAGGAAAGTAAGGCAGGAAACATTTCGAAAGGCAAGGACAGAGCAGCGTTAGCCTCCCAAACCCATGCATCACTCACGTCTTCGATCTGTCCATTGACCTCGTAGAATTTGGCAAAAGAAACCCAGAGCGTATGTGTCTTTCCGGTGGCTTTAAAGGGGTCGACAGTCTGCACTGCTTCTGTGTATGTGTTGATGATCTGGAGGAAGCAGGGAGAGAGGTAGAAGAAAAGAAAAGATTGAGCTCTGGCAGGTTCCTAGGTCCCTTCCTTTCTGTACGGTTTGGTGGCTGTAGCTGCGAAGCACAACACAGAGGAAGTGAGAAGTGCCAACTAGTACAATCCCAATGAAGCTTTTATTGTGAAAAACGGCCTGCTTCTCAGCAGATCTAGAAGGCCACTGGATGGTGACAAGTGGGAGAACTGGCTCTCCATTTCCAGCTCAGCCCTGTGTGGCAGGTCAGTCTTCCAGGCAGCAGCTTAATTAGACCGGCATGAGTACCAGTCTATGAATGCCCTTCTGAGCAAACGTGGAAACTCCAGTGTGCTGAGCACCCATTAGTAGACAGAAGCTTTTTGAAACTCCATGAAATTTGCTTGGGGTGGAGGGAGCCCCAGTGGACAAAATGCTGTGTCAACTTCCATCAGTGACATGACCAACGTTGGGTGGCAGCAACTCCTTGGAGGGTATTCATATTCAGCTCCATACCCAAAACTTCACCATTCATTACTGATGCTGCAACCCAGTGTTTAATACACGCTAGCCTGAAAGTTCAGCAGCTCCCTCGTTCCCAGCGCTGGGTCTGCTCATGCAATCCCTACTGTGGGGATTTCCTTACCTCGCGAGGTTTGCCTTCATACAGCTTCACCCGCTTGTGCCACTCGTGGACGTTGTGAGGATTCTGGCGCAAGAGGACACTGTTAAGAAGCAAGGGCCGGCGTGTGATCAGCTGCTCAAAGCGAGCCAGGCGCAGCTCCAGGTCCACGTCATCTGTTTCCCCAGGGGGGCAAAAGAGCAGGAATGAGAGATGGTGCAGGAAGGCAGCTACTTGCAGCTGAAATTCCCCCTCTATTTTCTCACCTACACATTCCATACCTATAGTTATGCCCTGGGTTCCTTTAGGAGGAAGGGCAGGATTTTATATGAGAAGATATATATATATCCCAAGTTCCAAAGGATGTCCACAAAATGCAAGGATATGAATTAAGAATTGCTGGGTCCACATCCAATGGCCTTAGGAGAGGGAAGCTCTTTTAATATAAGGCTTTATCAATGATGCAACCCCAGGGAGAAACGTCCATCACAACTTGAAAAGGTTTAGGGAGAACTGAGACATCCTCAGGAGTCTCAGCAACTCTGGCATGCATTCTCCTAGATGCAGTCTGGAGAAGAATTTCGCTGCTCTTACCCTCCTCCTCACGTCCCATCTCAGAGCTGGTCTCCATCTTGGCAGCAATCATGCTCTCCTCAAATTGGGCGTAGCTGTCAAACACCTGAGTGAAATCCCGCACTGTCATCACAGTCTGTATGGCTTCTTCGTAGACATCGCGAGCCTAAGACAGAGAGGGTGAAGGAATTACTGTTCCAGTCTGCAAAGCAATGCCTGTGGTCTCTGTTCCCATGGCCAGCTACCAAGCAGCTTCGACTTCTCTAATGGTTTTCCTGGGAAATGTTCTTAAGAAAGCACAGATCACCACTCAAGACGTATCCAGTTATATGGAACTCAAAGCTTTTTCTTATTGTGGGATGAAACGGTGGGCCAAGAGGAACTGCCTCTGGCATGAAAATGATCTACAAAGAGGTTATCTGGAACAGGCAACATTAACTTCCCATGCCAAGAAAGAGCAGGTACCAGCAACTCAGTCCAAAGTGACAACTGCATTCTAACAGCTTTCAGAGCTCAACCCTATATTTAACAGGGATATTCAGGCTGGGGGAAATCATGCACTAGGTTGCCCATCAAATCCAAAGTCTATTGGCTAAATCAGTAGTTTTCAACCTGGGGTGCCTTGAACAATAGTCAGGGGTGCTGCAGGCAACACTGGCCTCTGTCCCTCTTTCCTTCCCTCCCTCCTGATGCCCTCTTGTGTCTCTGCCTCCTAAAGGCTTGCACAGCTGTTTGTTGCAGCAGTCCTTGCTACAAGCTCCTCAGGCGAATGGTGCCTCTGTAGCCAGCCAGGGGTTGCTTCCCAGGCCCCTGTGGGGCAGTTTGATGAGGCATCTCTCTTGGGGAGGGGGCAACTCAGAGACAAGGGGCGGCAGCTGCAGCTGCCCAGGGGAGAGGAGGCTGAGGGAACCCTACACAAGGGAGGGTGTTCCAAAAAGGGTGAGAGGCTGCCAGCTTGGCAGGCAAGGGGTGGCATAGCTGGGCTCCTGAGCCCCACAGGGGTGCTGCAGAAAGAATGCAGTTGGTCAAGGGAGCCGTGAACTCAAAAAGGTTGAAAATCTCTGGGCTAAATGCTTTTGCCTTTGATTCTAATTTGAGGAGGAATCAAGTTACAGGATCACCCAGAAGTTTAAACCTGAACAACTGAGGGCTTGTTCAGATGTCCCAAAGGAGGAAACACATTATTGAGTACTATTTCTCAGTCTCCTCCAGCTGTCCATGCATCACATTTTTTTCACCGGTTTGCTGACCTCGGTACCAATTAAAAAAGCAAACAAACCATGATTTCTAAAAATCTACTCGGCATGACATTAAGACATGAAAATCCTGCTTGTTATGTACAGTCACCCCAGAAAGCACTAGGATTCTTCTTTGTTTTCCCTAGTGACTTTTCACAAACTTGGAACACTTCATGTATTATGAGACACTATGAATTCTTCTGATGGGCAGAAAGGCAGAACAGAAATAATATAATAAAAGAAGAAAATCACAGGAGATAACCCACTACCCTTTGTCCCTCCTCTATGCTCAGTAACTTTCCTCTATTGCCAGTCTTCCAGATTCTTCCATTTCCATTTTTGTTTGGTGGCTTGTAAGGATTTCTGTTGGTTATTTTGCCTACTGTTCATTATCTGATCCCTACAAGCTCAGTAAACGCCTTATTTAAAAGAGTGAATTAGGAGAAGAGTGGAGACAGACAATAGCTCTTTTTAAGTGAGTTCAACGTGATCTAAAACAGGCTTCCCTTCTGGTCAAAAAGGGTCTCAGAACAATAGAAACACCTATAAAGTCTGCTTAGTAGGGGTACATGTGGGTGGCATGTATTTACCATTACTAGCAGACTTTTGTTCAAACTGTCTTCAGCCCTTCATAAAAATTAATGTCTGTCTCCAACCCAAGATTTTCACCAAATAAAGGTGAGTTCTTGCTCAGACCAGATGAATACGGAATTTAAGAGGAAATAGCTGACAGACTTGAACGTTACACTCTGTGCCATTTTGAAGTTCCCCCTGGGATGCGACTCCAGCCAAGTCCCTGCATCACAGCACAAACCCTCAGGCCTAGGTGACTACCTTCTCAAAATGCCCACTGCGGATGTAGTAGTCTGCCAAGGAACACCATAGCTTGCCCAGCTGGTCGGTGAAGCGAGTCAGGCCGCCCCGGATTATGGCCCCCACATTGAGCGACTTCACCTTGTCCGGATTCTGCGAGATGAGGTCACAGAGCTCGTGCCACAGCTGCAACAGAGAGGACAAGGTGTCAGAGAGATCTTGGCAACGCTGAGAGGCAGGAAAAGCATCAAGTGTACAGGTTGTTCGGCAGCAGGCGTCTTTGGATGAAGGAGAAGAGAGATCCTTCACATAATTTTGGAGGGCTGACTGCCAGCTACCATGAGCCTCACTTGATAGTTGGATTTCCCCTCCTTGGAGATGAAGCGTTCATCATTCACCACAGCGGCAAGGCGGACAGCAGCCTCATCTAGGCGGTCAATGGAGCGCAGGTACTCAATATATTCCTCAGCATTCTCCGGGCTCAGCTGCAACATAAAAACGCGTACAGCTCAGAATCCACCAGAATGCTGACAAGACCAAAATAGTGGCAGTAGAAGAGCTAATGTAGATTAATTGCAGCACTGCAAGAAGCGCCAACTCAAGCTTAGCTAAGAATACAAGGAGTAGCTTGCAACCCTTTGTGCATAGTGTGTTAAAGCTAATTAAGATTTGTCGGGGGGAACAAGTGTGATTTCTTTTATGCAACATGACAAAATTTTCACTTATTCCAAAATTAAAATAAAAAACAGCAGAAGATTAAACAGACTACTATCTACAGATTTAGAGCAGACAACATTTTGTAAAGAGGTGTCCTAGTTCAGGAGTCCTAAGAAAAGGGTTTCAGACCCAGAACCCCTCTTTAAGTCCATCTGCAATGCAGGATCTACTGAAAAGTTGGCCTATGTTCATTTATCCTTGCTGTAGGGTGATCAGATGCAAAAAAAGTACAAGCACCTTGCATCTTTACCAGATGTATATAAGAGGGAGTTGTAAAAGATGGAATTTGTCATGTAGGGCTGCAAAAAACCTGCCCCTGCTGAAATTTCCTGTTTTGTGAAACTACTGAAGGTTAAGGGATTGTGGCTTCCTTTGCATCTGGTGTCTCGGTTTCTTTAAAAATAACAGAAAAAAGAAAATTATTGGGCGCTACTGATGTAATTTACAGCAAGTTTCTGCATCTCAACTCCCAGCTGAAGGCCAGTTCTTGGGTTAACACAATGAAATGTGCATTAGTATTTCTGGAAAACCTCCCTCATCTGATCTAGAGAGGTACCCAATTAAATAACACTTTTGTCCAATACTCTCCCTTTGAGAAGGGATTTCTCTTTGCTGAAAAAGCAATTTTATTGTTCTCTGTCATAAATGAAATCAATCAAATATTTTGGTGCTATTGAAGAATTTGTTCCACAGCCTTCTGATCTCTCTGTACCCTCTCTAGTCACTTCCAAACACTATGAGTACCCAAGTCAAATACAGTATAGTATTCCAGTAGAAGTTTTGCAAGGGCTATGCACAAGACTAAAAGCAGGACAAGAATTCATTCAGTGCTAATAATGAAAAGGAGCCTAAAAGAGAAGAAACTCATTTAGGCAGTTATTGCACAAGGAAGACAACACCTTCTCTACAAAGATTACGCAGATGGCTCAGAGGTGGAAGAGTTTGGTAAGACAAATTAGTTGCAGACATGTGGGCCCGCTTACCTTCAGGTACCTGCGATAGACCCGTACAGCTGTCTCGGGTAATGGATACAGGCGAACAAACTTCAGGTAGAGTGGCCAGATACGATGGTGCTGTGTGATGGGCAGGGCCCGGAGCGCTCGGTCAAAGGTCCTACGGGTGCGGGTGATCCGACACTGGTCCATAAGAAACTGGCAGTAATCTAGCCATATCCGAGGCATCTACAATCAGACAGATAATAAGAAGAAAATAGCATCTCCCTTTGGGGATCCGACCAAAGGTTAACACTGTCCCACAGCCTGCTTCTAATAGTGGCTACACATATGTGACTAGGAAGTTCACAAGTGGGCTATGACAACAACATTGGCTTGCATCTAGCATGCAGCAGTCAAGCAAGTCACTGCCTCTGAATACAGCTGTTCCATTTTTAGAAATTCTGCTTAATGGACTCCACTAATTTATCTATTTCTTTATTCAAAAAGCCAACAAACTTACTTGCAAACTCCACACTTTGTAATACTAGGGCTGCCATACGTCTGGAATTTCCCAGACATAGCCAGGATTTGGCCGTCCAAAATAGTGTCCAACAACTTTTGTGCATTTCCTTTTTGCTTATCCTAAACCTATTGAAATCAATTACCGTATTTTTCCGTGTATAAACTAGGTTTCCCTCCTAAAAATAATGTCTAAAATTTGGGGGCATCTTATACATAGAAAGATCTCTAATTTCACTAGGAGACTCAAGTGCTAGTGTTTTGAATAAAAAATTCTCTACAAAATGGTTCATCAGTTTATAAACCCTTCAGTGCTTTTCGTTAAGGCTTTCTTAAGGAAGGAGCTCCCCCGTTATTTTTATCATTTCCTTCCCATTGCTATGTGGCATCTACAACAGTTTCTGAGACAAACTCACAGATTTAGGCTAAAGATTGTTGTTTTTAAGAGAGTTGAAAGTGGTATACTAAAGCCATTATTGCATTCCACATATGCACACATCTGAGAAACAGCTCTGGAATGAAAACATATGTGAGGCCTTCAGATAGACATCGTCATAACCAGCCATAATAGCAGCCATTATGATTGACTCATTTTTCCCAGGCGTTACCAGCCCTCTAAGCATATCACTAACCACTGTACCTTGTGCATGAAGACAAGGGCACGCTCATGACAGTTGTTCACTTCTTCATAGCTGGGATCCGTTACACACTTGCTCTTTACCTGCTTCCGTCGCTGCTTAAGATAATTATACCATAGCTTGTAGCTGCAAAACACAAAGGGGGCAACTATTAACATTAAAGTAAAAGATTTTGCCATGTTGCTCCCAGCTCTCATTACGAGGGGAGTTGGGTGATCATAGTGCCTTGCTCCTGAAATAAACCAGGGAAACATCAACAGGGACAGCAAGGGGTTCCATCTGTTGAGGGTATTCCTGTCTGCTTTCAGAAGAGACCAGAAAACAGACCATAAGAAACTCCCCTCACCTCTGGAGAAGTTAAGAGTTAGCCTTTCATTTACATTTTTTATACAACAATGCCTTATGAAAATCTGGATTGAAACAGGTTACCCTACTACCTTCATGCAGTTTGCTAAAGAACTTTACATAAAAGAGACACAAGTGCATACCTGCCTGGCAATTCCTTAAGAGCTCTCTCATAGATCAGATTCAAGATATGCTTAGGAGCATTTTGCTTGAACTCAATGTAGCGGATCCAGCACTTGACAGAGAAGGGGTTGCGCAATATTTCTTCTTCATATTGCAAGTCTTCCTCTTCCTGTGTAGGGGTGAGGAGCAAGGCATTATAATTTTAGAGAGAGGATGTACTATTATATTTCTTTGTGCAGCACCGTTATAACTTAGGCACCCCAATGCTATCTTCAGGCTTTTGAAAAATGCTACCTAATTTTACATGTGAGCATATGAAAAATGAACAAAAAAATCATCACTTCATACTTTACTGCAGCCACAAATTCACTAAATAATCTTTAGCAAGTCTCTGGCCCCAGCTCTAAGCTCAAATGTGGTGGTGGTGGTGGGAATGTACAGTTTTACCTTACAGGACCACTGTAGGTTAGTAAGGACCAAAGCAAATATTATAGAGCAGCATTTCTCAATCTTGGGTCCCAAATATTGCTGGACTCCCATCATCCCTGACCACTGGTCCTGCTAGCTAGAAATGACAGGAATTGTAGTCCAACAACATCTGGGAACCCAAGGTTGAGAAAGGCTGTTACAAAGAATCATACAACAGCTGTCACTCTAAGCCGCTTCCTTTTTAAATGTCTACTTAAAATAACATAGAGTGACATCATGATAAACACCCCACTTTAACACCATAGGCTGGCAGCAGCAGTATGATGATGTCGTATCACAATCTTTTTTGGTATTAAATGTTACAAGAAGGAGGGAGTCAAAGGGCACAAAGAGACAGCGGTTCTCTCTTGTAACAACACTTGGCCTGGCCATGAAATACCATACGGTACACGGGACATTTTGAACACTTAAAATTCGCTGCACGAATGCAAAGTAGAATTATTGCGCAAGGCGACTCGCCATTAGCAGGATTACATCGCTTTTCCTTGACTTAGTTCAATCTTGAGGGGAAAGAACTCTGCACATGTTCGAAGGAAGCCTCGCCTTTTATTTCACCGGCGGGGGGGAGAGAATTAAGTTCTGTGGGAGAAAGGGAGGCTCGACCTAGGCAGGACCCGTCCGAGCATTTCACCCCCCGACACCTTCCCACCGGGGCCTACTCACGAAAAAGAGCTCCCGCTTCCCCAACACCGTCTCCAGCTCCGGCATCTTGGACGCTACCCACCCGGAGCGAGCGAGCGAGGCGCACGGCAATGACGCACAAGCGCAGCCGCGGTTCAGAGCTCGGGTTCTCTCCTCCGCTTGCGTCACTTGGCCAGCAACAGTCCTATTGGTCATCCGACAGGGAGGGCGTTTCCTTTCGGTCTTCCGGCCGCCATGTTGCTTGCGGGAGCCATCTTCGGGAGACTTTAGGGGCGTGGCATATGCAAAAGTAGGCGGGCCCAAAGGGTGGGCGGGGCCCGTTCAGCATCGGCCAAGCGGCGCCATGGGGGTGAAGCTGGAGGTGTTCCGGGTCTGTGGCGCGCGGGGTCCTCCGGGGGTGGGGATGGGGCATTCTCTTTCGCAGACAGAAAGTCTTGTGCAGCTCTCCCGGGGCAAAAACCCGGCAGTGACTCCCCCGGCAGGCTCTCTCTTCGCTCTTGGGGGCTCGCTGGCCAACATGCGAGTTTAAGATAAGATCCTCCCCTCTCGGAGCCCTTCACGTGCCTCGGAGAGCTTCGGTTTTATGGGTTAAAATATATAACTGGAAGGGCAGGCAGGTCGATCGCTCGATCTTCTTTTCAAGGCAATAGATGCAGTTTTGAATATCTGTTAGGTTTCATACATGCATAATGTTGGGAAGCACGTAGGAAAGAGCAGGTTACGCTTACTCGCGGGTATCTGCAGGGAAATGCCGCCTGTCCTCCCCGACACAGGTCGGGGTGGTTACAATTCCAATGCGGAAACTGGTGAAATGCGCTGCTCGTTGATGTGCCCGAGGTACCGCTGCGCCCTGCGTTTTCCTTCGCCCTAGAAGCACAGCCCTTGGTGTTGTCAGTGATCCTTTCCTTCTCTCCCTCCTGCTGCCCAATAACTTCGCCTTTCTACCGTTACCTCTGCCATATGACGGTCGTCCTCCTGACCTTTTGGCAAGGGATGAGAGGAAGCTTCTGCTGTTAAGGGCCAGATTGGGCAAAATCTAATAAAACCCTGCAAAGTGTCCCAATGCACCTGTATTACCATCTGACTTCCTATCTCCTTTCTCTTGCAGATGATGCTGTATTTATCTTTTCCTGTTGCTATGTTCTGGATTTCAAATCAGGCAGATTATTTTGAAGAATATGTTATCAAGCGGAAGGTCAGTTTTGTCATGTAATTAGAAAGGGAAGAACAGGGCGGACTGATGAAATCATTTCCAAACCTTTCCTGCGAGGTTTTATCTGTTTTTAAAAAATTATCATGCTGATTTTACCTCTGGAATTGGAAAAGAAAAACCCAGGCTTCCTTTTATTGCATTTTACTCAACAGCCATTTGCTGGGAGCCTGGCTTCTACAAGCAAGTACTGTATGCAAAAGCTGGCATTGCACACAATGCATCTAGTTGCTTCTGGTCTGCTGTTTAGCAGGAGTCATTGGTCTGTAAATAAACAAAATTAATAATAATAAGTGGAACCTGCAGCAAAATGTTGCAGCATATATTCTCTCCTAAAAGGAGGCTTCCTGTTCAGGGTTCCAGTCAGCCATTGCGTCCAAGGAGGGCTTTCCACTTGTCTCCTCTTCCTTTTTTATTTTTCAGCTCTCAGTCTATATTCTATGAGCATTCTTAACCCTGGGCTATTTGGGAGAGCATTGCCTCTTTCAGTTTTAGTTTTAAAGACCCCCCCCCCCCACTTCTGCCACTATCAGGGTTACCCCAAGCATTCTGATGCTGTAACTTGGTGGCCCCATTTGGGTTATGCTACTGTCTGTGCTTGATACCTGAACTATTAGGAGAATAAACAAGATTTTTCTCAACTGTGTTAAGAGGCCAGGACTTACCTCTTTCTTTCCTAGGTAAATGTTCTTCTTAGGCATGGGACTCTTAATCTCAGGGTCTTAGGTTTGAGCCCCAGGTTGGACAAAATATCTCTGCATTGCAGGGGGTTGGACTAGATGACTTTAGTCTTCCCTTCCAACTCTACAATTCTGATTCTATCCCCAGTGACAGTCTCTTGAAAATTAGGAAGACTTTTCAGTTCTCGTAGAATTTTGGTTTGTTCCCTCACTCGAGCTGGCTGTATTTTCCCTGCCCTCTTGGTGTTTTTGACAAATTTGCCTGCTTTCTGCTTGTACGGCAGTGGAAATTTAGGTGGCATGGTTTTAATCTGTTTCAATATAAAAGCAGGACTTTCCAATAATATGATTCCCTTTTTAATCCTTTTCCTTCAGAGAGAGATATACCCACCTGAAGATAATTACCAGGTAAATATGCCTCAACAATGAATACTGCATGTCTAATCCAGGAGTGGAGAACCTGTGACCTTCCAAATGTTGGCCTGCAGCTCCCATCTTTCCTGACCATTGGCCATGCTGGCTAGGACTGATGGGCATTGGCATTCCAACTGGAGGGCCACAAGTAGCCCACCCCTGGTCTAAGCGAACAGATCATTTATGATGAAACTGGCACTTCTGTCTTCTCCAGAGAAAAGAACTGGAAGACTTCAAAGAGAGAATGAGGAAGGAACACGAGAAGCGGATGCTGCAGTCAGCTAAGGAATAATGATGTAGCATCATCCCCTTTCTCCCCAGGGTTTGATGCACTCTCAGGAAAGTTGTCATCACAAATCTCCTACTTTAACTTAATAAATGCCTTCTAAAACACTTTTTGTACTAAGAGATGAAGGGAACTGCAATGCAGTTTCACTCTGTATTCCTGCATAATGGTTCTGTGCATGCCTCCATGGCCGTCAACGGAAAATGGGAAGAGGATATAGGCTCCTTCCTTTGTGTTCTTCTGGCTCTTGCTGGGTGAAGCTGCTGAACCCTGTCTGCAAGTCTGGCAGCTGTCTTAGGAGAGTCACTTTGAATAAAAAGTTATAGAAAGACTGAATCTCTGTATGTCTTTCAATAAAGGTATCTGGGTGTCTTCAGAGATGCAAGTTATATTTCACTTGTCCTCCTTGGACTGAAGATCTATTTTATCCAGGTGGGTCCTTCTGCACTGCTTTCTTCTCTCATTGCTCTGGGTTTGCACATCACATTAAACCATAGTAAAATAAACTATTGTTTAGTGTGAATGGGCTGCTAAAAGCATGGGTGCAAGACAGATGGATGAACAGGACTTTGATTTGCTGGGATATAGCATGCAATTTTATGAAGATGGGAGAAAATTAGTTTGGTGCTGCAGGTGAACAGCCTGCCGTGATCTCTCTTTTACATTTTGTCAAACTTTCCTTCTTGTTCTGAAAACTAAAAGTGCAACACGCCCCCCCCTGAGAACTCTATAATTCTGGCAGTCCCATTGTGCAATCACCCAGTGCATTGAAAGCTTGATAGTTCAATATTCAAAATCCAACGTACTTTCATGGTGTTCTGTTCTTGCTGGGCATGACCCTGTTCCATAAATGACTACCCATTTTACACTTTGTTCTGAGAAACCTTTTTTAATTGCATTTAATGCATTTAATGCCTCAGTGTCCATGGGAACACTGAAGTAGAAGAAGCTGATGTGTATGTGGGAGGGGGACTTTGTGGGTAGTTGCATCCTATGGGGAAGCAGTGCCAGGGCTTAGTGGATTTGAGAAACAAGGTGTGTGCTTGTGTTGGGTAGTAGGACTTGACAAATATCTCATGCAAGGACATTAAAAGAACCTCATTATCAAAAATATTTGTAGATTACATCCCTACTGCTGGGGTGGAGGAAATGTGAGGTTAAAGCAAAGCATGGTAGATTTGGGAGAGGAGGTCTTGCAGATCTGTGCCTTTAGGAGGAAGTGCTAGGATCCTGGGCACTGACGGGTTTGGGGGTTGGACTTTTTACTTTGCCCTTAGCAGCTTCAAGCTGCTTGCCATGGATGCGGTTGATGAAGGAGAAATAATCATCCATGGGTGCAATGGGAACGACTGATACATCTGAAGCGGCACCTTCTGGTAAAGTCAAGTCCTTGCTCTCCTGTTGAAGCAAAGAGAAAAGTCAGTTTCACCCCAGATTCTTCTTTCATGTCTTCATTCGGCATCTAATCTCATCCGTGACCCTGATAGCCTAAGACTAGCCTGCATGAACATAGATTATACCTTCCAGTATATCAAAATCCCGACCGCAGCAGCTTTGTGCAGTAAACAACCTCGAGTTCCCCATCAGAACCACCATTATCACCACCCACCCTTTTCTGTCACTCGTATAGTCCACATTACTATACCAACAGCTCTGAGCACTGGGTAGAATCTCAAGGTCTTCTGTCCTCCTAAGGGCAGGCAACTCTTCCAAACCATCACTTCCAAACCATCTGGAAAAGATGCGTCAGTTGTGAAAGGGACACATCTATTGAAAGACGTTTTGGGCACCCTGGTGGTTATCACCAACTGAAGCTTCGTTACTCAAACCGCTCGATAAAAAGGGGAAGTGGCCTACATATAGAGATTTACTGAGAAATCAAGAAGGAAAATGGAAATTAAAAGATTATGAGGAAATTAAAGACCATTTTCAGAGTTGGCTGCATTACAGACAAATACATGAGATGTACAAGGAAGATAATAAGAAAGGGTGTAGCTGTACAAGTTATAGAAGAAGAAGTGAAGCTGCTGAAGAAAGCATATAGTATTCTGCCAGAATGGGAAACAAAAGATTAAGAGGTCAAATCAGTTATGATCAAATGAGCAGAAGATACAGGACACAATATATAGTTTGAGGACTGTGGAAGGTAGATTTGAAATTTACTGACTGTTCTCTGCTGAAAGAAAACTATATGGAAATTATGTATAGATGGTATATTACACCAGTACAAATAGCAAAAAAAACCGGATTGGAAATGTAAAGAAAAAGAAGGTACTTTCTATCATATGTGGTGGGAATGCAGAGAAGTTAAAAAATTTTGGGAAATGATATATAATGAATTGAAAAAAAATGTTTAAAATGACATTTGTAAAAAAACCAGAAGCATTTTTGTTAGGGATTGTAGGACAAGACCTGCCAAGAAAAATAAAAAACTTAGTTCTGTATGCTACAACAGCGGCAAGAGTCTTGTTAGCACAAAGATGGAAGAATGAGGAAATCCCAATGAAAGAACAGTGGCAAGAAAAATTGATGAGCTATGCTGAACTGGCCAAGTTGACATATAAACTGTGTGACAGGGACAATTGTGACTTCAAGGAAGAATGGGAACTTTTCACAAATTATTTAAAAAGACAACAAAAGGATTTGGACTCCTTGGCAGGTTTTGAATAAACATCCACAAATTTATTTGTTGAATATATGATAGATAAGGCAATGGTATGTACAATTTTACAATATGCAGAGGATAATATGTGTAAAGAAACCGGAGAGAGGAACTGAGGGAAGTCCTGGGGGGGGGGGATAAACAACGGGGGGAAATGTAAATGGATATATTGATTGATAAGCTGGTTGTGTGTGTGTGTGTGTGTGTATGTTTTGGGGATTCAAGTTTAGGTGAGATGGATGACAACATTCGTTATTACACGGAAAGCAGAAGATAAAAACTTAGCCTGTACTTTTAAGTACTATTTCCATAGCTAAGTTCCTTACCAGCTCAGTTTCCACAGGCCTTCATTTCCTGCATTCCTCCCTCTCTCAGTCCACACATAAACGCAGATTACAAATTTCATTTCTTCCTCTCTGCCCAAGTGCTGCTCTTTCAACCACACATACAGCATACATGAGCACACACAACCTATTCAGAAAATACTCCATGGGTAAATTTTTCACAACCCAAAATGCAACAGGGCCACCCAACTGGCTCTTGCAGGCACTGTGGTGGCCATGGGCACCAGGTTGGCAATCCCTGCCTTATGTGTACAGTGTTGTTGATGAAAGGTTTCTGGCCAGATATATATATCCTTCAAGTTTCAAGGGTCTGGAACAGTTTGCGTTTCAGGGAAGAATGGCCTGACGGGATCAGCAACAAGGTTACTTTAAAGATTTAATTATGTGCACTCTTTCAGTTTTAAAGGAGTTATTCATAGTTTGCAAATACGGAGTCTGATACTGAAGTAGAATGCAGGGCTTAGGCATTAGCACAGTGTGAAGAAGGAAGATGAATTATGGTGCAGCCAAAGAACTTAGAAGCACTGTGGTTCCTATTACTGTTGTCAGCCAGGATCTTGTCTACTGTCCAGGGAATCAAGGTGTCACACACTTCAGAGGCAGATCTGGATGAGTTGCTACACATTCTCATCCCAACCTCAAATTGCCTGGCTGTAGTGGTAGAATTTGCCCTTTTCTGGCAATAATTACCTCTTCATTTCTGTGCCATGGGAGTGTGGCAATCAGCACTTTCAAATGTGCTTTTCCCCAGTGCGAAGCTAACTTTGGGCCAGATAGCTTGTGGCAGACGTCTATATACATGCCTTATTTTTTAAAAAGAATCCTTGCTGAACGTAAGATGGCAAAGCAGCAGTGTACGTGGTGAATCGCTTCACATTGATCTCTGAATAGATGCATCCGCTCTTGGAATGGAGATAGAAGACGCACCAGGAAGCCAATGTGTGTTCATGTGTTTCAATCTGTGATTCTGCTGCCAACTTAATTTGCTGGTGTTTGTGTGTTTCCAGAGTGCATTTTAAAAAGAGCAGGAATGGCTGGCTGAGGATAGCTGCTGAAGCCAGTCTGCACCTACCTTCTTCAGTCTCACTCTGTTAATCATTGGCTGACAGCTGCTTATCCTGTTACAGAAGGTGGACTTACGTTACTCTGCAGTATCAGTGTACCCATAGGTAGATCTCATTGATGTGTGTGATTTGACCTGGGCATGGTGTACATGGAATTTAAGTCCGGATCAGAACGTGGCCATCACAGACTTGTTGGCTGAGCTTTCTGCTTATATATGAACCATAAGCCACCAAGGAACCCGTGATTCCCAATGCATACAATCCAACATTAAATTATGTGCACTTGTGAAGGCTGTTGGTGGGTGGCTAACTCTGTGTTGGGCTGTGATGGATATGTGTGTCATCACTCCATATTTATTCCAGGGAGCATCTCCACATAGTCACTTAATGTATGCTCTTTCCTGTCTTTTTATTCCCATTACACTTGCGGCTAGTTATTGTAGTTGCTCACACACTTGATGTGTACGCACCACACCATACATACATGTCGGCATGCATATACACCCCTTGCGCTCACCTTCTTGCCATATAATTCCTAAGTATCAATCCCTCTATCTGTTAGCTATGTTCAGGGGTCAGGGCTAATTCTTATGTAGCCAAAATGGCACTACTGCACCCCAAAACAGTACTACCCAGGCACAAAAAGGAGGTATGAGCAAGATGGAGGTGTGTGCATACACAACCACACATGCTTATGCATGCCCTATCCAACTACTTGTGCTGTGTTTCAGTGAGTGGTTACTACATGTGCACATTCAGGGATCTGGTTTATGTTTCTTGATTTTATTTGTTCATTTACTGCATTTATAGTTCACCTTTTTCTCTGAGGAGCTCAATGTGGTATACCTGGTTCTCTCTCCTCATTCAACATCCATACAACAACCCTGTGGTCATGCTGAGTGGCAGTCATTCTCACAGTTTCTGTTATTGTTGTTGTTCTGCCTTTTTCCCCTGACAGGGACTCAAGGCAGCTTACAGCTAAAATTTTATTTCATTCCATTTTTCTCTGGAAGGCGTTGATCCCTTCCCTCACACATTTTTTCTATACAACAACCCTGTGAGGTAGGTGAGGTTGCAATTGGCTCAAGGTGACCAATGTTGATGTATAGATGACGTCTATGTGTGAAGCAGGATCCAGCACAGGAGATGCTTCCTGATGGAGAACAGACCGTCCCTATTTTCCTCGGAGAAACATTGGAGGGAATGTAACCATATACTTTCCATGTAAATGATCATCACAGAAGCTCAGTGGCTACTGATCCTACAGAGGGGGATTTAGAGTGGAGAAGCCTGGGGTGTAACTGTTTCCTTGCTCAACACTACTTTGCTCCTTGTAAAGGGTCATCCAGGCATCTGTTTTATAGTGCATTCATGGTGCTTTGCACTTAGGATGGTATTGGGCAGTTTCAGACAATCCTGCTTTCAATTCTGTATGCAGAGGTGGATGGGGGGGGGGTGAGGCTGGTTCAGTGGCACTGGGCATGGAGCTGCAGGGGACACCACAATTATGATTTAGAATGGCGTGTGAGTGGCACCAATTTTTGGCGTCTCACTGGGGAATTCCTGAAATTTGAGACCCCAAAGTCCGCCACTGCTATATGGACCGGGAAAGATTTTGGGGCAGACTTACTGCTATGTTTCCAATAAGTGCATATCCCATAACTTTCTGCTGACATCCTGTAACTTTTTATACCACAAATGTTCTGGGGTGGTCCAGCTTTTGTGTGCAAGAGTGTCCTTATAGAATCTAGATGACAGTATTGCAGTAACTTTGGGGAAGCATCACAGAACAACTAGTAAAGTGGCATGATGTGTGTAAATCTACCACTAAGGCGCTATTATTGGTCAATACGTGAGAAGAATTCCAGTCTGGAGGGGCCCAACCTCTCTTCTTGCACCTTCTGCCATTTTAATATGTGGGGTGGGTGGGTGTGTTTTAACTCTCAGGGGTGGGAGGGCAATAACACAAATATTAATAGTTTAGTGTTTAGAGCATAGATGTGAACCTGTGAACCACGAGATGATGTTGGACTACAACTCCCATCATTCCTGACCATTGGCTGTGCTGGCTGGGGCTGATGGGAATCAGAGTCACAACAACATGAACTGAATTAAACTGATTATTGCGATACATTTCAGTAAAGGTTCAGGCCTGCTTATGGGGCTGAATTGCCCTTGATCGCCCTGATGGATGATCTTTACAGGGACATAGTCAGTGGGAGTGTAGAGCCTCTTATTCTTACTTGATCACTCAGCAACTTTTGACACCATTGGTGTGTGATATCATGAACCAGCTCAGTAAGATGGGTATTTGGGAGACTGTTTTACAATGGTTCCGATCCCATCCCTGAGGTGTGCTTCAAAGAAGAGCGTGGGTGATTGATTATCTTTTGGCTCCCTGGTGATTTTGCTGTTGGATGCTGCAGGGACCATCTTGTCCCCAATGCTATTTAACATCTACACGAACCATTCTGAGTGGGCATTAGTAGATTTGAGGTGAGGTGACATTAATATGTTTATGATCCCCCGTTTTATTTCTTTGGGACATCTGAATCAGGAGAGACCATGAAATTGGCAAGGTTGAGGTGCTGTCAGTGAGCAGCTCTTGAGTTTGGATAATTGGTCAATTGCCTGTTTTGGACAGGGTCCTACTCCCCCTGAAGAAGCAGGTTTCTAGTCTGGGGAAAATCCTGGATTCATCTGTGTCATTAGAAGCCCTGTTGACTTCAGGATTGATTTTTAGCAACTTCAGCTATTAAGGCACCTACAGCTGTTCTTGGACCAGGATAGCTTAACCAGTGTCATCAGTGTACTATTAACCTCCAAACTGAATTACTTTAATGTACTTTTTGTGGGGCTGCCCCAGAAGCTGCAGCTGGTGCAAAACATAGCATCTTGACTGCTTACTGGGGTAGAATATTACCACATTATTTTAGTACTGAAGGGATTGCACTAGCTGCCGATTAGCTAGCAAGCTAAATTCAGGATGTTAGTACTGTTAGAATTCCTGCTCTGTGACTGCAGTCATAGGATTGTTGTCTATCATATGATGGTATATGTTTTGACTCCACAGAGTGGGAAGTGATGGAGACAGGATGATTGTGTTACTGTGTTCCGTGAAGTGGGACTATTGTCCTTTGTTCTTTCCCTTTGCTGTCTGATGCTAGATAGACAGGGAGCCATGTTGCAGTGTTTTGTGTGTGTTTAGATGTAAATAAAGTAGATTAGCAAATATGATGAGTTGCTGAGGTCTGTCATGCAAGTTGCGAAGACTCTGTGGATCCCTAAGTGTGCTGTTCGGGCTGAAGAAAGCTTTTGAAGCTCCCAAACGATCGACCAGGAGGAAGGGAACATGCCAGTGGGCATGCGTCTCTGCCAGGGTCCTACTCGAGTGTAGGCTGAGCTCCTGACACTAGTGTGCAAAGCCCTGTGCGGTTTGGGACTAGGATGCCTAAAAGATTGTCTCATCCTTTATATATAACTGATCCCCACTACTCAGCAGGAGAGGGCCTCTTGCAGTTATTGTTTCTACAGGAGGTTCATTTCATGTAACACAGGAACTGGGCCTTTACTGTGGTGGCACCTACCCTTTGGAACTCCCTGTTATACGTCGGATAAGTGCTGTATTTACTGTCTTTTGGATGCCTATTGAAGACCTTGGTTTTTTTTCAATAAGCCGTTTTAAGTGGAATTTTTTGTCCTCGTTTGTGTTGGATTTGAAATTGTTTTTATATATGTTTTCATTGTGCTTGTTTTGTTGCTTGTTTAAATTGCTTCAGAATGTTTCATAGGAAGCGATTTCAATTAAAACAGCGGAGGCCCACAGGTCCAATGATGGGGGTGTGTCAACATGTGTATACAATCCCACCCCACTCATCCATGTGTTACTGTTCAGCCCCCAACACTTACCTTTTCACTCTATGGGCCACTTCTGACAGTCCTTTATTAAACTCATTTTAAGATTTGCCCTCTATGTGCTTTCCCCCCATATACCTACAATTTTTCTGCTCATTTACTACTAATGTGAAAAGGCACGATTACCCATCTGGTACAGGGGGTTTGGAACATGGACTTGAGTCGCATCCAGACGACCGGTTTGTTAAGCATTTGTCCTGATTTTTTCATACAAAATTTGCGAAGGGGGTTATAAGACGTTGGCTCTTTATTGAACATTCTGACTTGTTTGCAGGGAGGTTCAGTGTTGCTTCAAGCAAATGTAAATCCCACACTTTCTGGAGCATTTTCCTGTCAGTTATTGCAAAAAGTTTAACTTGGGATGGGTTGGGGAGGGAACAGAAAGCTAGTTTGTCGCAGAAGAGGTCCAAACCAGGTTTTAATTGTGCAACCTGAAATTGCCAGTATGTGACTGGAGCCTTCTTGAAAATAGTGACACTAGGTGTAAATTTATTGAAGTGGTTGTGACATGAAGGACACCCGTGAATTATGCTCAGTTCATCAGAGGGAAAGGCAGGATTCCAACTCCAGGAGCAGCTGGGAGTGACTTAGTTAGTGCAATTTTACCTCCCCTCTTACCACCATGAGAGCATGCTATTTGCAACGGTTGTTTCATGTACAAGAGTGCAGTTCTCGTTTCCAAGCTCCCCTGCTGCTAAGGGTCATCTGCTAAGGAAACCGACAAGGAAGAAACCATCTGAGTCTTTATTGGACTGGCAGGGCATGTACAGAGAATGAGCAGGGCGGGTACTGCAGTGAGGGGTTGCTACTGGGCGAGTGGCGGAGTGCTGTGCTTGGTGGCATTAGGTCGGTGTCTGTCTGCCACCTTCCCTGATCAGGACTGGGGAGGTACTCATTTCTGCAAAGAAGAAAATACAGTGGTGGTAGTGGAGCCAAGGACGGGAGCGTTTCCCTCCCTATAGAGCTGTCCATGCACATAAAGACACATAAATACAGAAACATTGAACAGACTTCCATCAAGATTCCAAGAGGCTGTGGGTGGATGCAGTGTGTGCTGTCGCTGTTTCTCATATTCACTGATGACCTGCATCTCGAAGTGTTACCTGACACCACCTGTCTGTAGAGAGCCAAAACCATCTATTGTAGCCCCAAGCTAGGAATGGCTTGGCCACTGAGTGCTTAGGTCCAAGCACCCCAAGGATAGGAAAGGAAGAAAGGAAGGAAGGGGCTGCTACCTGAACCCTGGGCATTGTGGGTGATTACTGTAATCTAAGCAAATGATGGCATTTTCAAGCCTTGCCTTTCATAAACTTCTGGACCCATTTCCAGCACCTAAAAAGCTGCCTCCCAGGCTTGCTTCACTGTTTCATGGATGTCAGAACCACAGGGTTGTCAAAAGGCAGAGCATGCCTTACTGTCCACCCTGTCCGGTGTTATGTACTAAGCTTGGATCCTAGAACAATAGGCAAGTAGGATCCTAGAATGCAACAACTGATTGGTCTTTCTCTTTAGCTAGATTCAGCTAATGCTCCTTCATGTGTAATGCCCCTTCTGTGTCCCAGAAGAAGTGTGCATAGATTTGCAGAGGCCCTATGTGTCTAGGGATTCACTTTACATCCATGTCACCAAGTCAAACCTAGCCCCGGGACATGAACAAGTTTTGTAGAAAGTGTCATCCTGGAGATGCCTCTTGTGGACACGGCACAGTACGGCACAGACAAGGTCTCATGTTGTTCCAGCCAGAAAACACAGGAAAGAAACAGAAATAAAGAGTTAATCAGTTGAATAACAAGGAGAATATCACAAGGCCACCCCGAGCAGGGCAAGGGTTAGTGACAGTCTGTCAAAGAGACTCAATAAGGAAGGTTAATACGTGCATCATTCAGGAGTATTAATGGGGCCACAGGGAAAAGACACTGTGCGGATATGTATGGCGGGACATCTTGTGAGGCGTAACTGCTCTTCTCTGCAGGGTGTGTGTTGCTGCTCTTCCTCAGTGGCAGAAAGTGATAGATTGGCTACTTTGCCAAAGCACAGTGAAAACAGGTTTGGTAATTTAGTTTTTATGGAGGAATTCAACAGAGCGCTGAGGAGATTGCTCCATCCATGCAAGGTCTACTGCTAGCCTGATGGAACCATGTTCCCTCTCTTCCCCCTGCATGCTGTTTTGGAGGTTCTCCTGGAGCCTCCAATAATTTGGGAGTGCATAGGGGGAGAGGGAAATTCCCATTGCACAGGCTAGTGGGACATGTTAGCTGACTCCAGCCCTCAAAGATGAGAAGCACAATATGACTGATCACAGATAATGAGTGTTGTAGAACCTTGTGTTTGTTTATGCAGGTCTGGCTGGTAGATGGAACCAAGTAGGCTTGATGGGGTGAAAGGAAGAGAAGGAGAAGCTACTACATGAAGTAGCCCACAGTCCCATCTCGGAGGCCACAGTGGTTATGTAATGGCTAATCCCAGTCCCCTAAAGTCCGCAATGTACTTAAATAGTACATCTCCCTTGGAGGTACAAAGGGAAATGGCCTGCAAGAGAGCCTTTTCTATAATGGCTACAAAATTGTGGAATTTCCTCCTTACACAGGGGCATCAGACACTGTTTCTTGACATGGTCATTGAAGAAGTGCATCTTCTCATTGGCTTTTGACAGCTGAATCAGCATTGCTAGTCAGTGTTTTTTTTCTGGGGGGACACGGGTATGCATACCCCTAAACATTTTGTGAATCTTTGTACTTTTGTCCATTTACTGTATTTATTTTTCCCGATTTGAACAATAAAATGGTGATTTTCTGGAGTGAAAATGAGAGTACCCCTAAACATTTTTAAAGAAAAAAAAGCACTGTTGCTAGTGTCTCCCCATATACCGTCGGTTTTGTTGATATGTACATATGCATTGTATGGCACTTTGGGGTGGGGCTGTTTTATTTTATTATACTCTTAAAAAAATTTTTTTAGATGGAACCTGCCCTGGGACTTTATGGTGAAGGGCATGTAACAAAAGTAAATGATGATGATGATGATAGTAGTATACGCAAGCAGAAATACATTTGCTGTATGTTACAATTTTGTAGATATAAATAGAATTAAGGTGGCCTGAGAGAAAAATAGAGAATAACGGTATGTGGGTGTATGCATGCGTGTCTGCTTTTTCGCATTAAAATCTTAAGTTACTTGTGTCAAGTATGAATGCTATTAATGTGGAAACAAACAAACAAACAAAAATCAGAAGCCTCTTAGTATGCAGACATGCAAAATAAATTATGATGATACCGACTTTGTGTCAACTCCTTGCTATCTGCTCTGTGTAGAGATGGTAATAAGTGAATCCTACTTGTTGCTGCAAGTGAATATGGGAACTAGCAGAAACTCTTGTTAACAGACAATAGTTACCAGTTGGGATTTAAGCATCAGTTTAGCTTTAAGAAAATGTGATGCAAACAATTTTAGTAATAAAAGGTAAGTTTTCTGCTAGTGTGCAGTGTCCTGAGGGAACAAGTGATACTGCCCTCTAGTAGGCAGAATGTCTTTTAAGCGAAAATCATGGTAGTGGCACAGATGAAACTGATGTTTATTCGGAGATAGACAATGCTGCTTTTCAGGGTATTGAATGCATTATATTTTCTTAGTATTCATCCTTCTACTTTCATCTCTGGTAAACATATTTTGCAGGTTTTTGTAATGCTTGCACAACAAAACATGAACTTTGATGGTGGTATGTTGGCGGCGAAATGTTCGCATTTTGTTTTCACCGTGATGTCTTTTCAGGATTTTTACTGCTATTATTTGCATTATTTTGCCATTTCAGCTTGTTCTCCATTTCTGTTATTGTTCAATATTTGATATGGCTTTTAGTTATTGGCATGAATTGTTTATGTATGTCACCTTTTAGAGTGGAAAGACAGGGCAAACATTTTTAAAAAGTACATCAAGCCCGATGAGCCACGGTGCCTCTACAAATCCTATTGCTTATTTCCAGAAACAAGCTGTGTTTGCAGAAACAGGCTGTGACTGTGACATAGCCTAACTTACGTGCATTTCCAGCTGTGCTACAGTTATACTGTGCAGGTAACTTTCGGGGCTGGACCTAGACTTAGACATGCGGGACTTCCCTTAGTCCCATTAACTGGGACTTAATGGTTCTGCTCTAAGCATGTCTAAGTCAAGATAGAACCCAGAGTCTCCCTGCCCTGCCCACTGCTTTCCCATCTCCCTCTCACCTTGGTGGCCCCAGAGGCCGGTTTGTTGCTGGCATTACGGTCAGCGTTTTGGAAGCCTGGGAGGTAGTTGAAGCTGACCCGCTGATCGTCCATCCGCCGGCTCTGCGTATGTGCCAGCATATCCATGAAGTTGTCCATCTCTGGGGGTGGGCTGGGGCTGTTCTCTGCCCAAGAAATGGAAAAGGGCATTAGGGAAAGGCATACAGAGGGAGCACAGCACTAGGACTGATCTTGCCTCCCTTAGGAATCATGGACCTCTAGCAGTCAGTATTTGGTATCAGATTCAGGAGAAAGAGCACCCTCCCATTAGCACAACAGTTCTCTGTGGAGTATAAGGGATGCGGGTGGCGCTGTGGGTTAAACTACAGAGCCTAGGACTTGCCGATCAGAAGGTCGGCGGTTCGAATCCCTGCAACGGGATGAGCTCCCGTTGCTCGGTCCCTGCTCCTACCAACTTAGCAGTTCGAAAGCACATCAAAGTGCAAGTAGATAAATAGGTACCGCTCCGGTGGGAAGGTAAATGGCGCTTCCGTGCGCTGCTCTGGTTCGCCAGAAGCGGCTTAGTCATGCTGGCCACATGACCCGGAAGCTGTACACCGGCTCCCTCGGCCAATAAAGCGAGATGAGCGCCGCAAGTCCAGGGTCAGCCACAACTGGACCTAATGGTCAGGGGTCCCTTGACCTTTACCTCTCTGTGGAGTCAGCTTTCCTGATACAGAGCTGGGGTGGGTAAATGTATCAGTTTTTGTTTCTCTCAGTTACTCATTTACCCAATATTACACTTATGCCTCCTATACAATTTTTCACAAAACAATTTCCCGTAATATGAATTTTAAAATATTTTATCTGATATATATGTATATTATGCACACTTTATGCTATGGCTGCCATATATCTGGGATTTCAAAGGTGGAATCGACATCTGGGGGGAATTTCCAAAAGGCGGCACTTTGTGCTAGATCTTAGGCATGTTTTTTTTAAAAAACAAAAGCTCAACAATTTTGGGGCTTTCCTTTAAAATGTTCAACAGCTTTTGGGGTGTCCTGGTTTTACTTTTTGAAATATGACTACCCTAAATATGCATTTTTTTGGTACATGCTACTTGGCTGGAGAGCTGCATTACAATATTTGGAGAAGTATGAATTCCAAAAGATGGTTGCATTTTGCTCTGCGTATTCTTTTGAAAAGTGCAAAGGCAGCTTCACCTCTAAATGCAAACTGAGGAAGAAATTTAGCAGAGTACTACGGCAATTGTCCCATCAGCACAAGCTTTTCAGCTTGCCAGGAGGACCGATCCCCCCTCTCCTCTTCTCATGCACTGTCACGGGGGTTTCCCCAAACCATCCAGAACCAATTAATTGAAGGGGGGGGGATGGAAGCCCAGTTGCGCTAGAGGAAGTCCTTGTGTGGGCTTGCATAAGTGGGACTAGATATCAGAGCCCCACCCTGAATCAAATCTCTCTCTCTCATCCTTGCTTTATTGTGCAAAGATGCTTTCAGCTAGCTTTGTACCTATGATCCACAAATGCATTGGAAGACTTTATGACCTAATAGAATTTCCCAAGCAGGTCCATAACAGTTGTTCACATATTACCAAAATCTGAGGACTGGGGTCAGTAGTTTTATGAGAAAACAGCCTCCAAGGAGAGATGGACCTCACCTAGGCTTGGGGTAGTCAGGACCAAGAGCTGTGCTAGCTTTTGCAAAAATGTGCCCACTGACCAGAACTTGCCCCCTTCCTTGCCCCTCTCACCCAGCCTTGGTTAACTCACTCTTCTCAGTGTCTGAGCCGCTCTTGTTGTGAACAATCTGAATGTTGCATCGTTGCTCATCCATGCGCCCTCCTTGTACATGGGTCAGCAGACTGAAGAATCCTTCTTGTTCTGGGGAACCCGACTGCAAAACAAGGACAACAAATAAACAGGGCCTGACATCATCTATCCTGTGCCCTTGTGGGTCTTCCCCTCTGGTTGGCTTTAATCAGCAACATGAGGAGCAAAGCTGTGTTGTTTCCTAACTTTTGCCAAAGCACTCAGCAGGAACTGCTGCAGGTAGGTGAGAGACACACACATGCCTCCAATGGGTTTTTTGACCCTCTTATATGGTGCTGGATTACAAACAGTTCTGTGGTGTCTTCCTCTGTTGATCCTATCTTCATCTGTCAGAGCTGGATTTTTGTGGGAAATGTGGAGAATACAGCTTCCTCTGCCTTGTTGAACTTAACCAGTCAGGCAGTTACAAAGCTTCCTGTACATTTTATGTACAAGGATGTGTAGGCATAAAATAGGCATTACCAGTGACAGTACTTAGCATTTATATAGTGTATTTTGAGTGTACAAAGCAGTTCACACACATCATCTCAATAATCCTTACAACAGCTCTGCAAGCGCCTCTTTACCCTGGCTTTTGATGTTTAAAGTGTATGTTTTTGGACCCAACTACACACACATCTATCCATTCTGAAGGAAATCAGCCCTGAGTGCTCACTAGAAGGACAGATCCTGAAGCTGAGGCTCCAATACTTTGGCCACCTTATGAGAAGAGAAGACTCCCTGGAAAAGACCCTGATGTTGGGAAAGATTGAGGGCACAAGGAGAAGGGGACAACAGAGGACGAGATGGTTGGACAGTGTTCTCGAAGCCACCAGCATGAGTTTGACCAAACTGCGGGAGGCAGTGGAAGACAGGAGTGCCTGGCGTGCTCTGGTCCATGGGGTCACGAAGAGTCGGACACGACTAAATGACTAAACAACAACAACAACACACATCACATTCAGTATAAGGCCGATTTCTGTTTCCAGATCTGATTAGTATGGCAAAAGTTTCCTCATCCCTTAATTTACCCCAATATGCTGGCTGATTCTCCAGTGGATTGAAGGTTGGTGATCAGCGTACCCACCCATCTTTTGACAGCAGTTGTGCCAACTTGAATAAAATATTGGGAGAGGGGAGGTAAGCCCCACCCCACATAATCAATCATATGATGTGGTGCATGAACACCATTTGAATGGCAATGCCCATCAACTTTGGAGGGGGGGCAGTGCCCTTAAATAATTTATTGGGGGAGCCGAAGGCACCTTGGCCCTATGTTTGACAGTCACTTTGTTTAAAGTCTGAAAACAAGGGATTTTTTGTAGCCTAAAGCCTAAGATTATGTTATGGACCATGTGCACTGTGAGATAAGTATCCTTGCAGTTAACAACTCTCCTTAGGATCATATACCTAGACTGACACTGTCTTGTTGACGGAGTGCTCCTCGGAGCACACAATGACACAAGGCCTCTCAAGCACACTCCACACATGTGACAAATTTCCAGCATGGCTATAACTTCTTTGTAGAACACTGCTTGTCTTGTACAGCTAATACAGCCATGTATCTTTCAAGGTGTGCACTTGCTGCAAGAACCCACAGTCAACTGGGGCTGCCTACCACATGTGCAGGTAATGGAACTGACACACATGAGGCACATCTAATTTCCTACACACACAAGACCTACAAAGGAACATAATGTGCGAAGCTGCCACCTTAGTCACCAATATGTTCAGACTAAAAAGAAGCATAAAGCCCCAATTTGCTCTGGTGCATAAGAGCTGAACTAAGCCAACTGTGTCTGACTAAAGCAACTCTGAACAATGAGAATCCACCCACCTCCCCATGCAGCCTCTTCAATTACTTAATTCCCAATACTGCTAACTAATGCAATTTTTCTACAAAAAGAGGTGCCGGAACTCACCACGAATGCCTCCCTTGCAGACCCTCCAAGTGTCCCTATTTTCCAGGGACGTCCCTGATTTAGAGAAGCCGTCCCAGTTTCTGATTTGATCCTGGAATGTCCCACTTTTCCTTAGAAGGTCCCTATTTTTATTGGAGAAATATTGGAAGGTATGGAGCTATCCAACCCCCGAGCCATCTGAAGGAAATCCTGTAGAGGGAAGGGTTTTTAAAAAAAATGTTTAATGTTTTATTATGTTTTTATATACGTTGGAAGCTGCCCAGAGTGGCTGGGGCAACAGAGTAAGATGTGTGGGGTATAAATAGTAAAATTATTATGGAATGAGACATCCCTATTTTCATCAGAGAAATCTTGGAAGGTATGCCCTTGTTCTCTTACAAAGGCAAAGGCACCCACCTGAGAGGTGCTGGAGTGGAGTTCCGACTGAAAAAAAGCCCTGCTGCTGAACACATTTCTAGCCATTCTCAGTTTCTGACAATCATTTGCCTCCTCATACCAGATTTCTAAGCTGTTCCTACAGCCTCTCTTGGAATGCTTTTATTCAAACAAGTCACTTTTATTTTTCTCATTGATAAAGTCAAATGACATCCCTTAAGAGGCTTATTTCATCATAAAGCTAGGTTTCCCCACCCCCACCCCGTCCTTCTTCAAATAATAATTATCATAGGTCTGTGGATTTCAGGCTTTAGAAATGATAGAATTGGATGTGCAGGTTTGAGGTTTTTGGTTTTTTTTAAGTGTGAAATCTTCCATTTGCCTTTTATCCATCTTGTGAGTTCAAGGTTGATCTGAAGTTTGAATTGGGGTATTCACAGCTCAGTGTTTTAACTGTTAAATGTGATTTAACTATTATACTATATGGAGCTAAGTTTCATTTTGTACAGTGTTTGAATTATCGGGAAAGGCAGCAGGTTTTTAATAGAATCCACAAACTCCATTTTCATTCTTTGCCCAGTTGTGTGGTTTTTTTGCCAATCCATGCACCCCATTGTTTGTTTGTTTTTTTTTAAATATATCATAATTGGCTCCATAAATTTGTATACTATTTTGTGTTGGCCTAAGAAAAGTATTGCCATAATATGGATTTTGGAATTTTTTATAGGCTAACACAAGTTACCTTTTCCTTTTCGCTAGAAATTAATTTTTCATTAGAATATTAGATTTTCATATTAAAATGCAAATTGGGTTTTAGGTTCCAAAAAAAATTATTTCACTATCTATGTGGGAATAATGTCAACATTCACTTCAGGAAAACCACATGGTTGGAAAGCCATTGATCTCACCCAGGTATGTTTTTTTTGTTCTGTTACATTACGAGAAATTATTGAGGTTAGGTGCAGTGTGGAAGTTGGGGGGTTTGGAACAGTCTTTCAGGTGTGCTTGCTTTAACAAGCCTTCTCTTTCATCTTCTAGATATAACTTGAGGGCTCCCAGCAGGTCAGAAAGTTTCTTTCTGACTTGAATATGAGGAAGACTATAGACTTTTACAAAAACTAAAAAAAAAATGGATTAAAATCCATTTTCTTTTCACAATGAAGTGTCTGCAAATGCATGCTTTGTTCTTTACTTTAAAAAATGCTGCTGGATACACTATCAGGATACAACACAGCTGCTTGCTTTTTTAAAGATTAAAAAAGAAAAATTCTTTCCTAGACACAGTATGAAGAATAACAAACAACATTACACAAAGTTTGACTTCTTTCCTGTTTCAGTTAAGAAGAGGAGTGCAGCTATGTATTGAAGTGCTGTATACTGAAGTGGCCTGTGCTTAATATTTTGGGGAACTGTTTTGGGGTTACATCACAGAGCCTAGGAATAAAAACTCCCTAAAATCAGCACCCTCTGTTGTGTGACAAGCCTGTGACTTGTTGTGATAGTGTAGCTGGCCACAGTGGAGCAATTAGGCAGCTGCAGCCTCTTTCTCCTGGCAATAGTAGTCCTTAGTTGGTATTCTTGAACATGTCCCAATGGAGCCCAGGTAGCCTGCTCCTAATCTGAGACTGCAGGCACAAACACAAAATAAATTATCCAAAATGAACCCAAACAAATTATATAATGTACTATTGAAAACATTATTTGCACAAGCACATCATTCCCTTTATTTCCAGTGTTCAGGCTGGGAGTGACATTATTTATGTAGCCAAAATGGTACTGGTCATGTACAAGGCGAAGGTGTCAGCAGGTTTGGAGAAGCTCCAAGATTTGCAAAAGTAGAACAGAATGTATGGGAAAATAGTAAACAGGGAAAAGGGAATCCTCAAACAGCCAGAGCCATATAAACTCAGAGCTTCATAGCTTTGCAAGGCAAGGGAATGTCAGTGGAAGTGCAAATGGAATGGAAGGTCCTGCAATCCATGCACAACAGCACACAACCAACCTGTAACTGTGACTATCTTGTCACATCAGCAAACATTCCACATTTGCAGTTGTGGAATACAGATGAGTATGTGTGTGTTTGCATATATGCTTCGCATTGGCTACAAACTAATTGCATCAACTCAAATAAATAATATTCCAAAGTATCTGAAAACCTGCACCCAAAGAATTGTAGCATAAGTCCAAATCAATATGTGAAATTGCCTCAGATTATTTCCCCCCCTGAAGCTGTCTCCTTTCTTCAGGCTCCCCTTTCTTAGCCCATTGCCTACTTTGTTCCTCTCCTTCAATTACCTTGACTTGGGGCACCCCAAATCTTTCCTACCTTCTGGGTTCTCTTTCCAGCCCTCAATCTGTTTCTCCGAAGCTATTCCCATCCCTGGACCCTATATGTATAAAAAGTTTTCCATTAGAAAAGCTGGCCTGCAAATATCTTGACAGAATGTTCATGAACATTCATTGTCGCACGCTGGCTCAGCGAATGGTTGTACACAGGTACAAGTGTAATACAGTACAGATTGTTACAGCACTGTGATTTCTTGTAGTACGATGATAGGATCAGGTGCATCAAATAGGCATGAACAAAATTGCATTGACCACCAAACGACAACGACAACAACACAATTCTAACACAATAATTTAAAACAGCATAAAGCTATCATGAGTCCTATATGCAGAATATACTGCTACTGAAAGAGCCAGACAATTGTGGTCATTTTTCCAAGTCATCTGGCAACATATAACAATCCCCAAACCCCTTATTTCTAGGGTTGGCAGCAACACACTTTTGTCACTGTTACAGCTATCTACAAATACTTCTTCATAACCCCTTTTTAGCTGTAAAAAAAAGAAAAAAAGAAAAGAGTGTTGCTATTTGGTTCTCCCAGTGTGCCCTATTTATATTTCTCTCCCCATATCGTATCAAATAATAATTTTTCCATTTCATTGTACACTCACACACAGAAAGCAGGTAGATGGGAAATAACTGCAGGTGGGTTGGAAATCATCTACATTTAAGTGTGTGGAAGACAACATCCATTGCTTGTTTATAAATCATTACCACAAACGTAGACATGTAACCTCTGCATCTTAAATTGGTCTATTCCCCACTTGCTCTTCCAAACCCGAGAGCACTGATTCAAGGAAGCACTGCAGCCTATTACCCTTGCCGTACTGGTAATAAAATCAACCTTTGCTCTTCCCTATTTTGAGACAGAGCAACTGAATTCACCACATCCTCCCACAATTTCACAAAACAATTCAACCAACATGCATTGTACAGCTGCAGAAGCATTATTTACCATTTCACGGTTAAGTGGGTCAAGAGGTTCTCAAGGCAAAGATAAGCCAATATATAAGATTCAGAGTCATAGGGCTCCAATCCAAGAGGTACAGTAGGCCTTTTCTGTGTCAAGGAGGGTTACTCATTTTGGTGAGCCGACAGAACGAAGAAGTAGCTTTGCAAAGTTGTCCATGTGATTGCCTATTTGTTTACTGACTATGCAGGCATCAGATATACTGGAGAAGGGATGGTATTACTAGAAGTAAGGCTTTATTATGTTTTTATATATGCTGGAGTGGCTGGGGAAACCCAGTCAGATGGGCAGGAAACAAATAAAGTGTTATTAAATTATTCTTATTATTAATAGCTTGCCCTTCTCCACCATATAGAGTAAAGGATGTTTTCTTCCAAATCTATAAGCTATCATTTGAGGGGGGAAGCCATCAACAAAGGTGGCCATTTACACAACACAGAAATGTGAAGGGATAATAAATGGATCAATGTCAAGCTGAGGTGTCCTGGCACCTTACTAGCTCCTGGCTTCACTTCCTCCGATAATTTTCTAGCACTGACTAGGGAAAAGTGAGGAAGGATAAAGATCCAACTACAATATTAAGGAAGAACAAAAAATGGAACAGTGTTTGGATGCAACAGGGGAGTTGCTATGGGCAGGAAGGCCTCAGGTATCATATAACAAGGTCACAGTATATAGAGAGAGGGAGTGGTGATTGTGGAAGATGAATGCACAATACACAATACACAAAGATGAAAATTGGGGGGGGCGGGGAGTAGTCAATAACATCTTAGCCCTAGGGGTCAGGTGGCAGGGGTCAGATTGGTGAAACTGGAAGCAGTGCACATAGAATCATAGAGTTGGAAGGCAACTCCTCTAGCCCACCCTGTTGCTGGTGCTTGATCTGGACATTAGCTTTGAAAGAAAGACACCCAACCCTAGCGCATTAGGAAACCTGAGATATACTTGAGTTAGAAAAAACACCAAGGGTACCTTAGAAACCAGACATGAGAGGGCAAAGAGAACAGAGCACCCTATTGGAAATCAGCAACTAAGAATTGGCAGGGTTAAGCTGATACAAAGGGGATTGAGGCCAAACTGTAGAGGAAGTGATAGACATGGAGGGGGAGGGAGGAATATCAGTCAGCACTGGAGCGAAGCCAGCAAGTGTTCAGAATTAAGGCATTAATCTCCTTTCTAACTGTGTGGTCTGGTCCTCCTGCGGCACTAACTGAAAAATTAAACTTAATGGGGGCATTTGGCTACAAAGATATGCTTATTTATACGTGAGGTTAGTCACTACGTCTGGCAGTGTGATTCAAATGAATAAATGTGGCCCAGCTAGGCTTTTTTCTTTTTTTTTAACCATCTCAGACTTCAAGGCTCAAGTAACCACTGACAGGGACTGACATCTCTTCCCTAAACAGTCTGCCTCATATATTTTTTCCCCAACCACTCTTAGCAAAGACTCTTCATTCAGCTCCTTTCTATCAGGCCCATTTATGTTTTAATCTAAAAACCACAGCTGCTTTTTTCAACACTCTTGAATTTTCAACATCCTTCAAAATGAAGGGTCAAAAAATGGTCAGAATATTATTCTCAGGAACCTCAAAGTGCCATGTTCCTTACCCAACCAGATATTGCATTTGGCCTCTGTCTTGCTACCATGTTGCCCTAGATGTTCAAAAGTAGAATTTGTGTTTCTACTATAACCCTTTAATCTTGTTCAGATTCCCTAGTTTCCACAAGATGTTTTTCTGTTGAATTGGTGCTTCTTGTGTTCCTGTATCTCAGAATATGGCCTTGCTTTGAACCAGGGGTGGGGAACCTACAGCCCTCCAGATGTTGGACTCCAACTTCCATCATCCCCAGACAGCATGAGAGCTGTAGTTCAGCAAGAGCTGAAGGGCCACAGGTTTCCCACTACTGCTTTAGCCTGTGAAATACTATATGACTAGAAAGGTCCCAAGAACCAAAGAATCTAGACCTCATTGTGCAGAACTGCTACCCCGTCAAGCTGGGCATCACTTTGACAGCATTTTTCTTTAACTTTTAAAGTTGATAAAATGATTTTGTGTTTGTACATGCACTCGCATGTAATCGCCAATTAGCTGGAAAAAAAACAACCTGTTCATATTCTAGTGTCTTTCAATTATATCAACTTTATATCATTAGTTCTCAGATTTAAATGCGGTCAGTAATATACCAATCCATAAAGTGAAGTCACTGAAGGAAAGGGTTATTGAGTAATGCTCATGAAAACATGAATCAATGTCACACAAGAAAGCAAGGCCATTGATGACAGAAACACACAGGGGTTATAGACAAATAGATGCTAGCAATGTAGTCACACAGAAAACCATAACTGGAAGAAAGTGTCCCATTGCACACAACCAACTAAGAATGACTATCAGATGTGGAGGGAAAGGGCAGAACACAATGAGGAAACTAATAAAGGAGAGAAGGTTGACACCTGAGTACCAAATGAAAGGAGTGGGAGAGAGCCATCAGAAGTGGACATGTCAGAATGCTACCAGAACAGAATGTGTGACGCATTTTCTTTTCAAAAGGTATCCAATTAATTGTGGGTCCAACCTGTCCATAAATGACTCCTGCTCCTTTCACTTCTATCAGCCAACCCTATTTTTGGATAAATGCCACTCCCCCAGCCCGTTCCGCCACCCCTGAGCCCAAACTCAATGGCTGCCACAGACATTCTAAGTCCCACAGCAGTGGAAAAACTGGATGAAGACCTCTATTTGCAGCCCGTCACACCATGTCCAGGCCAAGCTTACCCCACTTGATGGGTTGGATGCTGGTGCTGCCTCTGGCACTGCCTCTGGCAATGCCTCTGGAGCTGGAGCTGGAGCTGAATCTGGCTCCTTTTTCTCCTCCTCTTCAGTTTTGGCTTCTACTGTTGTCATTGTGAAACACCCCTCCTGTAAGTACTGCTCAAAATAGGTTCCTTCCCCCAGCGAAAAAGCTGTTTATCCCCTTGAGTTGGTGGTACAGGACCTGTCGGCGCTGTGCACTTTCCCTGCCCTCTGGCCACTCTGACAGTCCTGATGCCCGCTGCTCTTAGTGATTTATACAGAACTACAGCAGCAAGCACCCCCTCGCCGGCTCAGTGCCACCCTCTCCCCCGCACAGCCTCACTCTCTCCACACAGGAGATCAAAATCCATATTTTAATAAACACAGGCGTCCAATCTGCTCCCTCCATCGGATCCCCGTAATCTGCATAAAGATTATCCTGGATAATTGTCTCAAAAGAGCCAACACACACTTTGTTAGTGAGTGTGTGTGTGCTTATGTGTTCCCATGTGTGCACATGCACATGTGTTGCACCACAAGGAAACTGAGGAAAGCACATGCCTTTCCTTCTCGCCACTACATTTGTTTTGATCTGGCGTCATCCAGGCTGCTAGCACAGTCCTTGTTTCCTTTGCCCTAATCAAGCCATGATCCGACTTCTCGTGATGTCCACTTTCAAATCAGATGTACTACACCTCTGACATGATACGACACTACTCCTTTCGGGGCCCGGTAGCTGAGTCAGCTACAGGCCTTAGTCCTTGGCCAGCCACTGTGAATTCTGGCTCAAGCTGACTCACAGCCCTCTGGGGTGATGTGGGAGGTAAGACTTGGCCCAGTCAAGAATGCACTGCTACACATATGTGTGAACACCCTTCCTAGAGATATAAAAGGCCTACACTAATAAATGCTTGGCACAATAGTGACAGGAAGAAAGTCACTGGCCTGTACTAAGTAGGTAGCAATAAAGTGAATTAATCTCTAATTTGTTACTTCATTAACAGTTATCTGAGCATGGAATTTCCTTTCTTGCGCTCTTAGCTCACTCATATATTTAGCCCCCCACATTACAAATGAGGAAATTATTCTGACAGTGTTCTGCCACACCCCTATAGAAGTAAAAGGGTAATAGGAAACAGCCAATGTTCTCTTACGTAAGCAGGATCTTTCGATCCTGTCTTTATACTTTCCTTTCTCATAGTGGGACACGGGGGTAAAATTGAACCAGGTAGTGGATTTGGTGAGCCCTTATTTCTGGCCCATGGAATAAAAGCTGAAATATATGAGTTGTGGCCAAGAAGCTTGTGTTCTGGATGTGCTTGCTGCATCAAGCATATAAGTGTTTAAATTGTGGGAAGCCCTTTCTTGTGTAGAAGTTAAAGTTGGAAGGTTGATGGTAGATGGGGATTGTCTGCAGCAGCTGTAAGGTTCTTAAGGGAAAACGTGGGCTTTCATAGCAAAAAAGTATATGGGGGAAAGGGCTGGGAAAGTTGTTAGTCATGAACTATTTACAGATGAGGGCTGGTGGAGAAAGCAGGTACACAGGCCGGCCCAGTCCACTGAGCCTAAATACATCTGCAGTATGAGGAAGAGCAGCTGAGTGTCAAAGGTTGACCTGGTCCAGCTGGTGCAGTTGGCCAGCTGTTGAGTTCAACAGGTGGCAAGTGGATCTTTTGAGACACAGGGATGCCAAGGGATTTGTACAGCTTTGCAAGAGCAACTGTGGCCCTAACTTCTGCCTCCAGATTAAAGCAGAGCCATATTGTTACTCTAGGCAACTTGCCCAGCAAATGTTGGCAGCAGGGTCCGGAATAGGGTGCACAGGACTAGTAAGGTGAGTAGAAATTGACCCTGATGGTAAATACCAACGAACAGGGTAGCCTGATGAAGGACAGAGGAGAGGCTTGGGGGACGGGTCATGTCACTCACTCACTGAATGAGGCATCTTGGTATTCTTGGTGCTGGTGTAGCGGGTGCTGGCATCATAGTCACCAAGAAAGGCACTGGGCAAGGCTTGGTACTGGCGGCCAGGCATGGACAGAGCCCTGAGAGAGCACAGGAAGAACTTCCGTGGACGCTTAACACTTCCAAGACTCTTCTTCTTCACCACCTACAAAAATGTCCAAGTCAAAGGATCAGATGGGGAAATGTATGAGGGATATGCTGGTTTCCTTACCCCCTGCCCTCCTCCCCATACTTGCCAGTTTCTTTCCAAACCCATTGGCTTTCTCAGCCATTTGGATTCTCTGGTGATTGTCAAACAGGTGGCCAGGCTTCTCAAGGCTTATGCTTTATGCTCCCCAAAAGGCCACTGAGACCAATTGTAAGCATTTTCTCGAAATATATCCCAAGTTTAGCAGTAACCTCTCATTTGAAAAAATCCCTACCTGGGCAGACATGTTCCCACTTTGATGATACGATGTTGCAGTGATGGTCTGGGATGAGATATGCTGAGAGAGAAACATAATTAGACAACGTAGGCAGCAAGACAGGCCCCAACAAAAACGTTGCTCTACCTCAGGACAAGAGCCTCCTGGACAGTCTGGGCCATCCCCATGGAGCTTGCCGAATTTTTTGTTTAGAAATATATAGTGTTAATTCAGATCAGTATAGCCGTATAGATCTTGATGTTTTATTTCAGAACATCATAACTGTATATAAATTAACTGAATAGTTATCAGGGACAGGGCCTTCTCTGTGGTGGCATCTGTGAAAACACTTGCACAATCTTTTCACAGCATCCTGTGTTTGACATATCCTCTCTAGGACTTTGCTGGCTTTGAGAAAAACCATAAAAAAAAAATCCAGAGAGCTTTTGGGTGATTTTATGGCACTGCATTTTAATAATGAGTTTATCTTCTGGTGTTGTTTTTAATGTTACTGAATATTGTTGCTGCTTCATCTTATTGTTTAATATATTTCTAATACCTCCTGCTGTTGTTTTGTTGTCACCCTGGGAGGGTGAACACCCAGGGGTTGCCAACTTTTTTGAACTTCAGAACACATTTGTAATTTTGATAAAGGGATGTGGGTAGCAGTTGCAAAATAGCTGCCATGCAGTGTGTGGCATATCACAAAGTGGCTATTGTCGGACATGACACATCACAAAATGTTTGTCACTTCTAAAAGAGCAGGAGAAGAGACACAACCAAAAAATTGTGCAGAGAAGACTAATTAAAAAATGTTTGTAACATGGGCATGTAAAGATCCAAGCATATTCCAGAAACCTCCTTCGCCACCAAAAAAAGTGAGTTTGTACTGAATTACCTAGACACTAGGGTTACTGAAGTACTTTGGCATGGTTTTTATACTTGATGTTCAACAAGCACTGTCAAATCACAGATCACATTTGTCTCAATGGACTGAAATGTAGAATCAGAGATCCAGCGCATCCCATGCCACAGATTTGTCAATTCTTATTATTTTCTCATCTTCTCCAAACCACAATCAAATCTGAGTCCACACCTACAAATTTTATATGTCTATAGGTTTTTCTTGGGGGACGGGCGGTGTCCTTGTAAAGATCACAAAGATCCATATGGCTCCACACCAGAGATTTGAGTTGGCACTAAAGAGCAACTTATCTGTAATTTTTATTTTCTTAAAGTTCATTGAAACAGATGTGTTCTGTGCCTGATGGCTGCTTTGGGACATATCTTGTGTGAAGATCATTCTTGTGAAAGAAAAGTTTTCATGTGAAGCTATATTGCATGAATAGAGTTCAGGTAAGTTCAGGGTGGAGGGGGCACAGGGCTGCCTGCATTCTATTGAAAACACACACACACACACACACACACACACACACACACACACACCCTGGTCAATTGGTGAAAACGAAGGAGAAATCCTGAAGCCAGTAACATATCACTTTCACAGGGAAGAAGGGCAAACCAATGGGAAAGTGCCATAGCAGGCATCTACTTTGAGTGCAGAAGGTCTTGGGTTCATTCCCTGGCATCTCCAGGTAAGGGGTGGAAGTGTCCTCAGTGCGAAACCACAGCCAAACAGCAAAGTAGACAATACTGAGCCAAATATACCAATGGCTGGAGCTGGTACAAGGCAACTTCTAACAGTCCTAAGTGAGGCATGCCCCAGAGATTCCAGCAACCCTTTTAAAGAAAAAGTGACCATTGGGGGGCAAGCAAGCACTCAAGCTATGTGGAGGCAAGCCAGTGGGTGGGAATCCACCCTGCCGTCTCCAGCACCCCCTTTCTAAAATGTGAACAAACAACTGTTCACTCTGGAACAGGAGAAGCAGCTTCTGTGAAGGCAGCCAAGCAAAGGGGGTCCCCCCTTGGCACTACCTCAAGTGTAAACAAAGAACTAAACCCCCTTCTTCAGGTTTTTTTTTTTTTTAAAAGTCCCTTCAGCCAGGCCCAAAACACCACTTTGGGCAAGTGCTCAGTACTGCAGCTGCTGGCATGAGGTGGGCCTCACAAGTTCTGACATCGTCCCCTCAAACCTCTATGTACCACGGTCACCATGGCTTGCTTACCAAAGCCTAGTGGTGCCTCTTCTCCAAGTGAAGTCTCTGTTGCATTGAGACAAGAGGGGAGGCATCCAATCACAGCCACGACCCACTATTCCCGGCATCCAATCAAAACTGAGTATTGCAAATGGGCGTGCTCAGGCCCACTCTAGGCCTAGCCAAAGAGACATACACCAAAGAGAATGGAAGTAGGCACTGCAGTAGGGCTTGGTGGGGGCACTGGTGCCCATGGGCAGGGCATTGGCAAACCAGGGCCGCATAAGAGTGGGATTTTTAAAGTATGTTGAATGAAATTTAAATTTAAATATACCACAGCTCTGTAACATCTTATATTTTCAAAACATTGAGCTGGCACTGTGTAAAAAAAAAAAAAAAGGTGTTTATGTACTCACCCACCTTAAGCCAGGATTTGATACCCACAGTCCCATCTGTTTTGAGCAGAGGAGACATCAAAAGAAGCTCTCTCTGTGAACAAGTGCAGTGGTAGCTCATATCAGTGCTCTCCCCCACCCCCCAACTGATGGGGCAGCTGGTACGAGTTGTGGAGATGCCTGCACCATTCTTTTTCTTTTACTGCTCTTTTGGATTTGGCAGCCATTTTGCATTACGCCACAGCTATTTTGCGATTGGCACCCATGGCATTTTCTCAATATTCCAAATGTGCTCATTGGTCCCAAAAGGTTGGCCAGTTATATCCCAGGGAGTAGCTAAACCCCAGGTCCAATCCAGAACATTCTGTGATGTCAAAATTCTCCCGGTAATTTAAATTCCTACAGGGAATTGATCCATTAGATCTTGGATCACTTAACCAGCTAATGAAATATTTCTTCAGGATCTTACCTGGTTGCAAATGGATGCATGCACAGGAACTGTCTATAAAACAAATCAAAACACCACACAATCTGCATTTATTTATGAAAATGTTTATACCGTATTCTACATTTTTGTCTTTGCAAAAGACTCAAGTGGCTAACAAAACCCAGCCAGATGAGTGGGGTATAAAATTTTTATCATAATCATCATCTTAGTAAAAAGTTTAACTCTCTTTTCTGTCTATAAGTATAAATGCTCTTAGTCAAAAGTATATCATATTAGTCAAGATACACCCCTGAACACATTTTTCATGGCTGTACTGTGGAAGAAGTCAATGTAAAAAATGTGTTCTTTACTGATAGCTTTCTAACATCTGCTAAATGCAGTAATAGTGCTGACCAAGAATCTTTTTATGTTGTGTTTGAGAAAACATAGCTACAGTATTATTATAATCACTCCAGATAAGATTTTGCACTTTTAAGATAACTGAAACATATTTGTGTGAGCATGTAATTTTTGCATTATAAAGAACAGGTAATTGCTAGAGGAAATTGGTGAGGAAAGCCTGCGAACAGGCAGCAAACATGTTTCTTACCTGTAGACGTGATACAGAACAGGTAAATATGAGAGGTAATGTGAAAAGAAGGGAAATCAAGAAACTGTACCTAGTAGCACCAAGCACCTAATGGTGCTAATGGAGCAAATACGTAAGTGTGACATCACATTTCCACCATCTCATCTGCAACCTTGACATTATCAGCACCATATTCATCTGTAGGAATTGAGGAAATTGCCTTATAGATGAGAAACTATTTGTCCATCTAGCCTGCATTACCCATTCTGGCAGGCAGCAGCTTCCCAGCAGAGAAGCCTCTTTCAAATGGAGATGCCATTTGTACCTTTGGTATGCAAAGCACATTCTTTACCTCTGACTGAGCTATAGTCCCTTCCCTTAAAAGAGAAAGCATTTTCCTACAGATACCTATAGTCTTTGCCATTTCCTTCCCTTTGGGTGTGTGATGTACTTTATGAGTGGGAAAAGGCACACCAGAACTAGTTTGCCTTCCTATACCTGATGGAGAAATTGTAATGACTTCACATACACCCATCGCCTGCCCATTTGTTCTTCTCACTTACCTGAGATGCTCACATCCACTACTTGTAGACCGTCCTCTGCTATCTCCATTTCCTTGCGCTATCAGATGCAGGGTGGATGGAGTTTCGTGGCCCCTGGAGCCTTGTTAGCACTAGCATCAGTGCATTTGCCAACTTAGCCAAAGCAAGTTTCTATGGCACCTGATTCCTCTAGGGAACGGTGGTAAGAAAAGAAAAGGAACAGATCGATATAGAGAGAAAAAACTGGTCTTCAATGGCCTTTAAAAGGAAGGTATGAAAGATAAAGAATTCCCCTATTGAAGCAGAGAATAACTTGAGTTGGAAACTCCTCTTGCACTGAAGGAGGGCAGTGTCAGCCAAAAGATATGTGTACAGTATGTGTGTTCAAGTGCAACATACTCAGCTTTAGAATGTCAGGAGAACACCTGCGTTAGGGTGACAGTAGCATTTGAGGGAGTGCAACCACAAGTGCAAGTAGATAAATAAGTACCGCTCCAGCGGGAAGGTAAACGGCGTTTCCGTGCGCTGCTCTGGTTTGCCAGAAGCAGCTTAGTCATGCTGGCCACATGACCTGGAAGCTGTCTGTGGACAAACGCCTGCTCCCTCAGCCTATAGAGCGAGATGAGTGCCGCAACCCCAGAGTCGGTCACGACTGGACCTAATGGTCAGAGGTCCCTTTACCTTTAACCCCAACACCGGGAAACTCAGCTGGGATTTTTTTTTAAGTGGGAGAGAACAGCAAGCTTGCCCTTAGTGGAGAAGCTGCAAGGGCCCCAACAGCCACAATGCAGGTGCAAGTAAAATGGCTCCAAGTTGCTAGATCTATTTCTTCCCCACAGAATATTTGGTTTCTACTGAATGCATATGAAGCAAACATATTTGCCTTCAGCACATCTCCCCCAACTGCTGAACACAGGATTTAGAACCATCAAAATACAGCAGTCAGACATAGGCGAGCTTGTACTTTGGTTTTTCTTGCCGGCATTCAATAACTATGTGCCAGAGGAAACATTGTTTTCATGAGTATAGCATGTCGACTTAACAGTGGGTTCAAAAGTCCCTTGGGACTGTGGTGTGAGCAATCACAACAGACTAGTGAGCTAATTCAGAGTGGTGCAAGTGCTCCCCGACTGCTCCTTTCTTCATGGCCCCGTTGCTGCTTTTTAAAGGGAGCTGTGATACCAGTGACAGCGGGCAAGACAGATCAAACCCAGAGTCCTGGTACTATAGGCAGGGTTCAGCATACCTGCTTTAGCAAACTGGACACAGATGCTCTGGATTCATTCAGATGCCTGCTGTGATTGAGAGGTGTTCACCTTATGCTAGCACAACAAAAGAGGGTAATACAAATATCATGTAACTATCATGTCAGCTTTCCCCCCCCAGTTGACACAGAGCAGATGGGGTTAGGAGTTATTTGGAGCCTGTCCAGTAATTAGGAAATGAGGTTTTATTTCAAGCAATGGAAAAACTCTGAAGCCACTTTTGAAACGGCTTTGGACAGCGGTTGCTTACAAGGTTTTAACCAGCATTAGGGGCCAGTTGTGTAACTGTAAAGCAGCAACTAGCTGTTGCCTGTCTCCAGGAGGAACGGACTACGTGGGCCATGGGAGATATGTAAAGTTTCAACCTAGTTGAGGATTGCTACAGAAATGCAACAAGGAAATGACCTCCATTTTCACTGGAGCTGTAGAAGCTGTAGAAAAAAGCACTGAGCAAGATAGGGAGGAACTACCCCAAGGCAACACCTACAGAATCAGGTTGGATTGCTATTTATTCACTTCTGGGCTGAAGATGGCTTTGCTGCCGTGTTACCGCAGGGCACTTGTTACTGTCTGCATAAGCCACCACAATAACATGCCATTGTATAACAAGATTCCTACACAAATTACTGGGATAAAGTCTGCAAGGTGCTTTGAACATGATGTAGGAGGCAGCTTGTCACCATTCAAATCCTATTAAGTCCTTTAAAAATGAAGAAGCTTGGTCCAAAGTTTTTGACTGACCATGCTGGGACCTGCAAAACTGAGAGCTGGCACATTTTCAGAGATAGGAATCCCTTTAGCCCCAGCAGGGAGGGATGCAAGGTGATTGCTCTGCTCATGCTCTGGAGACTGTTTCTGCATCAGGAAGTTGCTAGTTGGGTTTGGAAGAATGAGCTCTAGTCACTAAGCATTGATTTGCTTATGCAGCCCTCTCCTCAAGATCAGGTCAAAACCCATCAAGGCACTAGCGATTCCTAAACAAACATTCGTACTAATTCATCACCCCAAATCCACTACCCACCCACATGGCAGCTGCTGTACAGCAATTATCCAAATGGATATTAATTGCAGATGATAATTCCCAAGCGGGGATCAGGACTAAAAGCTCCATACACAGCAGATTGGGCTGGGGGTGTCCAAGGCAGATCTACGGCAGGACATCATGTAAACATCCCTTACTAGGCTATTGGGGTCTCGACCCCACTCAACACAACTGGGAGGCAGCTGAAACCAGGCAATAAGCAACGGTTGGTTAGCTTGTATATCAAAAAAAGGGGAAGCCCAGCCCCAAAGATCAAGGAGGAACATGGAATCTCACAGGTATCAACAAATATCTATTCACACATTACAGAAACAGCAGCCCTAGTTTTAACACAGTAAGTGCACACACCGTGAGGTATTACAGTCAATCCTGGCTTGCTGGTGCTGTCGCAAACAGGATAAATATGTTTGAAGCATTCATATCTAACATTTTAGTATACATAACAAAAAAAATGTGAAACAGCCCCCCCCCCCCAAAAAAGAAAAGAAAAAACTGCCAAAATTTTGCTCCCATGTTTTATAATTCAGTCAGGATGGCTCCACTCTTTATGTGGTAAATACAATTCCTGAATCTAGAGAAGTGGCACACAGATGTCTTCCTGCAACCACCCCATCAATGTAGGTAAACTACATACATCTTCAAATTCCTGTATGCAAATCTGGTTACAGACAATCATTTTTTTCATTCACACTTTCGATTTGACGCATAAACCACCACTGGTGCATTTGAAGAACTTGTGTTAGCTGCATAAATGTGAAGCTGCCCTCAAATGTCCTCTGGTGTTGGGTGTTTAAACGTCATCTCAGAGAGTCTTTCCACCTGAATCTATGATGCCATGAAATGGATTGGCTGGCACCACACTGGACCTTTTCAGAGGTGCCACCATAACATGGGATGGGGAAGTTGTTGCCCTCCAGATGTTGCTGTACAACTCCCATCATCCCTGATGGGATCTTGTCATAAGACAAGAGGGCCTCAAACTCCCTACTCTAGTGCTTTAGGAACAAGCAGAAGAAAGTATTGGGCTGGCACACTCGTGTCTCCTCTTCATGCAAGGTTACAATAAGATCAGAAGCATCAATTTCCTCTTAAAAACTAAGTATAGCTCATAATAATTAATTAATTAATTAATAATAATAATAATAATAATAATTTATTACTTATACCCCACCCATCTGGCAGGACCTCCCCAGCCATTCTGGGAGGCTCCCAACAGAATATTAAAAACACGATTAACATCAAACATTAAAAACTTCCCTAAACATGCCTGAACTTGGCAAACTTCAATTAATTTAAATCCTAGGTGAAGAATCTGTGGTCCAAATATTGTTGGACTACAACTCCCATTATCCCTGACCACTGGCCATGCTAGTTGAGGCTGATGGGAATCAAGTCAAACAACATCTAGAGGGTCACAGGGCCCTCACAGTTTAAACACTGGTTTGCTCAAACAAGCCAGGATCAAATCATTATTTTATGTCCCTGGCTTGTTTGAGCAAACCAGAGTTTAAACTAACCAGCCCCCCCCCCCCAGTTCAAATGTAACAGGGAACTCTGGTTAGTTTAAAAGTGGAATTTTCCAATCTCCTTGTGGCTGCGCTAGAAGAGATGACAGGAGGGAGGAGCAAATGTAACACTAAAGTTTTATGTCAAGTCCAAACTGGCCTCCCTCATCTTACATGAGGAAGTAGGGCAAACAGAAGAGAGCAGGGCCACATAACCCTGTAAAAAGATTTAAGGTTCCTAGCGAGAAACAAAAAATTCCTTAAAGGAAAAAAAGGAGCGAGCTGATCCACCATCAAGTGGGATACCATCCTGCCTGCTAACTTCATTTTGTGCCACTACCAAAGTTTCACAGCTTGAGTCACAGAACAAATTATGTAGACAACTTTAATTTTCACATTTATTTATATACACTGGGATTCTTCAGCAGAGCTAAACAAGTCTCACAATGCAAGTAGTACACAGCACCTCCCATACATTCATCTCCCCTGGCCTTTTAAAAATAGTAGTATCCCCCGTCTTATACTAAGCGTCAGCACAACCAGTAGGCCTGCAACACTGGGCATCCAGGAACAGCTACTGCTTCTACACGTTACATAGGATTGGGGGGGTGAACGGTCTTGAATCCATTCAAACTTTTCCTCAAACCAACAACAACCAAAAATAAGTTATTTCAGTGAGCAATCTACCTTTGCCCTCCCAAAAAAAGAAAAAGAAGAAGAAGAATGAGAACCAAGCTGGAGTCTAGACAAGGACATGTGTGTAGACATCAAAGAAGCTCATTTCCTGGAAATCCCCCTCGAAGGAGTAAATAACTGCACTGATGAAGGGAGAAGTAGGAGATGCTTATCCATCAGATATATACAGTTGACACTTCCCCTCCTTTTGGGGAAGGCTGGGCGGAGGTTGGGGGGGGGGGGAGAGAGGAACAGAAAATAAAGTGCAACCAGAAACCTCATCACAGTGTTAAATAAAGGATTCACGTAACAGGTGGCTGGACCCCTGTCTTCAGCCTGGACACCAGACCAGGTCCTCCAATGTCATGCTCGTTCATGATAGCTGGCTGAAGGAGGGGTCAGTCTTAAAAGGACAGAAGCAAAGACAGCTGTGTGTGTGAAAAGGCATCTCTTTGAGAATAAAGGTTTATCTGGGCAGATAAACAGAACTGCTGTCAGACAGTCTCTTAGGGGCGTGGGATGTTCTTAGGACTTCAGTGGAGCTTGCTCAGTCAGATTGCGCACTTCTTCCAGGAACTGCTTGGGAGTCAGGATGTGGGATGAGCCTGTGTAGCAGAGAAGAAAAGTTGGCAGGGCAACCTTAGAGGAGTCCATCACAGATCACATGTGTGTGATATGATTCTGCAGATCACACTGAGCAAACAGGCCCACATGTTAAGAAGCTGCTGCGCTCTGCCAGCACCTAGCTCATCATTACTTGATACCTCCCACATGACGGACTTCTGGACAGGAATGCTGCCGCTGCTCTATATCTCAATCTACAACTGGTTTCTCCAGCCATGGTTTGAAGAAGAATGTAGCAAACAACCTTCCCAGGTCCATGCCAACAGTTGGGAGAAGATTTTACCCAAAGAGCTTCAGGACACACAAGTGATTCTCAACAAATCCATGTAGTGAAAGTTGGCAATATATAGGTTGGCATCAAAAAGCTGCTGCCACAAGCAGCCACACCTGCCAGGGCAACCCCTCTCTAGCGAAGAACTTTATCTTAAGCCAGAAATAATTCATTTGTAGAAGCATTACATTTCCCCATTGCATCAATAATGATAATAATAATAATAATAATGATGATGATGTTTATATGTATACTACTTTTAACCCCGAAGCCCCCATTGCTAGAAGGGCTCGTTGTCAAGTTCCAGAAAACCCATCTGAATTTGCTTTCTGCTCTGTGTGTTCCAATATATGTCGCAAGGAACACCAGGAAAATTCCTGAATCATTTACTTGCCTACGGACGGTTTCCAGCCTAAAGAGTGATCTGTGCCCTGGACACGCCCCTCACCAGCACACTTACCAATTAGCACCTCCCACTTTCCATCCGTGGCATCAGTGACTTCATAGGCACAGCGCATTTCCGACATGGTAACTCCCCCCAGTACAAACAGGATGAGGCGGGGTCCTGTCCGGTACTCAGTGGCTGTCTTGGTCTTGTGCCAATGACCAAAGCGAGCACTGAGGGGGAAAAGATGTTATGTGAGCACAGGGCACCAGCTGCAAGAAGACTGTCAAGTTAAGTACATGCCAGCTAGCAAAGCAGTTTTTCTCTCTGTGCTGGGCCTGCTGCTTCCGGAAAGGATGGCTCCTGCACAGTCTCAGCCCAGGGAACAAGCAACATATTGCTATGTGAGTTAGAGTTAAGAATGAGAAAAGGAAACCTTAAAAATGGCTTCTACAAAAAATAAAATAAAATGAATCAAACATTGCGGGACAGGGAAACATAACACACATGGAGTTTTATTTGGAGAAAAGAAGCACTGGCAGTTTCAGATGCAGTTCTCTTGTTCTTTCATGGTGTATTGGGTCCTGTATCATACTTTGGCATCATAGAACTACGAGGTTTGATGTGACTCATCACAGCGCTATGAGGTTCGGCACCACAAAACAGTGCCTGTTCGATCTCTTTCACCTTGCAACCACCACCCAATCCTGCTGCACAAACACTCATGTATAGGGTTTATCCCTCTCTCTTACCCCTCCCTGCAGCCCCTCCAGACAAATTTAGGCACCATCACCCCCTTCTTTGCCTGGAGAAAAATAATCCCTACTGCATACTCTGCAGCTGTAGAATTCTCATGTTGTGCCTTATAAAGGAAGAGATATTGTCCACCAATAAGTCTCAGGAAGATAAACACACACACACACACTTTTTAAAAGGCTTTTCCTTGGTTCATTTCTCACTTGGTTTAGATTTATTTATGGCCTTTCGTTCCCTTAAAAGGGGGGGGGGCTTGAAATAAAACATTTGGAATGTAGATGCAAGCCCTGGAACCGTGTGTTTGTGGAGACCTGGGAAGCGGGTGGGATAGAGAAAGGAGGCATCACAAAATACTTCCACTTTTCCTTACCTCACAGCAGCTTGTGAGGAGGGGCCTGGGGCTGGGCAAGACACGTAAGGCCACAACTTCTTGTCCAGCTTGTCCTCGATGACGTCCTGTGAAAACATGAACAAAGGAGAAAATATATTTCTTTCTTCTCGATCTGCTGGAAATAATAAGCTGCAGGGCTCATTCTACTGTTCAACTTGACTATTTATTTGGGGTGGGGGTTGGCTTGTTAACAGGCCAAAGAATAAAGGTGAATTATTTGGCACCCCTGAGGAAAACAACAAGGGTTGATTTCCACCAGGCAGTTACCACCACGTTGATCAACATTACAGAAGGCGTGGCATAACACCACAGAAAATGGCACAGGGCAGATAATATAAGGCATGCTGAACTATCACCACTTATTTGCTACTCCAAAATCCCTCCTCTGTGGCAGAAATACTATCAGAATCTCTTTCCCCCCATCCCTCTAAGCATTACTCACAACCAAACCACTCCAGCAGCTCAGAGGTACAAGGGCCTGGGCTATACAACAACACGGGAATGCTTCATAATGAGGACTTTCAGATTAATCCTTTGTTGACTTTTTACGGTGGGAGCTTAATGTTTTGTGCAGCCCTGCTCACAGAGCTACGTGGAGTTGGCTGGGGTGAGAGCAGGCGAAAGGCTCCTTTAATTGGATTTAACTATCGGATTGAAGCTGGATCAATGGGCAGTACCAAGATGAATCGTCAGGGTAATAGCATCCTTGTCAGCCAAGGGCAGCCTGGCCCAAGCGAAGGAATGCAAGCCACGCCCACCCGCACCCCATGGCCTGCATGATTCAGAGTGAACACAACAAAAGTTAAACGAGGACAAACACATACAGGAGCCCCCAAAACAAGACAAAATGTTAGGCTGGCCACATTCTCAGACCAGAAGTGGGGAAGGAATGGGAGACGGCAAGGACCTAGCACACTGTAAACGTGTTACTCATGGCAGTCCCAAGGAAGGGCAAAACAGGTCCAGGTGACTAATATGGAGAGACTGCACCACAGGCCCTGCCTTAGAATGCTTTCAGTTGGTACTACTCTTTTGTGGGGGGAATCAAGTGAACCCCACCAAAATGGGCAGCTCTCTTGCTGCTCTAGAGGGACCGAACAGGATATGCAAGCCATCTGCATAATTGGTTCCCAGTCTGGGGAGAAAAGAAAGGAACAGATACCTGCCTTTCCCAAGGTACATTCCATGTTCCTGGATGTGCACTGTAGTGCCCAACTGGGAGCATGAAACTGTTTGAAATGTTGAAGGGTATCCATGCTGGCCTGGCCTTGATTTTTTGCCCTGTGCTCTACATCTTGATAGCCTTACCTCCAAAGGGGCCTCTCTTATACAACTGCTCTGCCTCCAAAGGGAGTGGCGCCCTCCCTGTGGAATGCCCTCCCACCAGATGTCAAAGAGAACAACAACTACCAGACCCTGTTTAGGGAAGCTTTTAATGTTTGATGTATTACAGTATTTTAATATTTTTTTGGAAGCCGCCCAGAGTGGCTGGCGAAGCCCAGCCAGATGGGCGGGGTATAAATAAATTATTATTATTATTATTATTATTGTTGTTGTTGTTGTTGTTGTTGTTGTTGTTATTATTATTATTATTATTATTATTATTATTATTATTATATCTATGCAGTGAAGTCCCCCAGGACTTCTGAGGCAGGTGGCATAAAGAGACCCTCTCCTTTCCTGTAGCATTTCCGACCTTCCCCACCCCATCCTAACCCTTGTCTGTGTACCTCCATGACATCCTTAAGAAAAGGAATCCACCGGGAGAGCTGGTAGGTAGGCTCCAGTCGCACTTTCCTTATAGGTTTCATGTGTGCACCAATGTCCTGTGAGGTGAGGAATCAGTGAAACAAAATAAATTAAAGTTGAAAGTCAGCTGCACTGGAGGAGGGGAGTGGAAAGAGATTCAGGAATGAGCAACTGCTTACCAAACAGGCTCCAGCTGGTTTGGCCAAAGAGACAGGCAAAGAGGCAAAAGAGAAAAATAACAAAGCAGAATGAGATAGGTGGACAGACAGACAGACAGACAGACAGACAGACAGATGGAAGGGCTTCCCTCCCTCTGGAGAGCCACCTTATCAGGAAACCCAGAGGTTACTTCCTGAAAGACCAAGAACTGCCTTGACTCTCAAAGAACACCAGCAACAGCAGAAGCACAACCTGACCCAGCCATAACAGCTTAGGCCAGCCTTCAACTGGGGCTTTCCAGACGTTGCCGAATACCACTCCCATCATTCAGATGGGCTGGCACCGATGGAATCTGGAGTCCAACAACATCTAGAAGGCACCACATTGGGCACCAGGTTGGGGGAAGCTGGCCCAGCCGCAAGCCACCTGCACAGAGACTGCAACAAAGAATGGGACTGCGATACCTCTGGCATGATGGCGGCTCCCAGGCAGTGCATGTTGTAGAGGATGTCCCTGTCCTGCTGTATGTTGGCATGCTGGATGAGCTTGGTGAGGTTCTCCTCGTTGATGCCTATGCAGAGAGAACGCGGCTCAGAAAAACAGAACTCCAGGATGCTAGATGTGGCCCTCAGGGTCACGCCAGCACCTGCCCCAAGCAGCTGTACATAAGATATATGTACCCACCCACTTGTGCTGCTGGGTGCTGAGAAAGAGCCCAACAATAGTCCCATGAACCCATGCCTCAGTTTTTCTCAAGGCAACAGTGGCAAAACTCAAACCACATCTTGGGAGGAAAGCGGCTGGGTGGCAGGCCTGAGTCTAGATGAAAGCTGCCCTTCCTTTCCTCAGATCAGGCCTTTGCCCTAGGCCTCCGCGGACGATGCAATGGAGGAGAAGAAGTGGACAAGGGAGTACCGTTCTGGAGGAGGATGCAGAGCAGAATGATGCGGATCTTATCCAATGCAGCCACGTTGGTGTCCAGGACAATCGGCACAATAGTCTTCATAGGGTTTTTGATTTTCTCTCCATCAACATCTGTACCCGTGGCTAAGTCCTGGAGGCAGAGAAGACATCCATCAAGCCCCTTCTGCGTGGCTGCTCTCATGGAGCCATCTCCCAAGATCACAGGACAGCATTACTCAAGAAAGAAGGGGAGACTGTCCATTGCTCTTTGTGTCTGTCCATGGCCTGAGCTCTGAGTGAGCGAAGTTGGAGGGGAGGTAAGGCTATCCAGCCCCTCCTACATTGCTCCAGACTCTTTAACATGCTCACCTGCTCCACGCCGCACAACCTCTCCACTGTGCCCTTGAAGGAATTCATGCAGTCCTCTGCCAGGTGCAGATGTGTGGAATACTGCAGGGTGAAGGAGGTGGGGAACGGGGGCGGGGGAGGGGGAGGATAATGATTACTTCCTCAGCCAATCAGTCTTTGACCACCCCTTCTCCTTGCCTCAAAGTGCAACCTCAATGGGCAAGCAGCAATCTCTGGGGGCTCCTTTACTGGATGGGATGCAACAGAGCACCTCTTATGTAAGCGAAGGCTTCTAGCTTTTAGGTTCTATTTAGTTTCATGTTTGTTTTAATGTTTGCATTATACTGTAAGTCGCTTTGAGTCCACTTTTTGTTTTAAAAAGTGACTAGTAAGAACAATAAACAAACAAACAAACCAATAAATATAAAAATACTGCTCTTCTAAAAGAACAAGCAGCATATCTGTAAGTCCCAAGGTGCTGATTTTGAACTCTGAAGCCTCAAGCAAACATCTTAGGTATTTTTAAGGACTGTCTCCTTCCATGTGAGGCTGCCATGCTTTGGTCTTCTGGGGAGGCCCTGCTCCATGTTGGCGCTGCCATCCAGTTGCTCTCTCCTAGCCTTCCAAAGCCAGGTAGAAGCAATTAAAAACAATTTGGAAATGTAATGATATACTTCTGGTATTTTCTTTCCTGCTAATTGTTGCTGAATGGTTTCTGGATTTTTAAAAAATCTGTTTCTTACTTCCATGAGCGGTAGGTGCTCTGAGAGTGGAAAGGTGGTGGTGGTGGTGAGAATAGAATATTCAAAGCAAAATGACAGTCCTGGTGCCTTGCATCTGTTACCTTGTGCAGTTCTTTCTGGTACTGGGGCATCTTCTTTAGGATCTGAGACAGGTCTTTAATGTTGGCCTAGAAAGGGAAATGGAGAGACCAGCAATGCAAAGATCAGGTGGCATCAGAGATATGGACCAAAAAAATCTTTCCCTACACTAAGAGGATCTGCAGGCTGGGGGATCCCAACTCAGTCAACTCTTACCCAACCCCATGTACCCTGGAGCTTCCAGCCAGCAACACTTGAGATCTCCATGAAAGTGAACATGAAAACTCCAAGTGGTGGGGAGTTTCAGCTAAGCATCTCCAGCCTTGGTAAGTTGCTGGATGGGACACTTCCAGGGAGCCTCTCTGAACTCCCCAGGGGAAGAACAGCTAGAAGAGTAACACATAGGCATCAGCCTAGCAGCCTCACCTTGTCTGTAGTGAGTCTCTTGCTCTCACAGAAGGTCCGCAGGAGCTCAGTCACTTTCCTGTGGAAGGAAGTCACATTCATGGCCTGCTCTGGAATGGGCTCTCTGAAGAGCTACAGCCAAACAGAAGGCAAGCAGAAGGGCCATAGCTCAGGGGCAGGGCATCTGCTTCACATGCAGAAGGTCCCAAGGTCAATCCCCAACATGACAGGACTGGGACAGACCGCTACCTGAAACCCTGGGGAGCTGCTGCCAATCAGTGTAGACAATAGGGCTAGAGGGACCCAATGATCTGATTCAGTATAAGGCAGCTACCTATGTTCCTAACAACTCGCAGAGAACTGACTCTCAGCCTCTGCAATAAACAGCAGTGCTTCATGCAGGCTGCAAAAGTCCGAACTCCCTACAGCAGAAGGGATGTTAATATTAGGGGCAGCAGCAGCGCCGGGGTAGGAAGACTGTATTTCCTATTGCCACCTGATTCAGTCTGGCTGCAGACTTAAGTTGTAACCCAAGTGGACCTAGGAAGTGAGGCAACAGCTATCAAAATAATTGATTCAGACACATCTGGGATGGATTACTTCCAGCAACCAGGAAGCAGAGCGCGTATGTGTGTCTGCGCGCACACACAAACAAGTTCTCACTTGGAGACGTCGGCAATGTGCATATGGCGCAGATCCACCCACAGGTCATCGTCCTCATCCAGCAGTACCACTTTTTCTCGTGAGTCGCTGATGCCTGTGGATTCATACCTGGCAGGGTTGAGGAAAGGCAAGAGTGAAAAAAGGCTTTGGTAAGGCACACATGGCTGCTACCTGAACAAAGAGGTATTCTCCCCCTCCAGGGATTTCTACCTTTGCATTCTTGCCACCACAGCCACCACCACCACTGGACCTCACCTATATGTATCATTCTCAATGGTGAGCAGGTCATAGGCCATGGCCTGCAAGGTGAGCTCATGGAGAAGCGGAGATACCAGGTCACAGCTGCGGTCTACAATCAAAAGCTGAGAGCGAGATTTGTCAGGACCCTGAGAAGAGTGGAAGAGGGAAGGGGAGGAGAGAGATTAGCAGCCATTTGAGGCCAGCACCAAGCAGCCCAGAAGGAAAGGCTGTGTGCTCCAGTTCCCTGGGCCTCGCGCCTCCTCCCTCCCCACCCCATAAACCTGCCTGCTGCACTAGCTACCAGTTGCGTGCAAACTCTCCAGCAAGCTCAGGGCAGAGGGCATGGTCAGAAATGCAATTATTAAAATGTACCAAATCCCTTCCCAATTGGCAGTGCACAATCCCATTAGTGCAGAGATGACTCAAAACATGTTGGGCTGTGGATGCTGCAAAGGAAAGAAGCCGTCACTGTGAGCCACAGACCTGCCTGTTATCTGGGGTAGAAATTCTGCCTCTGGTGCTCTTTTACAAAAGTTATTTAGGGTTTGCTTGGACAATGGGGACTGCCTATAAATTCTTTCACAGATGTCTACTAGAAGTCAGCTTGGATGAGGCCAAATTTGCAAGTTAAAAAAGGAGACACTGCATTCCAAAGTATTTAGGCTGCCTTGATGACAGGAAAAAATATATATATGAATGCAGTGGCAGCAGCAGCTTGGGGGCTAAAAACAAACTATCCAAAATTGCAGCCCAAGTCAGGCTTTCAAATCCCAGCACTAAGTCTCATTTCCCAGCAATGTTCAAGCCTAGTCAGAATGAGCACAGGAATGTGCCTTTACACATTTGTGCAGTACATTCCAATGCCAGCAGGTGGCCACACAAACACACAGCAGTATCCTATAGATGCTCTTTTCAGATGGATCAAGAAACACTGCAGACAAGGAAGATAACACAGAGCAAGGGTAGCCCGTGTTGTGCTCCCCAGGTGTTGTTGGACTGTAGGTCCCAACATCGCTGCCCACTGGCTGGACCTGATAAGAGTTGGCAGTCCAATAACACCTGAAGGGCAACCCCTGGGTTAAAGGCACTTGAAGTACCTTTGTTGAGGTCACACCTCCTTCAGAAGCTACACTGTCAAGGCTACCCTCAGTCTTCTCAAAACAGTAGAACTATTGCTGATCGTGGGCAGTACCTCTTGTTCCCTGCCCTGTGAGATAATTATTGTTTGAGGGCAAAGCTGCTTCAAAGCAAATTGTTTCCTGCAACTAGCACTGCAGTAGCACATCCTTTGGGCTGGAGGTGGTGGCTCCATCAATGCAATGGGAAGATAATGGATGATTTCTGTGACATCAGCTGGAAGTGAGCCAAAAGTCCCTTTCCCTCTTATGCACACAATTTTGAAATCCCCAGAACATGAAGTTGGCCTTAATTCCTGCTAACATAACATTGCCTGACATACCTGTGGAAAACAACTATTTCCAGCAAGCGAGACCAATCCTGGTCTGCCCCCCTTTCTTTATAAATGGGGATTCGAATATCATTGCAGGGGAGCCAACCTGGTGTTCTGGTCTCTAATTCCCATCAGTCCCAGCCAGCACAGCCCAACCACCAGGGATGATGGGAATTGTAGTCCATCATCATCTAGAGGGCACCCTGGCCTAGAACTACGGCAGCAACACCAGAAAGAAATGGGACTCAAAGCCAGAGGGAAATGCCCTGTTTGGAAGTCATCTTGCACAGGACATCTTAGCCTTCCTACAGTGAGGTTCCCTAAAATGGAACATTTCCATGCCAAACTAAATGATGGATGAGGGAAACATGTGAACCATCTCTCTAGGTATTTTTCTTCGTTCACCTTTTTTTGAAATGAAATACGGCAGCGGGAGGCCTGATCAGAGCAGCACTTTGTGTATACACTTGTGCAACTGTGTGTGCTTTAACCCTTTCCCCGTAGACCATTTTTTGGGATCATCATACACATGTCTCCTTAGTGTCTTTTTCACTCATGAGAAAAAAAGAAGGTTGTGGAGAGCAGTGAAGAAAGATGGCCCGTGGGGAAGGGGCTAAAGCACCCATGCACTTGTACACACACAGCCCCTGTTGCGATAAAATTCACAGCCTCCCCCTGCTGTGTTTTAGTTTTAATATCAAACGGAAATAAAATGTTGGGGAACTTTTTGCCCATCTACTTTGGTTCTTAGTACATGTCTAAACTCTCACAGGCAGCCTCTGCAAGAGCACATCTTGTGGGTGTTTGGCAAGACACTCGGCATCCAGTTAAACGGAACATGCTAGCCATCAAGGGCAGGGCCTGGAGGAGATAAAGGCAGTGGAGTGGTCAGGCTTCACATGCAATTGTCCACCCGTGAATTAGTCACAAAGCTGAAGGCCAGTCATCAGCCACCCTGCCCCAACTTAGGCACAGCCCAGGTTGTTTTTCATCTCTGTGTGGAGGAAGGTCACTTCTGCATTCTCCTGCACTTCAAGGGCGTTTCCCCAGATCTCTCCTCAAGTCATCATACTCATGCTCTTCTAGTGAAATGCTGCAGGGCTTTCTGAAATTGTATCAGAGCAGCTGACCTCCCACTGCCTCGGCCTCTTGCTCTAGTTCCACAGGCTGTGGCAAAAATGCTGGGATCGCTCACCTCTCCCATGGTGGGGTTGTCCGCTTTGAAGGCATTCAGTTTTGCCAACACTGCATGGGCCAACAGGCAGCATTCTTCAGAGCCACTACAACAAAACATCAACAGGGTAAGGCTATTGAGGAGCACTGCTTCCTGCGCTGGATATGGCAACCAGGCGAGGTATTGAGCCAGTTATTTCATCAACAGATAAGAACCCCGGTTCTCACCCCCTCTCTCTGTAGTAGAACTGGCACCTGGCAGTGAACCCACATCCAGAGCAGGTGGCCAAGGATTCTTTACCATTCCAACAATAAGTTGCAGGACACTTCCTCACTCCATAACACAGCCTTCCCCAACCTGGTGCTCTTCTGATGTTTTGGAGTACTGTGCTGATGGGAATGTACTCCAAAACTTCAGGAGAACAGGATTCCAGGAAAAGCTGGTGTAATGAATAGTTGGGTTATCTCTCATAGTAACTCCTAATATAAGACCCCCACCAACTTCTCTGCAAAGTATTATGGCCTGTTATGCTTCTGTCCACATCCTCCTGGTATCGCAAGTTCCCCGTCCCTTCCCTCCCACTCCTCAGTATGCAGTGGTACTGACTTCCTGTAGCGAATCGAAGGGTACTCCTTGAGGGTATCGCATAATGTGGCAATTTGCTCTGCCATCCTTTCTAAGTGATTGTTCTTATCCTCCCTGCAGTAAGGGCTAAAGAGATGGTGGAAACTCTGGGGGCTGTCCAGGGTGTACACCTAGAAAGAGAAAAAATGGGAGAAAGGGAATAATACACTAGTGGTCTGTTAGGAAGCCACTGGGAACCTACACCATGCTCTAGCAATGCTCTTTCACAACAATCTGCCAGAAAACCCACAGAAGGGCCCCTTTCCCAAGAAATATCTTTCTGAAAATTGCCTCTCCCTGGATTACTGTGTTTGAAAACATCACCTCCTACGCTGTATGTCAACGGGTGCAAACATGACAGGGCAACCTGTATCTTAAAATCCATCTCATCATAATCTCATAATCCAGGACATCACACGATCATCACTGGGGCAAGAGCTAATGGTTATTTGTGAACTCTGAACGTGCAACACTTTTAAGGTCATTAAAAGTTGCTGGGTTCTTGGTTCTCTGAAGCCTCTGAAGTGCTGTAATAGGTCCTGGGCCTATACAGGCCTCCAGTTGGCATCCTTCCCTCAAGCTCTTTGGGGCTCTCATTCATCACCTGTACAGGGACTATCTAGCACAAGACAGACTCATCTGGCAACTTGCTTGAGGTGATGAGAGCATATTAAGCTCTATAGCAGCTGCAAGATGATTTGATGAAAGGTGAGGAATAATTGCTAAACCTCAGTTCCCTTTTCTTTGTAAACTTTTAACTTCTGGTTAACCTTTTAATAAAATAGCTATAGTTTAAAAAAGAAAAGAAAATTTTATACGAGTTGCCTGTTAACCCACCCATCCACCCAAATCTAGTCCTGCACCCCAATACTGAGAATGAACTATGAGATGATTCACTTGCAGCAGAAGTGAACATCAGAGGTATACTTGACCGACAGTATTAGGCAAGATGCTATTCTCAATAGTTTGGCAGAATAATTAAAATATAAATTCTCTTGCTAGTCCCTACTAGCTGAAATGGTCGCTTAAGTGACAGTCTGATACTTTTTCTGCAATTACTTAGCAGCTAAGCTTCCATTATCAGAGCAGGCACAGCACGCATCCAGCCACACGGAGGAATCCAAGCTACAAGCGGTCCTCAACTTTAAGCAGATATGGCTTCTTCTATCCTTCCCCAACCTGGTGCCCTCCACATGTGGTTGGAATCCAACTCCCTTCAGTACCAGCTAGCATGGGCAATGGTCAGGGATGATGGGAACTGTAGTCCAAGGACAACTGCAGCACACCAGGTTGGGTAAGTCTAATTTACCCATCTGGATTGTTCCTTTCCAGCTACTAAGATGTGGCCACAGTATAAACTCCTGAGGGAGGTCTGAGGGATATACATCACACACCTCAAGAAATCTCAACTGCAAGGCTGCCACCTCAAATTTTGTACAGCCACTGCAGAAAGCTCCCACACAAGAATTCCTGTGCGTGGTGCCACATGTTCTTAACAATGGCAACATCCCTCATGCAAAACGTTACAATGACAGAGCCGCTGCCCCTCCATTTGCAAGCGATTCTAGTCCACCCTCTGCTCATCCCTCTCCTCACCTGTGATTCATAGGGAAGGAAGGCAACATTTATTTCCTTCAGTGTTTTGATGGCTTTGGTGATTCGCGACTTGCCGAGCTCATTGAAGAGGTTCTCGGGGCAGGCTGAAAGTCAAGGAGGAGGAGGCAGGAATTACTCTGATCTTCCCCATTCCCCTCACCAAACTAACTGCACAGCAAGTTTCCTTAGGTAACAGCCCCCCACCCCACCCCACTCCGACAGCTACCAAGGCAGGAAAACAAAGGGTTGCAGTGTGACATGTGGGCCCAGAACTGGAGGCCACCCTGAGCAGTGCTGGTCAGCGTCTTCCTTTACTTCTGCCCAATGCTGACTAGAAAACTCATGGGAAGTTCCAAGAAGCTCACAAATAGGGCACTGAGAAGGACTGAGACTTCTCCTCTTCAAGCAGAAGCATCAACTACTCTCCAAGCCATGGGACACGGGAGGCTCAGGGACATACTTTTGGAGTCTTCCAAAATGCACATGCTCACTGGGGCCAAAACACATTGAACCCTGTTGATAATACGTCAAGCAACAGTTTGTGCTTCAGAGCACAGTCCAAAACCTACAGGTACGAGTGGAATTTGTGGCAGGAAGGCCTTCAGGTAGGCCAGCAAGGCCCTCGATGACCAGAAAAGCCACGGGACTGAAGCCAAATCTCTCAGTAGGATTATGGAGTGTTCCTCTATCCCACCATCTGCTCATCTCTCCCCCTTCCCGGAACAAGCCTTGACCTGCCTTCCTGTTTGATTACCAGCAGGCCCTGAACTTACTGTCAGTGAAGAAGACGTGGGCAGCCTTATAGGTGAAGGTAGGAGTGGATTTGAAGTCGTTTATCAGAGCATGCACAGACTGCAGAAGGAAAATGGATTATTAGCAACAGCTATATCTGCATTTGAGCTTCCACCGCTAGCTTCCCTCACCTTGGTTTCACAAACAGAGATACTCCAGCCATACCAGGAATACTTAAATTGGACAGATTTCTGGGAGGAGCAGATTTCCTGGCCTCTGGGGATTACATGGAACCCACAGGGGCTTCAGGAAACAGCAGCAGGCAGCCAGTGACACCTGCCCCACTTGCCCCCAGTTCTTCCCACCAACTTCCTCCCTTCCTAAGGGCCACATGTAGAAATAAGGAACTGGGTGACTATTGTGGGATTTCCCCTCTATCAAGTGGCATCTGGAGGATCTCGCCAATTCAGTGTCTGCCCAAGTATGCAGAGATTAAGGACCTACCGTCTCAATGGGGCTGATCAAGTAGATTGCTTCCAGGCTGGGGAGGGGCTCTCTGCGCTTGTTAATGTCTTCAATAACTGGAGAGAGGAAATGTATTTGAGATGTCTGAATTTTGGAAGGGAAAGAAAGAAAGAAAGAAAGAAAGAAAGAAAGAAAGAAAGAGGATGGAGGGGAACAATGACACCAGATTCACTGATTTGACTAAAAGCATGAAGGTGCCAAGAGGAGAAGGTTTCTATTTTGTTCCAGGATTATACTATGCAGCAACTTGCAGATCCACCTTACTTTCAACTGATACACATATAATTCATTGGAATGGAAGGGAGGTGTCAGTGCCAGAGAGACGATAGGGGCATTTCTCAAAGTGGTATAAGCCTCTGATTAAAACAGGATTAAAACAGAGCATACAAGGCTCTTGCTCAAGTACTCACTTGTGATTCCTTCAGCCAAAAGGTCTGACATCTTAAAACAAGATGAGAGAATGCGGGTGCTCGGATGATCCATAACAAGTACCTGCAGGGACAAAGAGGGGAGGAACGCTGGGAGTGAACACAAATCTGGTGGTCCACAAGGAAGCCATTTTTAACTGAGAAGAAGAGAGATTTTCTAAAAATTAAAATAATAATCACACCACTAAAAAGGCAGCATGGCAGAATCATGCTTGCTCCATTCCATTTCTTCCTGTGCTCTAGAATTATCAATCCACCTATCCTGTCCCACCCAATTCCATTCTAAGCTATTAACGCTCTGCTTTCTTTCTAAAAATGAGCATGGAAAACTTTCAATTCTTACATATTCTGAGGGCGAAAGTGGCCCCAGCATAGAGTAGCTAATGCAATGGAGTTGGAGGATCCACTGTGGACTACTGGAGATATATTTTGCTTGTAAAAAGGTCTGCTGGCTAAAGCATTCCAAAGAGAGGACAATTGAGTGAATTAACCTTACGCAGAATCCCCGCCAGCTCTTACATTCAGGATTATGGGAGCATCAGATTGTTTTCCAGGGCAGAGGTGGGGAACTGGTGGCTCTCCAAATGGGGTTGGACTCAAGATCCCATTAATCGCAGCCAGCATGGCTGAGGATGATGGGAGTTGGAGTCCAATAATATATGGAACGCATGGGTTCCCCATCTCTGTTCTAGGTGCTAAAGACCTTTTCACTTGTACCAAAGAAAGCTCTACAAAACATATCAATTCAGGATGTACTGAGTCTCATAAACCAGCTTCCTGATGTTTGTGGTGTGGGGAGGGGATAACTCCCAGGTCTGCTTTCTAACCCTTACAAGATTTTCAGCTGCTACAACACATAATCAGACACAGCAAAAAGGGATCTCTTTCTCCCTCTCAGTCATATTTGCAGTCTACAGGGGCAACAGAGAGATCCAATACTTTCCCTTTCTGGAGGAAGAAATCAGAAAAGAATTAGAAGTCAACTCTACAGAAGTCACAACAAGCCCTTGGAGAACCAGTGGAGCAAAGCTTATTCCAATAACCTCTTTGGTCTGTTGACAGCCAGTAATTTCATGGTTGACCTGGCAACGCACCCTCTTATGTCAGCAAAAGTTATGGGGAGTTCTAGGAATGGTAATTGCCACGGAAGACACAGGGAACACATGGCCCAAATAATAACAACACACTTGCTACAGTGCAGTTTAAGTGTGGACAGCAATGGTCTGACTGAATTAAGCAACTTTGCAGTGCCCAGTAGAAATGCAGGTAATTTTTATTAGTAGGCTGAGAGATCACCGATCTGTAGGCAATAGGAACCCTGTAGTCAGACTATGTGTAGCTCACCCCACACATGCAGTGCTCTGAGCTGCAGCAACCATTTTTACCTTCCATTCTCCTTCCTTCTTCATGCTGCGGATGACATCGTTCAATATCTCTGAAAGGTGAAGGAAAGCTCTGAATTAGCACCGAGGCAACTACTAGATGCAATTAGAATAACTGGCTGACTCCTGTGCTGGAGAGTGATAAGCAATGCCTCTGACCGCCCCAGTGTAGACATCTTCTGTCACTTTCAATAAGCAGAGTCTAACTTTACTGTCCACACAAGACAAAGTGGGAATGCATCTGTTCTGATTCACATGCCCTGTGGGGGAGCCCTCCAAGCAGCAGTTTTTAAGGCACTAGGAGAACTGTACCCCTAACCTGGTGAAGCAGTTAGCTTCCAGGTTTTGGAGGAGCAGGGGAAAGAAGTGGAGTGAGTAGGAACATAGGTGTCTGCCCTGAATAGTATCAGACCATGGCTCCATCTAGCTATCTACATATACTAGCTGGGAAAAGCTCTCAAGACAGGTCTCTTTCTCAGCTCAACCTGTGGACTGAACCTGGGATCTTTTGCATGCAGAGCATATGCTCTTCCCACAGAGCAACTGCCTTCCTCATTTCAGACTGTCTGAGACCAGGGTATTTAAGAAAATGGCCTACTCCCATATTGTCATGTCAGGTGAACCAGGGGAATGGGGCGGCATCTACCAGGGGCTGGACCTTTTCAGTGCTGGTGCTTCAAGTATGGCGATTTGCCCCCTTATCAGCCCAGCTTGTGTCATATTTAACATCATTTAGACACCAGATGGTTTGGAAGAGTTTGCTGCCATTAGAAAATACAGCGGTACCTCGAGTTACATACGCTTCAGGTTACAGACTCCAATACCCAGAAAAAGTACCTCGGGTTAAGAACTTTGCTTCAGGATGAGAACAGAAATTGTGCTCCGGCGGCACGGCGGCAGCAGGAGGCCCCATTAGCTAAAGTGGTGCTTCAGGTTATGAATAGTTTCAAGTTAAGAACAGACCTCCAGAATGAATTACTGCATTTTTCGCTCTATAAGACACACTTTCCCCCTCCTAAAAAGTAAGAGGAAATGTGTGTGTGTCTTATGGAGTGAATGCAGGCTGCACAGCTCTCGCTGAAGCCAGGAGAGCAAGAGGGATCGGTGCATACCGATCCCTCTTGCTCTCCTGGCTTCAGGGATAGCCCCTTCCGTTTCTCCTCCTGCTTTTCTGGAGAGGCGCTGCGCAAAGAGGGAGAGAATATTTTTTTTCTTGTTCTCCTCTAAAACTAGGTGCGTCTTATGGTTGGGTGCGTCTTATAGAGCGAAAAATACGGTAAGTTCTTAACCCGAGGTACCACTGTAGTGCTTAATTGCTGCTTTATCACTGTTTTAAGCACACACCATACTTTGAAAACATTTTATTCAAAATCTGGGTCTGAAATGTTTTAAAGTGATCGGATGAGTCCCCTAACATGACATTTCCACTTTATGAATGGGACAGAAGTCAGGCGCATTAGTCATCAGGAAATTAAACAGGCGCTTCTCTCTAATTGGAACACACTCTGCATTCTCCCTCATTAAGTGTTCAGTTGGTAACTAATTTTTTTTTTTTAAAAAAAACAACTACCAAGAGCCTTGATGCTGAACCAAGAACTGCAGGTGTTCACACTTCTTCAAAAGTTATACTTTGGGGTCATCAGTGGGAGAGAAGCAAGGCTCACTACAGATAGTTTACTAGCAATAAAGATAACAAATCATGAGCTTGACTGCTCTCTACAGAGGACTGGCAGGTGGAGAGCCAACAATGCCCAGAACTGCAATGTCAATACATCTTTGCTGTGCTCCAGCACTGCTCACCAGATATAGGTAGTTTTTAAGCAAGATTCACTAAGGGCTGATTCATACATTACAGGCACAGTGTGGTGGTTGATTACCTCTGCCTGGAACCTACACTGCTCTGGTGATGTCTGAGCAAACAAACCTGAGTGGGTGGAGGTAGATCACAGTCTCCAAGGCCAAATGGAGAGATGGAGGGGACTGGCAGACCTACAGGCCAAAGTTTGTTCTCACTGCTGTAGACCATGGATGGGGAAACTGTACCCCATCTAGATACTGTTGGACTACTCTAGCTATGCTGGCTGGGGCTGATGCAAGCCGCAGCCCAACTCTTCCTGGAGGGCCACTCATTTTTCACCCCGATCTAGGCAATAGCCAGTCAGACAAAGTGAGGGGCAGACCCACTCTTTTGGTAAAGGGTCACTGCCAGCCTAAGAGCATGTGATGATCCCCGAGATAAAATGGGGTCAACCCTCTGAGCCAGACAAGCTAAAAACAAAAACGGGTCGAAGTTTTCTAGGATCAGCTATGTGATAAATGCTGCTGACGAACACAGGTTACAGTCATAAGGCATAAGGAAGTGATGTCCTCAGTGGGGAGGTAGCCTGCACAAAAAGACAGAAAACATAAAATGCTTCTTCTGCAGTAAAATGATCTTCAGTACTCCAGTTCAACTGACCTTATCCCACACCGTATCTCCCTCATTGCAACACACTAGTTCATCCATGGCATGGGGAAGGGGGACAAGAGCAAACAGTTCCATTTTCTAAACTTACTCTGATCGCTAATAAACTGACAAGTCTCCCTTGGGAGGTTGTGGACTCTCTTTCCTTGGAGGTTTTAAAGCAGAATTTGGATTGTCATCTGTCATGGATACCCGGAGAGTCACGTTTTAGACATAAAAAAAAAAAAGATTGTCCAGGATTTTAACTGGTTTTATATCTACTGCTTTTTTGTATTTTTAATGTTACTATGATTATTGTTTTTGTTCCTGATGTTTTTGATCTGTTTTATATTTGCTTTATGGTTCTCTTTTGCAGGCTATCTTGAAAATCTAGATTAATAAAATTATTTTTAAAAAATAATGGATGCTTTATCTGAGATTCCTGCATTGCAGGGGGTTGGACTAGATGACTCTTGAGGTCCCTTCCAACTCTACAATTCTATGATTCTAAGTGGCAGAAGTTTCCCCCCGGATTAACCAAAAGCGCTTCCTGTCTTGGCAACTGCACACCAGTTTAAATCAGATCTCATGAGCTGTAATGCTGATAAACCTGATGATGCACTCAAAATAAATCTAAACCCAAAATTGAATTAATGGATGGGAATGAGATATGGTATCCTTTCTTTCTGACAATCTCTCTCTCTCTCTTTCTGTGTGTGTGTGTGTGTGTGTGTGTACATAGTTCATCTGGGGTACTAAATCCAAGACGCCTGAAACCGATGCCTCTGAATTAGTGTCACATGTTAATAGCGAGTGCTAAGTCTTTTTAAATTAGACACTCAAGGTGCTTTGAATGCTCCACGTACCCAGCCCAAAACCACATAAATGAACACAAACACTGTAACTGGACAGGTCGAATTAAAAAGAGTAACTGGTAATACTTGTTTAAAAGAGTTGTGACAATGAGCAGGGAAGAAAACAAGGCTATAAAACTACCAGCTGTGACAAAGTGAAAATTCTTTGGAGGAATCCAGCTGCCAAACTAGAGCACTGACTAAGAAAAGGCAGTGAAAAGTACACAAGGGAGCAACCAAGTCAGAAAGACCCTGGATATGCCACCGGCCACATTACCATAGACAATACAAATAAAATGGTTCTGCCTCAGAAACCATTCATGTTTTTTAAAAAACAAAAAACCCAGGCATATATTAGGGGCTGTGCCTCTGCTTGCTCTGCTCTCCAGCTCCCTACCATTCCTGCCACATTAACTCTATGGAGCTTCCCCTTCCCATCCCATGCAACTATTAACCTTGCTTGTCCCCTTCCCAGCCACATTTCTAAAGCCACTTTTCTATTACACAGCCTTGTTTTGCACCCCTTTTCACCTTCACCCCCATGTCTATGCCTCCTCTCTCCTTTCCTTTGTGCAACCCCACTTGCATGGTAAATTCATGTATTTTCCTCTTCCCACACATTGAAATTACTAAGCATCCATTTCATCCTTTGCTCAATTATGAACCCAACATTCCCTCCTATTCTTCAGATCCTTTCATGTCCCTGCTTTCATCTTCAAACCCTTTTCCCGTGCCACCTCCTCCTTCCTTTTTCTTTTGTTTTGCAAGCCCCCTTTCCACCTCCACTGCTTTTACTCCCTTCTCTTCCTTCTCCTCAATTTCTCAATTTTCTCTTGCGCACAGGACACCCCCCCAAATTTCCGTGCCTCCTCATCTCTCCTATTCTGCAGCCCCTTTGCGCACACAGTCCATGCTGTATCTTTAAAATGAACAGAATCATAACAGCAAGTCTGTCAGGGCTCATCCACACTTCTTTTTGTGCTGAGTTTCTAGGTACAGTCATACCTCATTTTACGTCTGCTTCATGTTACGTTCTTTCAGGTTACGTCCCGAGGCGACCCGGAAGTACCAGAAAGGGTTACTTCCGGGTTTTGCCGCTCGCGCATGCACAGACGCGCAAAATGATGTCATGCGCATGCACAGAAGCGGAGAATCGCAACCCACGCATGCACAGACGCGCCGCTGTGAGTTGCGCTCTTTTCATGTTGCAAACAGGTCTCCGGAACGGATCCCGTTCGCAACCAGAGGTACCACTGTACAGGTCTGGGCTTCACAGGTCTATGTTTGAGTGTGGTGTTTGTGTGTGTCCCAGTGCTTCCCCCTGCGTTTTATTGCTGAATCGAAGTGGCGGTGGGTATGGCAGACTATTTTAGAATGCTGGTTATGAGCTCCATGTTCTGAGCAGGACAATGCCATAACACTTCAGGAGGGGCAAGCCTGGGCAGCGGGCAAGAGCTGAAAATGAGCAACACAGAAGGCATACACAGCTGGAGAGACTTCACTATTTGGATAAGCTGTGGGTGGTCTGTTTCATGCCCCAGGTCAGTGGACTATGTGCTTGTGAATCACAATATTGGTGTTATGAAGACAAGAGGCTCAGGGCAGCCAAGGGGCTAGAGCGACAGTGTGAAAAAGCAAATCACTTTGGACAATTCCTATCAGCACTGGGTGAGAAGACTAGGCCAGTGAACAGTTGGGGGGGGGAGCATCTGGTAATGGAGGGGGTGTGTGGGGAGTGCCGAAATTTAACACAAGCAAATGCATATTAGGATCAACTATCTATGTCGACCTTGCGGCTAGGTAATTTGACTTTGGATACAATTATCTACTGTTTATTCATCTCATCTATATTGTGCATCTAATAATACGCCACAGGAATTGTCATTTAATCAACTACTTTGGTATTTGCTACTGATTAGAATGTCTGCTGAGAAATACAATCCTTTAAGTGCGTTTCAGGCTTGTAAAAATAATAATTTCATTTCGTTTCATGACTGATGCTTCTTTCCTGACAAGAAGCTAAAACTCTTCTTGGGTTTTTGACACTATATGAGCTCACAGGACCTGCTTCAGATTCTGTTGTCTTCCCCCATGGTCTGCAAAGTATGCCCCTGCTCCAAACGTGAATCCCAAAACATGGCACTCTCCCTTTGCAAGATGAGGTCCATGACACCCAACCCCGGGCATCCTATATATTAAGAAGTGCCCTCAACATGGGACTTTCTGGCAACAGATTGGCCCTCTCGACTTCAGGACCGTACTGTAAGGTAGCATGGATCAGATGCAGGATGGAAAAGCAAAGAAGGTGACTCCCCAAAACTAATCCGCCCTTCACCCTTGCCCTTTATTTTTAACTACGTCACATATGTCTCTTACTATTCTTGAAGAGACAATGCAAGTTACAACCAAAATCATAGCAAGCCCTTGTGATACTAATTGTACATGTCAGAGAAATTCCCATGAGCAATCCTCTTTCAAACTATCTTCTATGCAAGAGACAAACTGCCCATTGCACACAAAATGTTTCTGGTAAAGCAGGGAGGGAGGCATTCCTAACGAGGAAGCAATGGGTGGGGTGCTTAACCCTTTCCCCACTGGCCACTTCCCCCTCTGAAATTCACTCCTCATCCGTTTCCTTTCCTCAGGGTTCAAAACACGGGTAAACACATACTTGCAACCTTATGGCTGGGAAGAGGAGAGAGGGAACAGATGTAGGAGGGGGCCTGGAGTAGAAAAATGACCAATTCTCATCCCTGACCTCCAGCTATGGGCTCATCTCAAAGATGCATCAAGAAAAGCAGTCACAGAGACAGCTACATGCAATTTGTAGCTTTTTTCTAAGCCACAGTTAAGTCCTTGTTTGAACAATGTGTGGCAATGGAAAACTGTTTGTGTCAATCATGCTGCTATAATTAAAGAGCTTCTCTATTCTTCTATTAACCAAGTTTAGCCTCAACTCCAATCTCAATTAGCTCAGCTCTGCTATCTGGCAGTTTCCATTCCACACCTGCTTTATGAGAAAGAAGGGAAGGTTGCTATCATACCCACACCTGGCAGCTAGCATTGCAGTGCTTATTGCATCAGGCAACATGCTAAGCAGAACAGAACAGAACAGAGAACTAGTCAAACTGGACCTTTTGGAGTATGAAAGGCATACTGGAAATGCTCCCATTCCTGTACGATCAGTTTTAGATATCACCTGCTCTAGACATGTCCCAAGGCATGGTCTGAGGGCACCTGATGCAGCCACCTTGCTGGAGCTAAGCAGGTCTGGGTCTGGTCAGTGGCTGGATGGGAGACCTCTTCAGAACCTCATGTGCACAGCTTTTGAGTTCCACAATGGAAAAATATGTAATAAATAATGCCATCCCCACCAAAGGCACTAGCTAACTTGCTACAACAAACAGTTTTCATAGAACATAACATAGCAACATAGCAATAATGGCATGGACACCGTCCACATAGCTAATCAGGGAAGCTGAGACGCACAGTTGCTTTCTCCAAGGTCATTTTCAGATATTGCAAAACCAGAATTGTTATACTGGAACGGAATGTCTCCAGAGTGACTTATAATCATCTGAAAGTGATTATTGCTGGACTAGAAGTGTAGAGCTACATTTTTATCTGCTCAGTCAGTTATTGCATACACAATGCAATCCTAAACATGCTTCCTCAGAAGGAAGTTGGATACAACCAACAGAATTTGGAAGAAACTAAGTTCTACTCAGGAGAGACCTACTGAAATTCAAGGATCTAGGTTAGCCATGTCCAGTCATTTAACTGGGTATGCTCCAAGTAGGACTAACACTGTATACCACCCATTGGAACTTACTCGCTGGTAAGTATGTTTATAACTAGCCTGAAAGTTCCAAAATCATCCCAAAATAAGTATCTGTTCCTTGTTTGTTGAAAAACAAATGCTTTTTCAGGTGGCATAGAATCTCAACAGGCAACAATGACATGGAACAAAGTTCTAGGAAGCAGACACCAGAAGCCAGTTGTTAAGCCAATGGGAATCTAACCAATCAGAGTGTATTCGTTAAACAGAACCAAGTCAGAAACTAAGAACCACACTGACTTTTACAGGCAGACTGTGGAAAATTGTGGCCTTCCAGATACTATTGGATCTCAATTCCCATCAGTCCCAGCCAGTGTGGAAAATGGTCAGGGGTGACAGGAGCTGGAGTCCAGTAACAGCTGAAGAGCCAGACATTCCCCACCCCTGAATGGATGTTAGAAGGGAGACAAGAGAGATATATGGCCCTATGGGATATGTGCATGTGTAATACGAAAACTGATTTACCTAGCCTCCCAGAGGCAATTTCTACTCTCCACTAGTGGATATCGTTGCAAATCTGTTCTATTCCATATGACATATTCTTGTCCTGATCCAAAATGTTATATAACAGTAAAGGTAGCTATGGAAGTCAACTAACTGTCTTCATGCCCAAACTGGAGATGGGGAGTGCAAGTAATTCAAAATCAGCTCAGCAGGTGTCACTGACATAATCAGGGACTGCCATTCAGAAGTAAAGACAAGTGTGAACAAAGAGATCCCTCTCTCCATAGAGACCTGACCTTGTAATGTGGTGACAGAAAGTGGCCTTCTCAGGGAAAGAAGGTTTGGGCAGTCTTCCAATCTTTCACTGCAGTAGAAAAGAAGCCTTGAATCCACACAGAAACCAAGTTCCTCTAAATGAAACACATTTGTTTCTCTTATGTCTTTTAGCCACGAAGACCCAATCAAACTTTTGAAAATGCAAAATTCACATAGCATCTTTGAAAAGCAACCATGTCTGGGAAACAAGAAGCACCTGTATGTAGACTGAAATAAAAGGCAAGAGGCAGCCTGGGTCTACTCCTAGTCTGAGAAAGTGCTAGCATAAGACAGAGATACAAAAAGGGGCTTAGGCTACAATCTGTGCACACTTACCGTATTTTTCGCTCCATAAGACGCACTTTTTTCCTCCTAAAAAGTAAGGGGAATTGTCTGTGCGTCTTATGAAATGAATGCTGCACGGAGGAGGGACGTGTAAGTGGCTGCTGTCCGCTTTGCTGCTTTAAAGCGAGCCACAGAGGAGGGAAGGAAGGGAAGCCATGGCTCCCGTCCATCCGCCCCTCCTCCGCAGCTCACTTTAAAGCAGCAAAGCAGACAGGAGCAGCCCGCTTTGCTGCTTTAAATAGTTTAGTACCACATTCAATCCAGAATATTTTTTTTCATGTTTTCCTCCTCTAAAAACTAGGTGCGTCTTATGGTCAGATGCATCTTATGGAGCGAAAAATACGTTATCTGGAAGTGAGCCCCACTGAACTCAACTGAACAGTTCCAAGCGCACATGCATAGGATTGTGCTGTAAGGATTGCTTGGCACACGAGAGGCCCCAGTGCCATCACACCAGCGTCATTGCACACGCATGGTGGACTGATGATGCAGAAGTTCATAATGCACTAACAGCTTTGGCAGAGAGCACTGCCAGAGGATCACCCACTAACCCTGCATAATCTACCAGGAAACACCTTGTAATTGCAGATGTCCACAACATTTGGTGCCAAAGATCTGAAACTATTAATATAGCACAGCTATTTGGATCCCAACTAGAGGACAGGGATGACAACTGTGGGTAGTGGAGGAAATGAAAGACTTTGTGTATCACATCTAGCTTCAATTATGGGAATGGGACAAAATTTCAGAAAGTCTGAAGGCCTCATTTCTCCAACTCCTACTTTTAAATCACAATTGAATAGAGTTTCCAGAATGTGACATGGGGAGACTGTCCACAGTCTTGCAGTGTGAATAACATCACGGAGCATATGAAAGAAGCCTTTTTTCAGCTAAAAGGAAGCAAATTGATACTATAGTTAAAATTCAAAATGCAGCCACTTATGCAGCATATTCTCTTTCCTTGGATGTTTTCAAGAAAGGTTGGGGACTGATCTGTTAAGCATGTCTTTGGGAAAGAATGCTCTTTCTCTGAGCCTTTTAGTAGCTGATATAATCAAAAACTACAAAAAGCATACCTTATAAAGCAAGAGAGAGCATTTGTTGCCAAGCAACAAAGGAGCAAGTTGACCCCACAAATCAGCTTGCAAGTACAAACACTCAGTACAGTCCTTAACCCAAGATAACAAACATTTGCAGACACAGGGCAACACCCTGGTAAACCTTGAACACTGTATCAGATATCCAAGGTGCATACATAAACGTCCCCAATTAAGAAAAACAGAGAAACTACCCCAGACAGAAATGTAAGAAAACTTCCTTGATCACCAATTCTCTTCTCTTCAAGGTGTATGAGACCAGTAAAATAAATTTTGTCTCACAGTGAATCATCACAGAGGAACAGGCCAGTTTGGCCTGTCTGCTGCATCTTAACAAACACTTGCTTTCCTTATGTCAGGGGGAAAAAACCCTCTTACAACAGTGCCAGCCTTGACACGCAGTAACAGCTCTTGCTATAAACATCTAGTAACCAATACTATAAACAGGCCAGTCAAGCATCTCAGTCCAAGAAACCTTCATTCACCACCAGTTGGGAGAGCGAGCAGGTTGCTCTACTAGGAAAACCGGTGAGGAAAGATCACTTCTAAAATTCATGGTTTGGCCTTGACATATAAAGCGCAGTTTGTTGCTGCTAATGCATCCAGCCTCAAGTCACTGGACATCTGTGACCTTGAAGCTGTTTTACAATTACAAAAATTTCTCCCTCCACCTCCTCCTAGCCTGCCCACCGTTAGGTAATAATTACCAGGCTACCTGGGCAGCAAGTCTGGTAAGCTGCTGGCCCTGAGGGGAGTGAATCAGTATAAAATCATTTCACATGCCTACTTGGTGCACAAACTAAGCTTCAGATTTATTCTGCAATATCAGAATCAAGTACAGGCACTATGCAAAATGGCCTAACTATGCCTTCATGGTGAAGTCACTGGATTTAGTCAGAATATCACACTTCCTGCTTTTATTTCTATTTTTGAACAAGTCCAATTTTTCTACATATTCACATTGTGACTCTTTGGCATTTATAAACGTAAGGACCCCCCCCCAAAAAAAAGTTTAAAAGGGGTGGGGGTCACAAATCTATATTTAAACATGAGCACAGCAAAAAAGCACAAATCCAGATAAAATGTGTAATAACTTAATCGATATGACTCAAGAACTGTACTGTGCACTCCAAGAGGAATATAAAAATAGATCAAATGGGAAACAGCTACCTCAAAGATTTTTCCAGGAGAGAGGCTTAAATTGGTGCTTGTCTTCCTTCTGATAATCATGAAAGCACCTTTTCTCCTAGCTCTGCCTGAGACAGGCCTGCTCGGAGCTCTCCTGTAAGACTTGTGAAAAATAGAGTAATTATTTGTCGCTCTGCTGGCAAATTAATCCAGCACTTAATATTTCTCAGTCTCATTTGCTTTTGTCCTTAAGAAGGGCTCTGCTCAAAAAAGCATTCCCAGTTATCCACTTGCGACCATCTTGCTGAAACAGTTCTCTTGCCAAGTACCACTGAAAGAAGCCAACTGCATTTAAATCTTCACACTTTTCCAGTTAGAGAAAGAGGCCATTTTGTACTTAACCAGTTATGTACTTAACTAGTTTTGAGGTGCACAGGGGGAAATCAGGCCTGGCTTCCACACTGAGCACAGGAACTCAGCAGAACAGACCCCCCCACCCCCCAGTACAGATACTCAGCAGCTCAACTAGAATTTTCCATTCTTGACTCAACTAAAACAGGTACCTGTTACTTATCCAAAATAAGTGCCTATTTACATGCACATTTCACTGAGAGAGTAATAAGATTCTGAACCCATAATCCCCCTGCCTAGAGTGTAACAAGTGACTAAAAAGTTCAAATAATAAATAAATTATCAAGCAAGCAAGCCTCTACACAGGCACCAATGTAGGGCTGCAACAGAAACCCAAAGAAAGTTCTTTCATTTCTTAGTAGTGTTCAGAAGACTTTCCATTTGTGGCAGGAGAAACGGAAAGCCTGATGAAATGATGCCTTCTCAGTAAATTTACACATGATAGTGGCTTTCACACTCCATGAGAGGATTCAGAAAACTAGCAGGCTGTCAACAATGTGTGTTGTCAACTAAAAGGTGTACAAGGCATTTGTTAATGTGGCTCCTGCTGCATTGTAGCCTTCAGCATTGCACTGTACAATTCAGCAGAACTGCTAGAATAACAAAAACAAAACCAGTTTGCAGTTCTGGGAAAGTAGGCTTGAAAGAATGCATGCATGTTAAAAATCTGAGAAGCCCAAGGGGAGATAAGCAATTACAGCAGCCAGCGGAGCAGCTTTCCTTGTCTTCTGTTCTTCCTGCACCTCTTCCCAGATCTAGCATCCAAGAGCCAATGAATGGTGGCAAGAAGAAAACTGATTTTGGCCTGGGGAGTTCCAGGCCTATAATGCCCACTTATAATGTACAGGGTGGCCTTAGGACAGTTGCCACCTCTTAACTGATATTCTAGGGAGGAATAGCAATAGTTTTGGCACACTATGTTTCTTACAGAAAGGATGAGGTGCTAAATTATGCATGCAAAAGAACAAATTACACATACACACACCATTTTTTGTGGGGGGAGGAAAAAACTGGCTTAATTTTTATGATTTATCCAAGCTTTGGCATTTCTTGGAACAACTGATAAAGGAACAGGCTATACTCAGTCCTGATTACCGTTCTATTACTTTTGAGTACCCAAAAATTATAAGCTCTAGATCGCAGCCACCCTTCACCAGCCTTGCAATATTCATCCCAGACACATTCAGACATTAATGATGGAACAAAAGGTTTGACCCTAGTCTGTGGGGTAAAAGAATCTACATGCTAGAAGAGCATTTAAGTGTGTTCATAAGCACCAGTGTGCAATATATAAAGAAATTGCTCTTGAACAAGAGTTTCATATCTGAAATGTAACAAACTGTTCTCCTTGCACCTCTTGAGGGATATTTTTCTCCCCCAGTCCCATTTCTCTCTCTTCTTTGGTACTGCTTATTTTGTTCCTCTGGAATTTTAGATGCCTGGTTTCAGTTCCAGCAACAGTCCCAAAGTAACAACAAGGAAGCCATTCAAGGCTTCAGCTCCCAGCTAAGAGATGAGGATTACAGTGGTGCCCCACAAGACGAATGCCTCGCAAGACGAAAAACTCGCTAGACGAAAGGGTTTTGCGTTTTTTGAGTCGTTCCGCAAGACGAATTTCCCTATGGGCTTGCTTCGCAAGACGTTCCGTCTTGCGAGTTCTTGCGAGTTTGTTTCCTTTTTCTTAAAGCCGCTAAGCCGTTAATAGCCGCTAAGCCGTTAATAGCCGCTAATCCGCTAATAGCCGCTAATCCGCTAATAGCCGTGCTTCGCAAGATGAAAAAACCGCAAGACGAAGAGACTCGCGGAACGGATTAATTTCGTCTTGCGAGGCACCACTGTACTTCCCCCAGTCTACCTTCACAAGTAATTCATTCCATGACTTCTGTTTAGAGACCTCCAACCTTCCTTGGTACTATCTTGGATCATTTAATGGGGATCCCAGTTTGACTGCATTGCACCATACAGAGGACTGGAACTCCTCCTTCACATTTTAAAAAAAGCATGATGGCAGCCTGCTCCATGAGGCCCAATGATCATCATTTACAATGCATAACTATAAAATGCACTCTTTATCAAGAAGCAATCAATCTCAAGCGCCTTCTAGCAGTCTGGACTTTGAATGTTACCAGCTGAATGAAGAAAGACCCTTCTTCATTAGTCTAAATATACAAACTGCCCATGCCTGTATTTGCATATAATGTAAGCTATGCTTATAATCATTTTATTGTTAATTCTTAATTATATGACTTTGTAGAATCAGCTTATAATGGTCTCATCTCATTGAGATGAGATGTTTTGTTCTGTGTTCTATTATTAAATTTATTGCTGCTGCTGATACTTATTTTTTATGAGCCACTTTGGGATGGACTTGAACGGAAAGCGGCAGAGAATCAATCAATCAATCATAGGAACAAGCTGCTATGAGTCTCAATCTCATGCATTCCCTTCTCTGGTGCCAATTTGTTGAAACAAGCCTGCTTCACAACCCAAGCTGTCCATGGTTGCCTAGTGTGGATCTATGTTGAAGCCAGTATGTGAGATTGTCCAGTAGATCTCCACTTTGGCCCATGTCATACCATTAAAAGGCAAGGCAAGGGTATGTATGCAACAGTACTTTCCAGAGCTTTTGGTCACAAATTAATTTTTTTAAAAAAACTTTCAATTCACAGCCACCCTTCTCTGAACAAGTCTATATGTTAAATGAATCTGGAACGAATAATTGCAAGTAACAACCCCTAATCTTCCATCACAATGGAGGGTAAACCAACAAATTCTAAGCAAACCCTAGGCTTGGGTGGAAAACTTGGAAAACATTGGTGATTATGTTCCACCCTTCCCTTTTGTGGTCTGGAATCAAACAACAAATCCAAAACTAGATAACGAGGTATTACCCTAACAACAATCTTCATACATCACTGGAACTTCAAGAACTAAAACGACCATAGCTGAAGAATCAAGTTACCCTGTTAAGTGCTATTACAACAGCATGAGAGTCAAATACCATCTTCATTTAATAAATGCTAATGGAATCAACCAGCTACTGCTATTTGTTTTTCTACCTCAGAAATGGGAAACTGGATATTGCTGGACTGTAACACTACAGTAACTGCCATAATTTGTGACCATTGGCCATACATGCAGAGACGGATGGAAGCTGGGAAGTTCACAGGTTCCCATTCCCTGTTCAGACAAGTCCCACCAACACTAATACTGCTTTTTAGCTAGTGCTCCTTCTGCAATTACTATTTTCAAATCTCATTAAAAAAAACAACAACAACTTAGATGGTTGCCTGTAGACAAGAACTGCCTGCAGGTGCCAGCAATAGTGTTCAGCATACAGATAATACAGTGGCTTGTTACAGTGAGATGCATGCAACTCTAGGGAGACTGCAGGCATGACTTTATGCCCACTACTAGTCCCAGCTACCTGGGAGTAGCGGAAACATGGGGGTTGAGTAGGAATCAGATTGGGCAGGAGCAGAGATGAGGAGCAGCCCTATATATATATATATATATATATATATATATATGCATGCATGCTATTTTAACCAATTTTCTTTAAAAGAGGACAGATAAATAAAATGGTGAAGTGGGAACAAAACAAACCACATTTCTGAGAATCACAGCGGGAAATGGCTAGAAATAGGGCTGAAGCCATTAGTACATTAGGTGACCTATTTGAATCTATTAAATGGCTGCATCACAAATTAAAGTAAGAGCCTCTTAAGTGAGTCAGACCCTTTCCTGCTGTGGTCACCAGGACCTGATCCATTTTTGCTGCTCAATTCTTCTTGGAGCTCCATCTATACTGCCCTGTTTCTGAAGGATTTGAACAGAACACTCATGCAGAATTCAGCTAGAGTGGAGTTGCTCTGGGCAGGCAAAGGGGAGAAAACACACACAGGTGACCTTAATGTCCCTTTCAAGTAGACTGCAACACAATGAGAAGGGCACAAAAATGCCACAGAGGCTTTAATATGAACAGGTTTACTAGGGTTGGAGTCAACAACATGAACAGGTTTACTATGGTTGGAGTCAACAACATGGACAGGTTTACTATGGTTGGAGTCAACGTACAGATTGAGGATTGAAGAAGAGGTATGTGTACATCACTGTACTTACAACTCAAGCCCAATGCCTCATTTCATGAACAGTGTTAGAAATTAGCCAGGCACCAGGCGTGTTTTGCGACTGGTGCAGGTCCAATTATGACCATGTAGAGATTTCTGGATGCCAGGCTGGCGACTGACATCTCCAACTGGCTGGCCTCTCCAGCTCTCCTAAGCAGGTTAGCAGAAGAGCTTATTTATTGCATTTATATCCCACCTTTCCACCCCAAGGAGTACATGGTTCACTCCCCTCCTCAGTTAATCCTTGCAATGACCCTGTGAGATAGGTTAAGAGGCTGTGACTGGCCCAATGTCACCTGGTGAGCTTCATGACTGAGCGGGACTTTGAACTCTGATCTCTCAAGTTCTAGCCTGACACTCAAACCACTACACCACACTGGCTTCCTTGAGTACTTCTGCTATGGGGCAGGTATATAAATTAAGAAGGTAAATAAATATGGGGAAAGTAAAATGTCACTTAGAGAAGGATCTGAAGAATTTCCCTTGAAGCTTGAATTTGTTTTATTCTGGATTGTTTTATTTGATGTTTTAAACCACTTTGAGATTTTCCCCCCTTTAAAATACAGTGGTGCCCCGCAAGACGAATGCCTCGCAAGATGGAAAACCCGCTAGACGAAAGGGTTTTCCGTTTTTCAATGCGCTTCGCAGGACGAATTTCCCTATGGGCTTGCTTCGCAAGACGAAAATGTCTTGTGAGTCTTGAGATTTTTTTTCGCTTTCCCCCCCTTTTTCTAAGCCGCTAAGCCGCTAATAGCCTTTTAGCAGCTAAACCGCTAAGCCGCTAAGCCTTTAATAGCCGCTAAACCGCTAGTAGCGCTAATCCGCTAATAGGGTTGCTTCGCAAGACGAAAAAACCGCTAGATGAAGAGACTCGCGGAACGGATTAATTTCGTCTTGCGAGGCACCACTGTATAAAGTGGTACAGAAATAATATGAATAAAATAATTTTTAAAATCTCATCGGGAAAAAGGCACCTAGACATTCTGGTTTGGCGACCACAACCTAGGTTTAAGGTGCCATTTGGTGATTAGCTTATATAGCTGAGATTCTAACACTGTCCATGAATCTGGAGACAGTGGACTGCTTCTACCTATAAGAACCTCATACCGTGACAATCTTGTTAATTTCTAGAAGGCTGCAGCAGATTAAACAAACTGAAATGGATTGCCCCAGGGTTTCCAGTCACATGAAGAGCACATTTTGGATTGATGATTCCCAAAGTGTGTGGGCACCACTCACCTTCCTCACATTGTATTGTTGATTGCTAAGTCCGGAAAGCCAAATACTACTGGTGAAGAACTCCTCCTACCAGCAGTTAGTGAGGTTCCGAGTACTGTTTTGCATAAGTCACCACACCATATAATTAAGATTATTCTTCTCAGCAACAATTCAGTGCAAAGACGCATAGATGAAATGACTGAGAACGTTGAAGAGACATTGTGCAGCTTACTGAGGACAACAGAATTCACATTACTACTGGATGAGTCAATTCTGCCAGGCAATGAATATTTGCTTCTCGCTTATGTGCGCTTTACAAAAGATGAAAGTCTGGCTCAAGAGTTGTTATTTGCAAGGCAAAGAGAAACAGATACAGATACAGAGCCAATATTTCTTGTTAACTCTATTCAAGCACAGTATAGGCTGTCTCGAGTGACACCAATTTCCAAATATGTCTGAGCTAGAAGAGAAAGGTGGGATAAGAATTGATGATCTGCAAGGTTATTTTACCACCTGGATATACTGCATATATGTTTGAGTGATTTGGGGATCTTCTTTTAGTGGTAATTCCAGATTGGGTGATAAATCCATTTTCAGATACTGAGGAAGTTGGGGTAGTAGAGGAAGAACTAGCCGAGCTACAAAATGACACTGAGCTGAAGTCAAAGTTTAAGAAATTGTACAGAGTTTTGGTTACGGAAGGAAATTTCGGATCGCTATTCTGCACTATGGACAGTACAGTGGTACCTCGGGTTACATACGCTTCAGGTTACAGACTCCGCTAACCCAGAAATATTGCTTCAGGTTAAGGACTTTGCTTCAGGATGAGAACAGAAATCGTGCTCCAGCGGCACAGCGGCAGCAGGAGGCCCCATTAGCTAAAGTGGTGCTTCAGGTTAAGAACAGTTTCAGGTTAAGAACGGACCTCCGGAACGAATTAAGTACTTAACCTGAGGTACCACTGTAGTTAAGAAACTTAATGTTACATTTGCAACATCATATTTGGTGGAACATGGTTTTCGTGTGCCCATACAACTTGTCACCAAGCAAAGGAATCAACTCCAGATTACTAAGCACAGTGATTTAAGACTCCTGTTAAGTGACTTTAAACCAGACATTTCGAAACTGGTATCACTTCATCAAGCCCATTCATTGCACTGATGAGTTACTGAACAGTGAAGTAGTTACTATATGTGGTACCTCTTAAGACTCTTGTTAAATGACTACTGTATCAGACTTTGAAAAGGAAATTCATGAATTCTGCTAAATTAATTAAACTAAATAGCTCAAACTGGATTTTTAATAAATATGCAATTAATTGTTACTTTTTGAATTTTATTGTGTTATTATATTCCTTAGTGTGTTGTGCAAACTGCTATTCTGAATAATGCTTTTAATATGGTAGGGTAGGGGGCACTGGGAATCAGTTTATGGAACCAAGGAGGCAGTGGCCCCAAAATTTTTTGGAATCACTGCTCTAGATGCACAGAATGGCTTTTCAGACCTTCACAGTAGAACACACAAAGGTCACAGAATCATATATCAGATAATTGTGAAGTTGGAAGAGACCACATGGGTCATTTAGTCCAACCCCCTGCAATGCAGGAATTTTTTGCCCAAGGTGTGGCTTGAACCCACAACTTTGGGATTAAGAGTCTCATGCTCTACCAACTGAGTTAATACCAGCATATTAGGTGTGATCTCACTCCTCTTCCAGACGTTAAGTCTATGTTTAATGGAGAAGTTCTAGAATCAGCCACTCTTTTGGAATTGGTAATACTGCAAACTTAAAAAAATAAATCAAAATCTACGGAAGAGCTGATCAAACAAACAGAGTTAAACAATGGCACACAGTTATGCTGTTGAACTCAGCAGACAGTAAGCTCCACATTCTGTCCCTACTCAGCTATTTATACTGTGTTGTATGGAGTAGAAGAACAACAGTTCTCGTTCTTTAGATACTGGAGACTAAAAGCTATCCTCAAATCCTTTGAGAAAGATTGAAACTTGATTTAGTGGTTATTGCACCAAACTCTCACCGGAAGCAAGCGGATGAGGACTCCGTATCACATACCTGTTATTCTTTTCCAAATGGAAATAGTGTCTCAAAATAAGAGCCCACCTGCAAATTCTCAGTTATTGGCTTGACATTTCAGCAAAGGAAGAAGGAGGACTTACAAAATTATTATCTTTAAGAGCAAGTGTAAGCAGTCTAGATAATGACTGTTCTTAGCAGTAAAGGCTTCCCCTTTACTCAGAACCAATTCACACTTCAAACAACAAGTATGTTTTATTAAATGCACATCACTTTCTACAGCAAAAAAGTGCAAAGGGAAGATGTGCATTTCTAAACATATAGTGACATTAAGTAATTTTAAAAGTCATGTCTATGATACAAACAAAAGTTCTTCAACTGATTGAAAGCCTTCATAATTTGAAATGTTCCTTTTCTTCCAGTAGTTATCACTGTACATAAGCCATGAAGAATAAAGGCTATACAGTATGCAAATCCACAAGGTTTGGCTCTCGGCAGTTTTTTATGTCAAGTGTGCAGAGCACTGTGATTCTGGTATTTATCATAGTTGCTAGACTTTAGTAGATTTAATAAGTGTCAGAATGAAACCTTTGTCAGTAAATTCAAACAGGAAGAAAAGGTCAGAGTCTCATAATGCTCATAAACCACCTCCATCATCTTCTCTCTCCGCAGAATGAATGTATTTCCGTATTTTTCACTCTATAAGACGCACCGGACCATAAGACGCACCTACTTTTTGGAGGAGGAAAATAAGAAAAAAAAATTCTGAATCCCAGAAGCCAGAACAGCAAGAGGGATCACTGCGCAGCGAAAGCAGCGATCCCTCTTGCTGTTCCTGGATTCTGGGATAGCTGCGCAGCCTGCATTTGCTCCATAAGACGCACACACATTTCCCCTTACTTTTTAGGAGAGAAAAAGTGAGACTTATAGAGCAAAAAATACGGTAGGTCTGTTCACATATCCTGTAGGAATGAAAACAAACCTAAATACATGCCTTGCTCACATTGCACTTGAAGCACTGGAATTTGCTCTGGGAAGGTTCAGTTAAAGCCCTGCCTCTCCTAAGGACTCATTTTGTGGCTTCCAGCAAAATTCTCTTTCTTAACCTCAGGTCCCTAGTTGTTAATAGCAACAACAGTTATGTATCTTTCATGGCACTATCACTAACAATAGGATTTTGTAAGACACACTTCTAATTAAGATTGCTTCATACTACTACTTGTAGGGGAGTTAGGAAATCACCTGATGTTTCCTTAAGGGAGGGTTTTAATTCAGTCAGTCTTCATCCATCCATTAGGAATTCAGTGGCCTAGTTGCTACATGCAGGGAGCAGGGGAAGCTGTCAGAATTTGAAGACATGTGCATGCACATGAAAGCTCACACCAATAACAAACTTAGTTGGTCTCTAAGGTGCTACTGGAAGGAATTTGGTTTGTTTGTTTGTTTGTTCGATTAAGGCAGACCAACACGGCTAACTACCTGTAACTAGAATTTGAAGGGCAGGGATTCTAAAACAGTAGTAACATCCCACAGATTATCTTTTCCATGTCACATTTCTATGAAGTAACACTCATTTGCTGCATCATGCATGGAATAACCCAGTGATGACAGTCAAAGCACCTGTAAGTATTAGCAGAGTGTGCAACAGTTTCAAGATTAGTCAATTACTAATACAATGCTTTAATTAAACACCATCTTGGGGTGCTCGCAGGCACAAGCTTTCTTGCATAAAGTCATTAGTTTTATGCATTTAGTTGCTTGCAGTACTACAATGGAAGTCTACCTGATTCTCTCTCTTGCTGTGCCCCACTAAGAAAACCTCATTGGACAATGCTTAAGAAGCAGTATATAAATTACTGGAAAAAATAAAATAGTAATATTATGGCTCCACACCATTATCTTTGGATTTATTTGGTTTGATCCTGTTTCCTGTCCACCCCAGTAGGCAGAATGGGATGGGATGGGTCCAGAATTTGTCTCTGCTATCACTCCCCTCATTCCTCCCACTGAACCACCTGTGTTTTCAGAGCTTATAAACAAGTGTTTTGAACACCTGTATACACTCCTTTAAAAACAACAACACAAGCCATCAGAAGTGCAGAATGTTAAGATCTCAGAAGTCTCACTGACCAATGCAGGAACTGATTCACCCTCTCTCTTTTCCAGCCCTCTCCACACCTTTGCCCCTCGCCACTGCAAGCAAGTAGGGATTAGTACCCAGAGGTAACATCCATAAAATGCAGCCACTTTGTGTAACAAGCATCAAAAGAAAGTACAAGAGTTGTTAGAGCAATCTTTCATCTTCTCTCACACAACAGTTGACTAATAGAGGCAATAGTTTACTTTACCTTATTTCAGCACATTTACATAAAATTAGCATTACAAGCTAACTTGTTCTGTATCATCTGCCTTGATTAAATCTGGTCTTAACCTGCTGCCAAACAAGAAATCAAGAAACTTATAGCCCACTCTTAGGATGTTTACTCAGGAATAAGCTCAAGGATAATTGTGCATAGTAGGACTGTAACCTAGGAGTAAAACCACCCTTGACTGTTCAAACTACTTTTAATTGTGAGGAATTATCATACAAATGAGAAATAACAAGCACCCTGGCCAATCCCTACTGTTGACAGAAACTTTGGGTCTGATCTATGATGTTGTTGTTCTTACAACCTGTCCCAGTTTCTGTTATACCATCAAGCATCTCAATGTAAACAGAGTAAACTGGTAACTTCAAGCAGACTGTGAGTAAACTGTGCCACTCTGAAGTTGCTACAATTCAGGGAAGGATGCTGCCAAATTGTGAAAGATTTAGCAAACAACTGTGAAGAGAAAGCAAAACAAAGGATACCAGGGCAAAAAACCCCAAGTATATTTAGTACAGGAAAAAAGATAAACTGAGCAGAGGGGACACATTTTGGCAGTTTTCAGATATTTAAAAGATCATCATCATCAAGATGGAGCACGATTACATATTCCGAATAGGAACTAAAGACCAGACAGAAAGAAATGCTTTTAAATGATAAGACATAATGTGTCTTGTGTACTAAGGGTGGCGGAGGTGGGGGTGCATCCTAAGAACAGTTTAGTGCTGAAACTCTTTAAAAGATAAGGAAGAATCTCAGAGAGGAGGGTTCAGTGACCACAGAAGATCACATTAGCAATGCATGATCACTTAATTCAGAATAAATGGATAGAATCAGAGTTGAGAGGGATCTCCCAGGGTCATCTAGTCCAACCCCCTGCAATGCAGGAATCTTTTTGGCCAACGTGGGGCTCGAATCCTTGACCCCCTGAGATTAATGAGTCTCATGTTTTAGTGTACTGATGGTGCACAGGGGAGGAATACGAATACTTCAGATGGCACTGCCTAGGAAACACCAACCGGACTTTTAAAGCCCAATTCTCACGTTCTAGGAGAAGAGAGTCGGTGGCCTGCCCTTGCCAGGGAGTGCTGCTATCACCGAGGCACCTGTGACTAAGCCAAAAAGCGCAGAGATCTCATTTGGGACCCTCCCCCGAAAGACACAATATGAAATATGGGGGGGGTGAGGGAAAGATGGGGCCCAGCAGCGTCCCCCATCTTGACTGGGCAGAGTCGCTCTCCGCGATTGCGTGAAAGGCTGTGTGACAGGGAGGAAACGACACCCTTTCATCCTCCCCACCCACCCCGCGAAAGCCAAGAACTGCGCGCTCTCTCACGCGCGCGCGCACGCAAATATATCTGGATACACACAGGATGTGGGGCACGCGTGTCGTGCCCCCTGTCGGGCCAGCGCCCTCCTCCCGCAGCCTGTCCCCACTCACTCTCGCCCACTATCGCCTTCAGTCCCGCCGGCGCCATGACTCCCGCGTCCCGCTTCGGCTCCTGCTGTCCCAGAGGCCAACACTTCCGCGTCTGCAGGCGGGCGGAGCCGACCTCGGGACTCGCCCCTTTTGTGAGCCGGCCTGCGGGAGGCGCACCTCGGGCGTGCGGGGCGGGGTGCTCCGCTTCCGCACCACGCAGGCTGGTTCAGACGGCCAGACCTGTCCTAGGGGGTAAGGCTGCTTGTCTTTGTCTTCCTGCTCTGACAGGACGGCCGGCCCCTTGCAGGTGAAGTGCCGCCCAACTCCGTGCACGAGATCGGGCTACAAACCCGATGCCGGAACAGGATGGCTCCACAGACAGATGCACTTCGCGCAGCGGCCTGCGGGGCGGCGCCAGACAGGACGCGTGGCAGGGCGGGATGCATCTTCCAGCTCGCGGCGGACACGTGTCCAGGGGTGTCAATACTATGAATAAAATATTGGGGGTCCGGGTAAGCCCCGTCATGGGCATAGCCAAGCAGAACGGAGGGGGAACAGCCCCTCCTAAATAAATACAAATCTGAGGTTCTGCCCCCCTCGATATGGCTCAGGAAAAGCGTGAGGAAAAAGAATCAGTGCATCTGGTGGTTTCACAGGTCCTGAAATGAAGCAAAGGCACGTTTTATTTTGACATTATTGGCCCAATAAAAGTAAACACAGCTAACAGGATTGGGACCAAAATGAAACTACTGAGAAACAAGAGGGATGTATCAGCAAGGTTTGGCGGAACCTTGAGGCTGAGAGAAGTACAAAGGATATTTTGAAAAACTGAAGGTGGCAGCCCCTGGCAGGAATATAGTGCAATAAGGACTGTTTTCTACTGCTAACTATATGTCTGTATTTAATAAGATTGTCCTGGGGAGGACTCAGTAGTTGGGAAAAATAGGAGGAGGGAGAGGAAGGAAGCAGAGAAAATATATATGCTGAGATTGTGACTTGAATAACTTGTGACTTGTTATTAATATCTCCATAAGAATCGTTTGAATATCTCTTTCCTAGATAAAGAGGTAGATGGGGGGAGGGAATAGGACTTTTAAAAACCCACAGGAAACAAGCTTCAGACATCTGAAGGCAGCCCTGTTTAGGGAAGTTTTTAATGTTTGAAGTTTTATTCTGTTTTTAGTGTTCTGCTGGGAGGCGCCCAGAGTGGCTGGGGAAGCCCAGCCAGATGGGCGGGGTATAAATAATAAAATAATAAAAATTATTATTATTATTATTATTAAGCTTCCCACCTGCATTTTCTGCTTAAACTTCTAAACCCTTCAGTCGTTTTCTGCAGCTGCTCCAGTTCATGACAGTGCAAGGCCTCAAGAGGGATCTCCTGCTCTTTGTAGCAACAGCAGCTGCTGCTTCCGTATTTCAGCTCTTGAGCCTTTGCATTTCCTTGATTTTGCTGCAGCTTCTCCTACCACTCCATCAACCAAATCACATTCGCCACTTTTCTTCCTGCCCACCCTTGGGAACCTCCACGTTCCTGAAAACAGTGCAAGGGCCACTTTTGCAATTACTGTTATCTCCTTACCATTCAGATAAATGTTAAACTGAAGACTTTACTTCACTGCTTGGGCCCAGAAGGCCAGGTCTATACAGTGGTACCTCGGGTTACATACGCATCAGGTTACGGACGCTTCAGGTTACAGACTCCGCTTCAGGTTACAGACTCGGGTTAAGAACTTTGCTTCAGGATGAGAACAGAAATCATGCTCCAGCGGCACGGCAGCAGCAGGAGGTCCCATTAGCTAAAGTGGTGCTTCAGGTTAAGAACAGTTTCAGGTTAAGAACGGACCTCCGGAATGATTTAAGTACTTAACCTAAGGTACCACTGTACTGTATTAATCTGTCCTCCCTTCCTGCTGTGGCACAGGATGCAAATCCTTATGAAGTACTTCGGGATGAGCACTTTAATTCCCCTATAAATGTGATTGCTGAACAGTACATATTCCCTTTGAGGGTTCAGTTACCAGGAGATTAGATCAATATGCAACTGCATTATGTGCATTGAGTGCCACTTGTGTTTTTGGCAACATATATGAAGAAATGATTAAAGACCAATTGTTCTGGAAACCTTCCAGACTTCAAGGAAAACCCTTAATGGAAAGGCAGCTTACTTTGAATGTAGCTGTTGAAATAGCAAGAGGGCTGAGAATACTCTTCACTGTGCCAAATCCAGTGCCGGATTTATGTATAGGTTAAGTAGGCTGAAGCCTAGGGCCTCTAAATCTAGGGGGCCTCGCCAGCCTGCCCACTCCCCAGTGCCGCAGTCTCCCCTCTCCCAAAATTGCAAACCCAAGACTTCATGCGAGGGCAGGACAACTCAGGCCTCTAAATCTAGGGGGCCTCGCCAGCCTGCCTGCTCCACAGTGCCACAGTCTCCCCTCTCCCAAAATTGTAAACCCAAGACTTCATGCAAGGGCAGGGCAACTCAGGCCCATCAACTATTAGACTGAGGGCTAGCTAGTGGGTCCAATTTGAAGCAGTGGGGCACAACTTGATTTTTTTTTTGTAGGGCCCCAGTTCACAGCCAAAGTCTGCAAAATCTTATAGATAAAAATAAAATCCATCTAGATTGCCCTGGTGCAGGGGCCCCAATTTGGCCCAATTGCCTTAAGGGCAGCCCTGATGAGACTGTGCAGGGGTTGGACTAACAAGCCCTGCACTTTCTAGGTCCCTGGTGTCACCATTCAGAGTACAGACTCAAGGACTTGTTATGGAAATAAAGGGAGGGCACTTTTTGGAAATCAGTTTTGTAAACTCTTCCCCCCCAAACCCCAAGACAATGAGCCCAGCTACCTTTTATTCACAGTCGCATAAGCACTACACTACAGCATGGCCATAAACTTGTACGTTCAACTGCTGAAATATACACCCAATATGTAGCAATGGAGATTTATGTTACTGCTTTATGAATGAACACTGTGTTTTATGAATGGACTCTATTTTGTGAATTACCTAAGAGCCACCAACAGGGAGCTCTAGAATCTGACAGCTAACCAATTGGGTACTACCAAACAGCGATCCCTATTGCTGAAAGCAGGTAACCAGCAGGGAATGCTTCAGCTCAGCCTTTGCGCTGTTGACTAAACATCCCTTGCTGTGCAGTTAATAGAGAAAGCTCATAAATTGTATCCCTTCTAGCATCCTGGCCAACTCTATTACATTGGTGTAAACCCTGGTGCACCAGAAGCACAGAATTGCAGCAAATAAAATCCGCTCATACGTCAACAACTGATAAGACTTGTCAACCAGTTCTTCCAAAGTCTTCCTAAATGATAAAGCTCCAAAATACAGGCCAAAAGAGATATTGGAAGAGTGAGGCATACAATGGGCACCACCAGTGAAAAGGCCCTGCTCCGTGTAACTTCTGCTGTGTAACCTCTGCCCTGTCATTTGATAAAGTGCCCACTTGCCCTCCTTCTTGACGTGGAATGCTCTCTGTTGAAGTCTCCAGGTCCAATACAAAGACCATAAGAAGGGAGAGCCGGGACCTTGAAGTTCCCAACAGCTGTTAAGCAAGCAAGCAAGCAAGCAAGCAAGCACACAGGTCACCTTTGTCACAGTCAGGATGCCTATGTTCTGGCCAGGCCTGCACCCAATCTTGTTATTGTACAATCTTGTTTGTCCTCAGTAACCAAAATTATATTATCAACATATACAAGCAGAAAAGTTGTTTCCCTTCATTTGCAAGGAATCGTACAAAACAAAGTGGCACTAATAAAGAAAAGTTCCAGGGTGGCAACAGAAAGCAAACTAAAAATGCTTTTGCAGTTCATCAAAACTATCAAGTTATAGGAAAACTGGTGCCTCCTTCCCAAATCCTGGGAAGCTTCTGCCCAGCTTAGGGAGGCACAATGTTCTGACAGGGTCCAAGAACCTGCCCGTCACCTTCCTAAAGCCCACTCAGCTTTGGGAAGGAGGCTGGAGGGCTCCAGCATCCTGTGCTTTTGTAGCTAGGGGGTGCTCTTGATCCATCATTGTCAAAACACAGGTATCCTCAACAGCATGGAGTGCCTTATACAGCTTACATTTATTTGTTGAATTTATTTATTGCCTTTACTCCCCAAACAGCCCAAGGTGGCACACACATCCACATTTTAAAAAAGTATTCTAAAATAGCTAAAATATTCTAAAACCAGTTAAAAAAAATCTAAAAGCAGTTTCAGTTAAAAACATTCTAAAAACATTATTTTGCCTACTGATCTGAGGGTCGCAAGGAACAGTATTCTGCAGGCACGAAGTGTGAACTCCTGAAAGAATGATGGAGGCATATGGCATTCCACAAATGGGGAACAACCATTGATTGCAAAGGCCCTGTTATGTGTCACAAGTTAGTGCCAACTCAGATCATTGAGTCTGGAGGTGCTTGATGTTCACAAGGCACAATTTTAGGTATTTGGTTCCCAAGCCATTTCGGGCTTTATGTGCTAGTGGGAACATCTTGAACTGGGTTTGTTATCTCACTGGCAGCCAATCCAGTGCTTTCAGGACTGGTGACACATGATTCCACCAGGCTGCCTCACTTACCAATTCAGTAGACACATTGTACACAAGTGCAGCCTCTGGACCATCTTCAATGGCAGCCGCAAGAAAAACGCATTATAGTAGATCACACAGAAAGTCACTAGACCTTAGTATAAACATCCTGCTCCTAAGAGTTGCAAAAATATCATTATATCTAATCTTTGTGTTCACCAGCAAACATTAATTATCACCCTCCCGTAAGCAGGAACCAGACGCCACATAGACAATGAAATCTTTTTTGAAGTACACTTATTATTCAGGAACTATAGAGAGATAGATGTGGCCTTCCCATAATTAAGCATGTCCCCCCCCCAATACTTCAAATCTATTTCAGTAAACACAATGGTAAGCTAGCATAGAATCATAGAATCATAGAGTTGGAAGAGACCACAAGGGCCATCGAGTCCAACCCCCTGCCAAGCAGGAAACACCATCAGAGCACTCCTGACATATGGTTGTCAAGCCTCTGCTTAAAGACCTCCAAAGAAGGAGACTCCACCAAAGAAGGAGACTCCACCAAAGGAGACTCTACCAGGAATGACAATAGTTCAAAAAACTTAGGCATTACATTATTCACTCTCCCAGGAAGCCCTATTAGTTAGCATGAAACTTTACTTTTCAATGGTTAGTCAGCGCACAGCTCCAACAGGACCTCCTCTTTGCTCCTCCAGGATCTCAAAGATCAACCCTGCGCTTTGCTGGACCACAGACCAAATGAACAGGTGAGAGACACTGTTACCTTGCTGGCACAGAATCCTGAAGGTGAGAACTTAACTCTCAGAGAGCTATGATCCCTGACTTTGCATTCCACTTGCCCAACTTCGGGCTCAACCCTATGACCGTGAAGTTAAGAGTCTCATGCTCTACTAAGCTACATATATGCTTGCAACTAGAGAGTTGGAAAGTGAACTGTGGGAGGAAAGTTGTGTATGCTGTTGACCATTCCTATGTTTAACCTTCTTCATAACAATTATTTAAAAAATTTCTTTTTAGTAAACTTTAAACCTTTAATCTTAAAATTTGGGGGGTCTCCATTGATTCAGCACCCACATCTAAAAGTCCAGTTCCACACCACCTTAGAGGTCCTTGAGGAAGACCCAGGGACGGTTTTAGGCTGTGTGGTGGAAGGTAGCCTTGTAGGAAATCAAATCCTTTCACCTGGTAGCAGTAAAGTTTTAAAAGGAAGGGTGTGCAATAAGAGGTGGACACTCTGTCCTAGCCAGAACTCCTTTCTGCACATGGCTCAGGTCCCAGGGTGCAGCTGGGGAGCCGTCAGCCCTGCTTGTGCTGTGCTGTGTAGTTGCCTCTCGAGGCGGCAATAATGCAGTAACACTGGGAAGCTTTGCACAACTAATAAAGTGGAACGAAGCATGGACAATCCAGTATAAATCCACCACTAAGACAATAATATTTTGTCAATGGCATGCTACAAAATACACCTGTAAAAAGACTCCCACCAGTCTGTAGGGACCCCCAATATATCTAAATGTCACTGATTTTATTACTCTTGCCAGAAACATGACCATCTGACTGGTTTTTATCTTTGTAGCTGGGCTTTGTTTTGTTGGAACGGTTGTTCAGATATTTAATTTGTGTCTATCTTAGCACTGGATTTGATCTATTGATAGGTTGATTTCACTGACTATAAAAACGGTTTTATTGTATGGTTTAATTCTCACTGTTTTCCTTTGTATGTCTCCATATTTATGATAAATAAATACACCATAGTGCACATGCCACCCTTTTCAAATATCTACCGGTACACTTCAATGTGTCTGGTGTTCAGCCTCCACCCTATTGTAAAACACCACTGTAAATGGACAGCTGAGAAGTGGAAGCTGTTTGCACAGTCTTTGCTGTTTTGCATAAAAAATGTTTGAAGTAGCTTTATATCACTAAAAGCTTTCAGCAGTAAGGATGCCCCAACCCCTAACGCTAACCAGGAAATATTGTGATAACATTGTACAATGGGGTGTTCTAGGGGGTGTCCCTATTGTGGACAGGTTGTATATGTGCACCTCTGGGGCAGAGGAGTAAAATGTTTTGAAAGGTGAAACCAGTCAGGTGGACGTGTTTGCAAAACTGTACTTAAAGCGGGGGGTAGTTTGGTTGGTGAATGAAACTTCTGGAAAGAAAATTGTGCATTTGAAGGTACGTGGCTTTTGACAAAGTAATGGTGAAAAATAACAGTAGGCAGGCTTTTATATCTTCTGGATTCATATTCCAAGTAAGGCTATCAACAGATTGATGCTGTACATTAATGTCTTAAGATATATATTGATAATTATTGCTCATAAATTATTGATCTGATTAACAGCTTATCTCTAATAGACTTAATTAATTAATTACCAGTTAAACCCTCAGTAGAGACAATGTTTTGAGAAGGCTGAGGGAAGTATCTGTATTGGGAGTTTTAGCGGTTTCTTTTGACTCTGCTGCAGATTCAAATTGGGTTGGGTTAGGAATGTCATCTTAATTGCACTTCAAGGACCTTAGTTTCAATTAACATTAAAAAAAAAACAAACCAACCTGGTGGTGATTATAGATAATAATTAAGTTATACCATGGGATTGATCACCACCTTCTGCAAGTTAATTGATTCCCTCCTTCTCCAAGGTGTTTTTACTTTTCTGAAGGACAAACTACGGTACACATAACACACAAAATGCCCTCCATCTTCCTTTCTCCCTTCCTGATCCCAGATGCCCATTTATCATGGGAAATACACTTCTGGAATTCCACTGGGATAGAAATGAGAGTTAAAACAGCCGGGGGGGGGGGGGAGTTTCATATGCCCTTCAGCATGGAGGTTGTGCACTGAAAGCCCTATATTTTTCTGTATATAGAAAATGAAAACCTTGATCCTGTCTTTCACACATTGACATGTAACATGTAGTTTGCCCCAGATGTATCAGCATATGCTATCTGTAGTATTGGCTGGGAGGTTCAGGCCACATTTATACCATATATTTAAAGCACGATGATATCCCTTTAAACAGTTATTGCTTCCTCCAAACAATTCTGGGAGTTGTAGTTAAGGGTGCTGAGAGTTGTTAGGATATCCCTATTTCCCTCCCAGGGCCACAATTCCTAGAGTGGTGTAAGAATCAACCCGTCTTTGCAGGCAACCCTAGTCATTGTGGCTCTGTGAGGACAATAGACGTCTCTTAGTAACTCTCAGTACCACATTAGCTATATACCCATCCATGACCAACAGTACTTCTGTCTTATCTGAATGAAGTTCCGTTCAGTTGCTTACAGCCACCAGGTAGTTCAGGTTTTCAGCCATGGGTCAGATTTGTGCAATTCTCCACCTCTCCCCAGTGCAACATTTCAAAAAGAAGCTCAATCTTGCTCAAGTGACTCGGAGAGACTCATGGCATAAATGGAAATAGTGATGATGACTTATAATCTTAGATGTCTTCTAGTGACCGTGTCATTGGTGCAGGTTTGCTGACACTGTGTATCCTGCAAGAAAAGAAACACACCTAAAGAAAATCCCCAAACAGATTCTCTGACAGTGCTCAGCCTCAGCGAGCTTAGCACCAGCACTGGAAAATGTCAGGGTCAGTATTGCAGAGAACAGGCACAGGAAGTCCTAAATCAGACAGCAGTGCCTCCCACCCTCCCTTGACTGGAAGCAGAAGTGAAAAAGGGAAGAGTGGGAATTCTCTCTGCAGTGGCACCAAGAATCCTGGGGGCCTCACATTTCCTTTATGGGGAACAATGCAGCACCCATGTGGCCTCTGTAATACAAAAAGTAATAGGCCTCATGGCCCCCTACTGGTATCTTCAGTTGGTTCCAATAAATACATTGTTCCTATGCGGGTGGCGCTGTGGGTTAAACCACATAGCCTAGGGTTTGCCGATCAGAAGGTCGGCGGTTCGAATCCCCGCGACGGGGTGAGCTTCCATTGCTCGGTCCCTGCTCCTGCCAACCTAGCAGTTCGAAAGCACATCAAAGTGCAAGTAGACAAATAGGTACTGCTCTGGCGGGAAGGTAAACGGCATTTCCGTGCACTGCTCTGGTTTCGCCAGAAGCGGCTTAGTCATGCTGGCCACATGACCCGAAAGCTGTACGCCAGCTCCCTCGGCCAGTAAAGCGAGATGAGCGCCGCAACCCCAGAGTTGTCCGCGACTGGACCTAACAGTCAGGAGTCCCTTTACCTTTATGTCTTCTTATGACTCAACTCTTACTTTCTGGTTAGATTATGATGCTGATAATCCCAAGGTTGCAGGTTCGATCCCCGTATGGGATGACTGCATATTCTTGTATTGCAGGGGCTGGACTAGATGATCTTCAGGGTCCCTTCCAACTCTATGATTCTACTTCCTCATGCTTTTCCTCCAAATTTTGCCATTTGTGACATGGCAAAGTATGCAATAGCTGGATTTTATTTTTTTTAATCTGTACAGGAAATTCTTCACCAGCATGATGAAATTCACCATATTCCTGATCTTTGCTGTGGTGTTTCCTGCAAAATATGCAAGTCCTCAGTCATGTGTTATCGATACTCTGATTAATGGGAAGATCCAGGCAGCAATTGATTCCAAAGGTATTTGGATCCAAGGCCTCTTTATGATGCTTAAAAATCTGTTCCCTATTGTCATTCTAAGATTCCCAGGTTCTTCCAGAATTGTCTGCTTCTAATAATAATGTTGAATGCTTCATTTGGAGATTATTGTATCACCGAAGTTTTACTCACTGTAAGGTAAAAAGGGGCATGAACCGTAAACCCATCACCCATACCAGAAAAATCCTTCCATTTTTCCTAGATTAAATTCACTCCAGTTTGGTAAAGTTAGCTTCAACTGGGGATCTTGTTTGATTCATAGATCTGATTTCTCATTGGAAAGTGTCTGGAGATGCTGCAATTCAGAGTTGTTGTTGTTTTTTGTTATTCTGCTGCATTAAAGAATTTATGTTAGCTCTAATTGTGATCTCTAATTAGAGATCACACTAGACAAGAGTTTCAAAAAGCATGGGGAAAATGCAGAGAATACTTCACAAAACAGTGCCCTAAAATACATACCTGGACTTGTTTCGATTAATGTCTGCAGGAGACTTTGTGGATATTTAAGTTATAATTAGAAAAATCTTAATAATTATTCATAAAAGAAACAGTTTATAAGAAATAAATAAGAAGGCCAGATACAGGATAAAGGAAGTCTTTTATTTCGTTGTTTGTATTGTTATGCTCACTGTATGTTATGTTCACATTTAATGAGGGTGGATTGTGTATTGGGGTGGGGAGTTTATATTATGTTGTAAATATTCCAATAAAAAAGTATTTAAAAAAAGAAAAGAATTTATGTTAGGACAGCTGGCATTTTCTGTAATGCATAGTTAAGAGTCCAATACAGAAATAACAGTTGATGCTCTGATTTAAGTGAGTTTAAAATGCAAAACTGAACACATTGTACTAATTTTGAAAATTGGTTGGCAAATTGTTGTTTTTCTTGCAGTTGTAAAACACACAATGGTGATGTAGGGGAAACAGAAATGTTAATTGTTTGCTTTACAGCTGAAGTGGCACATAATTTAATTTTAATTTGCTTTAAATCAAGGGAAGAGAAAGTGGCAACGCTAATGTTTAGCCTTGTTTTCTTGTGGCTCAGATAGAAAAATCTGGGGAGACAGTCATTTCTGCTCCCAATCTTTGTGTAGACAGACACAAAAATGATTAGAAATTTTGTTAACAAGGAGCAACCAAGAACCAGGAGGGTTAAAAAAAAAGTTTTCAGACTAGGAGATGCCTGTCATAACTTTTCTCTTGCCCTGAGAATTCCTTAAGAGCTGTGAACTGAACAGTTCTCGATTGTGTGAAAGATTTTGCATCTTCAGGAGCTACTGATATATAGCATGCACAAGCAATTCAGAGAGATTCATGTGACAAATGCAATATGGAAATCAATCTTGCATCTTTGAGGGAGTAGGATGATTTTTTAGCTATGGGGTCAAGCATACAAGTCTTCTCTTGGAGGGCAGGGCATATACTTCAAATGTATGGGGTGTATACAGCCTCAGAATGAATAGTATGTTGCTTGTAGCTATCTAAATAGCAGCAAGAACAAAGAAAGCTTTTCTATTTGAGCAATGATGGCATGCAGTAGAACCCTAATCCTCCTGTCTTTATTTACAGTGCACTCAATTCTGGCAAAGAGACGGCTGATTTGCACAACCGCATTTTCTCGTGGTGCTAATGCCTACTGTCCTTCAGGTAAGACATATTTTGCGGAGAAGAGCAGAGACTGGGAGGGTATTAGGAGCAGGGACATGGAGGACAGGAAAATGACTTACTCTGTGGGTAGCAGCTAAACACATCCCTATGGATGTCTGCTTGCTTTGTTTGGTCATGCGTATAAAATCCAAGGTCATGGCTGAGGGAAACTGGTTGGGTGTCTAAAACTGTGGCATTAGCACAGCAGCACCAAGGACTTGCACCTCAGCTGTGATGGTGTCTGATCAGGTGGATATCCTCCACATCATGGGGATAAAAGTGCTCCGCTGCCTGTTTCTCTAACTTCTCTTTTCTACTCCCAGGGTACCTGGCCACTGGATGTGCCTGTGGAATGGCTTGTGGTTCCTGGGATATACGTGGCGATGCTACCTGTCACTGCCAGTGTGCCAACATTGACTGGACTTCTGCCCGGTGCTGCAAAGTGGCCATTGTTGGCTGATTTCTCCCCAGCTCCCTGTTGACTCCAGCTTCTATGCTCAATAAACTCGCTTCTATGATTTTATGAACATTCTTGTGGATTAGTCTTTTTTTTTTTAATGTATCTGGAATGGCAGCTGTTGAGAGATGTCAGAAATCCATCTTCTTCTACTTCCTGGTGTGAAAAGTTCACAAGGGTTAAAGGAAAATATTGTGATTATTGTTATGTACAGTGGTGCCCCGCAAGACGAATGCCTCGCAAGACGGAAAAACCGCTAGACGAAAGGGTTTTCCGTTTTGAAGTTGCTTCGCAGGACGAATTCCCCTATGGGCTTGCTTCGCAAGACGAAAATACCTTGCGAGTCTTGAGATTGTTTTCGCTTTCCCCCTTTATCTAATCTGCTAAGCCTTTAATAGCCTTTAATAGCCTTTTAGCAGCTAATCCCCTAAGCCTTTAAGCCTTTAATAGCCGCTAAACCGCTAATAGCGCTAATAGCGCTAATCCGTCAATGGGCTTGCTTCGCAAGACGAAAAAACCGCTAGACGAAGACTCTCGCGGAACGGATTAATTTCGTCTTGCGAGGCACCACTGTACTGAAGTTCTCACCCTGGGCCAGCAGGGGGATACTGTAGATAGTTTTCACTCAGGTCCACATATGCAAATAAGGGATTGAAAGTGACATTCAGTGATTGGATAGTTACAGAAAGTTGTTACAGTTGTGTTGTATATAAGCAGGCTGGCTGAACCCTTCAGTTCAGTTCCGTTCTGGCCTGTGAATAAACAAGAACTGTTTGAAGAATCGCTGTGTCGTCTGATATGTTCACCCACAATTTAACAGACATGTTGCAGAATACACCCACAAAAATCTGCACCGGTCTGGAGCGGTCCTCAATACCTCTCAGTGTCACTGATTTAATTTGATTATACTCTTGGCAGAATCATGACAATTTGACTGGTTTTTCGCTATTGTAGCTGGGCTGTGTTTTGTTCAATTAGTTTAGGGTTGCCATATTTCAAAAAGTGAAAATCCGGCAAAGTTGTTGAGCAAAATCTCCAAAAGTTGAACATAGATGACCACAATGCACCTCCCACCCTTTCAAATACCTCCATGTGTCCCACGTTCTGCCTCTACCTTCCTGTAAAACACCTTTGTAAACACTAAGAACTTTCTTCAAATGCTGGTTTCCTGGAAGCTGTTTGCACCACCTTTGCTGTTTTGCATAGAAGAACAGTGCTCCTGTTGTTTGCAAATTTGTATTGAATAGCAAGGCTCTCATTTTTATGCTGGATCGCAAGAGTGGTAGGTCCAGGGGGAAACCCCTGGAATGTCCTAATTCCATGGCTAGTTGCCACATTCCTTTATTGCAGTAGAGTTTCACAACCAAGAGTTTTGGAAAAAAGCATGCTTTGTTTCTTTGACCCCCTGCTTTGTGACCTAAACAAGGAAACGTTGTGAGAACATTGTGCAAGGTGGTGTTCTGGACAGCCCCTGGGGGCGAGGGGGTGTAAAATGTTTTGAAAAGGTAAACCAATTGGATTAGAGATTTTACAGCTCAGCTGTATTTAAAGGGGAGCAGTTTGCTCAGTGAATGAAACTTCTTGAAAGAAATTCATGTTTTCGAAGGTATGTGCTTTCTGACAAGGTAAGGGTATTTGACAAGGTATTATGTATGGTAGGTGGGATTTTGTATCTTCTGAGTACATAGTCTAAGTAAGGCTCTCAACAGAAGCTTGTCAAACATTAATGCTTTATAATATATTGTTAACTCTTGCTCATAAATGACTGATTGATTAATAGCTTATCTCTAGTGGACCCAATCAATGAATTTCCTATTGAATCCTCAGTAGAGGTCACATTTTGAGAGCACTGAATGAAATATCTTTTGACTCTGCTGCAGATTCCAATTGCATAACTTCCAAGTGTCCCAATTTTCCAGAGACAGTCCCAGAATTATAGAAGCCATCCCAATTTCTGATTTGATCACAGAATGTCCTGGTTTTCCTTTTTCCTCCCCTCCATGTTTTGGAGAACAATTAAATGTGGTGTGTGTGTGTAGGAGCAAAAACAGAATCCTATTTATACAGAAAATAAAATACCTGCACCAGATGAAGCTGGCGTACAAGGCCCTTCCTAAACATGAACAATCCACTTTACATTCTATAACTGCAATGCTTCACCAGCCAGCCATTTCTTGGGAAACAAAGGGAGTGTTTATTCCTTTATTGTAAATGAAGCCTTACATTGTCTACTCAGAAGTCAGTCCCACTGTTTTCAATGGAGCTTACTCCCAGGTAACTGGGTAAAGACTGAGTAGCCTTACCTGGCGATACTAAGCATTTTTACTCAGAACTGAGTGAAGTTTTTAATGTTTGAAGTTTTATTGTGTTTTTAATTTTCTGTTGGCAGCCACCCAGAGTAGATGGGGCAACCCAGTAAGATGGGTGGCATAGAAATATTATTATTATTATTATTATTATTTATTATTGAGTTCAGTAGGATTTATTCACTGGTATGTTCCAGATTATTCTCACAGTTTCTACTATTAGTAGTAGTAGTAGTAGTAGTATCATGATGATGATGATGATGATTATCCACAGTGCTCTTTTTCTAGAAAAAGAAGTGCTGGAGCTCACCATGATTTCCTCCCTTGTTCTCTACCAGCAACATCTTTCCATCTTCCCACCCACCCACTTTCCCCTCTGCTTTCCCCATATATATATATATATCTCCCAGACAAAGACAGAGTGCTTGAGGAAGGGTTGTGTGAAACTTGGAAGCTAAACCACCTCTTCATAATAGCCTCTATCCAGGTAACCACAAACAACAACCCAGCAGCAGCAATACAGACCAATGGAAGTTTTCAGACTCCATTTAGGAGCAGTCTCACATTGAGTGTGCTTCAGTAGGTGTAGTCTGGAGGCTATTAGTGCATGAATTACAGTGTGACTACGCCTGTCTTCTCCAGGAAGTTGTACCAGGCAGCTGAAGAAAAGTAAGGCACCCTTGCCACTTTTGCATCAAGAGGCAGCAGCACATTACAGAGCACTCCAAACTGCCAACTGGTATCTTAAGGTGTGGAGGTGAGTTTCTACCTCATCTCACACTGGCTATATACAACACTGAACAAAAGATTCCAGCATTGCAGGGGTTGGACTAGATAGGTGATTGTTGTGGTGGTCTCTCCCAAATCTACAATTCTATGATGCAATGAATCTAGATGTTGAGCTTTTTTTTAAAGGAAACCTACCTTTCAGTCATCAGACAGTTCAGGGTATCAGCCCCTTTGCTGACAGAGCCTGTATTGCAGCCCACGGAGCACAGAGGGCAGGCACAGGAAGTCCTAAGACAGACAGCCAAGCAGTGCCCCTACCCTCCAATCTCTGGAAGCACCAAGAATCCTGGAGGCCTCATATTTCCTGTATGTGATTGGCTACAGTGAGGCTTCTGCCTTTGTAATAATGAAAAAAGGCCTCAAGGCCTCAAACTGGAATCTTCAGTTGGTCCAAACCAATATATTGCTCCTGTGTCTTCTTATGATTCTATTTCTACTTGTAATCCTTGCCCTCTGGATTCTGCGATTCCTGACAAGGCGGCTGCATTTTTTAATCTCTGCAGGACGTTCTGCAACAGCATGATGAAATTCGCCATATTCCTGTTCTTTGCTGCATTGATTCCTGCAAAGTACGCAAGTGCTCAGACATGTATTATCGAGAGTCTGATTAATGAGAAGGTCCAGGCAGCAGTCGATTCCAAAGGTATTTGGATCTGAGTGCCCTTTATGATGCTGGAAACTCTGGGCCCTATTGTCATTCTATGATTCCCAGTTTCTTCTAGGTCTGCATCCAAGATATGGGAACTGTGGGCTGTTTGATCACCAAACTGTTGCTGGGAAGAGGGATTGATTGTTAAGCCACTCTAGACATGGTAGCTCTGTGAAGGAACTAGAACACCACCATTTTTAATTGGGCAGCTTACAGTTAAGACTAAACATGTCTACTCAGAAGTTAGTTATATTGAATTCAGTTGTGTTTACACCCAAGGTGAATGGAGTTAAGGTTGCAGCTTTGTTTTTTAAAGAACAATACCATTTTGAATTGGGAAACTCAGCACCTTACAGTGCAATCCTAACCACTAGGATTTGGAAGTAAATTCTCTATTTAGAAGTAAATCCAATGGGACCAACTCCCAAGTTAATGGTGTTATGAGTGCAGCTTTAGCTAGGGGAGCAAAAGCAAGGATCCAACTTTCCAGTGACTCTCCTAGGTAAACCAGTTTACCACCCATGAACTGCAGAGGCACACAGACAGAGAGAAAAGCACCTGTGCAACTACCAGCACTCTGAGAGAAGCTCTGTTCTGAACTTAAAAAGCGGGAGAATGTCGGCTCTGTGTCAGAGATAATTCCACAGCAAAATGAGATTTTTGTGGCCTGGAGAGGCATAACTCACAGAAGCTTGAGTGAGATTTCCGTTTTTTGCTATATACCCATACCATACATTTAAATCACATTCCCCATCCCAGAGAATCCTGGGACTTATAGTTTACATCTCACAGAGCTACAGTTCCCAGCACTCTTAACAAACCCCAGTTCCAAGGATTCTTTTATGGGCAAATATGCATTAAATGTATGGTGTGTACATAGCCTCAGAATGAAGCCTCTGTTTCCTGTAACTGTCTAAATTGCACAATTAACCAAGTTTTCTATTTGATTCAGTGTAACTCTGATCCTCCTGTCTCTTCTTGCAGTGTCCTCAATCCTCACGAAGGCTCAGCTGACTTGCACAAGCACATCTGCACCTGGTGCTGATGCTTTCTGCCCTTCAGGTGAGATATCTTGCTGGGAGAGAACAGAAAGGGAGAAAATCCATAGCAGAAAGACTGAGGCCAAGGGAGCAAGAAGAGAACTCATTTCCATGGAACTCTGTAGACATGAGTATAAAATATAAGCTCATAGCTGGGGGAAGCTGGTTGGGTTGTTTAGCTGGATTATTAGCACTGCAGTGCCATATGTTGGGTGGGAGATAAATATAGATCACCCATGTGGGTTAATTAATAAAAGATGTGAGGTAATTAATAAGAGATGTGGGGTAATTAATAAACGATCCCTAGATCCAAAGTGTGGGGCTAAACACGCTCCAGTAAGAGAGCCCCAGCAGAGTTTAAAAGACACAAAATGTGCAGCAACAGTGAAGTGTTAGGAATAGAGACCTTCTAATTTCCTGTTTAGTCCACTTACATGTTTTACTTACAAACTTCAAAGGTCTTATTCAGGAGCTATTTCATGCAGCAGCAGGAAAGGCACAGGCAGAAAATTCTTAGGTTACAAAATACAGAAAAATACAGGAAAAAAGCCCAGAAGGAAGCTTCACTTTCTTCTTCACTTTCTTCTTCACCGGAGGTGAGCAGGTGTGACGAGTCTGGGAATTCAATTTTGTGGTCTTAACCCCTTAAGCTTGATAGTTATATTTGACTGCAATATCCCACACTGAGCACTTGCACCTCAACTGTGATGGTGTCTGATCAGGTGGATATCCTCCACATCATGGGGATTAAAGTGCTCCCATGCCTGTTTCTCTAACTTCTCTCTTCCACTCCCAGGGTACCTGGCCACTGGATGTGCCTGTGGAATGGCTTGTGGTTCCTGGGATATCCGTGCTGATACTGCCTGTCACTGCCAGTGTGCCAGAATTGACTGGACTGCTGCCCGCTGCTGCAAAGTGGCCATTGTTGGCTGATATCTCCCCAGCTCCCTGTTGACTCCAGCTTCTATGCTCAATAAACATGCACATTTAATTTTCTCATGCTCAAGTATTTTCTTTGAATGTATCTGGAGTGGCAGCTGCCCAGAGATGAGAAACTGGGAACAGAGGAAGCTGCTGCCTTACACAGAATTACCAAGAGTTCATCGAGCTTGTCTACGTTGGCTGGCAGAGGCTCTCCAGGGTTTCAAGCAGGGAGTCTTGCCCAGCTCTTCCTGCAGGTGCTTGAGATAAAACCTGGGACCTTCTGCTTAAAATGCAGGTGCTGTAACCAGTGAGCATCCATCTGCCTTTGCACCGCAGATTGCGGAGTCAGTGTGGTCAGTGCTGCCACTCAAATGTCAAGAACTAGCAGGGCTCCCTGTAGTGGCTGGAAGAGGTAGTGGCGCCAGAGCTTCATCCAGGGGAAAGGGGGAGCTATTTATATGGTTTTGTGCCTTCCACGAGGCACTAGCCAGAGCTGGAGGATGCGGAGAGGGCTGGGCTGTAGTTTTTTATTTTGTCAGTAGAGAATTAAACTACCAGCTGTTTGTCCTCTTGTGCTCAGGACATCAAGACTCCTAAGAGGCTTTGACTCTCTTCTGTTTGTGCCTGCTGCATCACGCTTGCATTGTGGAATCACACAATTCTACTTTTTCAGTACCAAAGTACATACTATATATGGGAAGGGAGAAATACATTAGAAAGGCAGTAACTTGTTGACACAGGGTGGGGTGGAGTGGCAGTGCTTACATGGCTTCTGTCTGGTGGCAGCAAAGGTCTAATGGGAACAGGGGGCAAGCAGAGGGTACTACAAGGGAGCGGGTGGTGTGGTCTACACAACTGAGCCTCTTGGACTTGCCAATCCAAAGGTCGGTGTTTCTAATCCCCACGACGGGGTGAGCTCCCGTTGCTCTGTCCCAACTCCTGCCAACCTAGCTGTTTGAAAGCAAGCTAATGCAAGTAGATAAATAGGTACCGCTGTGGCGGGAAGGTAAATGGCATTTCCATGTGCTCTGGTTTCTGTCACGGTGTTCCGTTGCGCCAGAAGCGCATGCTGGCCACATGACCCAGAAAGCTGTCTATGGACAAACGCCGGCTCCCTCGGCCTGAAAAGCGAGATGAGCACCGCAACCCTATAGTTGCCTTTGAATGGACTTAACCGTCCAGGGGTCCTTTACGTTTACCTTTACCTTTACAAGGTGTGCACCTGAACCCAGCACTCACCTGTATTCCTATGCACATTCCCAAGAACTTTAGGATCTTTTACTGGATTTAAAAGACTCATCCATTATGAATGTGTTTTTAGCCTCAACCTTATGCCCCAAGAGGCTCATACGCCAAAGGAATAAACAACGCTTGGTTTATTACATGAAATGAAAATGACAGGGTATATGGATGCCACTTTCAAACAGCAAAGTTGCAATATAAGCAGGCAGCAAATCACACAGCATACACACCTTAAATCTAAAAGAGCGAGGTAACTCCATGAAAATGTCAACTCATTTTTCATTTTCATATATAGTTAACATGTTCTCTATCATTTTAAAGATAATCTTCAAAAGCTTCATGATCTGGCAAACAGTTTTTCAAAAGGGCACTTTACATCTCAGTAAAGCAACAAGAAGCATGACGTGCAAGATGGCTCAAATTTTCTCTGTTTTCTTCCCCTAAAGTTCAGTTAAAGACCTCTTCAAGAAAATAGATAATAGGTTAATTGTATTCATTATTGTATTGATAGTTTAGCTTTCTCATTTGGTGAAAAGACAGGACAATACTATGTTACGTTAGGAACAAAATCAGATGAGCTAATGACAAACTTACAATGGTTGAGTGTTACATTAGTCACGAAAGCACATACCCCCCCCCATAACAAATGAAAATAAAAATGGATATGTTTTAACTTTATTTTCTTTGTTAAGGTTCTTAGCATTATGAAAATATGGTGAAATGTGTTGTACATGCAACATTTCTTGTGACCAATGTAACCCAACAATGGCGCAACTTCCATAGCAGAAATATGTTGTCATGTGTGCCATTTAAACTTATTTTTAGGACTGTCATATTTTCTTTCCTGATCATCTAATAATTTAATAATTATTAGAGGAGCAATCCTAATGTCAAAATCCCTTTCGCTCCCATTGGAGCAAGATCAGGCTTAAAAGGGAAGACAGGGAGAAGCCTCTGAGAGTTTCTTTTACTCCCAATCTCACTGCAGTCTTAAAGAGGGAGGAGGAAACCTCCCAAAGCTTCTGAGAGCATTTGCGACTCTCTCCCCCTTTAATATTACAGTGATATCAGGCTTTAGAGGAAAGGCGGCAGAGTCCTTTGGAAGCCCCTACCTCCCTCTTTTTAAGATCACAGAAAGACCAGGCTTAGAAGGGAAAGAAAGACACATACAGCTCATTTTTAGTGCTGAGTTTGGGTGCACCTGGAGCAATAATTTAAAATAAACACCACAAACGCAGGGAGTCAGGAGCAGCCCAAGGCATTTTGCTGCTGGAGGTATATGATAAGAAGCTGCATTCCTTATTCTGTGCACAAAATCTGATTAGAATGGTAGATGAATGGTAGAGGAGCCAGTGTGGTGTAGTGGTTAAGAGTGGTTGTCTCATAATCTGGTGAACCGGGTTCGTGTCTCCACTCCTCCACATGCAGCTGCTGGGTGACCTTGGGCCAGTCACACTCCTCTGAAGTCTCTCAGCCTCACTCACCTCACAGAGTGTTTGTTGTGGGGGAGGAAGGGAAAGGAGAAGGTTAGCCACTTTGAGACTCCTTAGGGTAGGGATAAAGCGGGATATCAAGTCCAAACTCCTCCTCCTCCTCCTCCTCCTCCTCCTCCTCTTCTTCTTCTTCAGCAGAGTCCTTCATCACACACTAGTCTTGGAGGGGTTCTTAATACCTCCTCACATCACTGATTTGATTTGATTATACTCTTGGCAGAAATATGACAGTTTGACTAGTTTCTGGCTATTGTAGCTGGGCCGGATTTTGTTGCATTAGTTTCCAGGTTTTAATTTGTGTCTGTCTTTGGATTTTATAGCTGGTTTTGATTTAGCACTGGGTTGATTGTTGACTTTTTAAATCATTTTATTGTATGCTTTGTTTTATTTTTTTCTGCTTTACAGTGTATAAGGAACAAACAGGGGCGTCCTATTCCATAAGAATAAGAATTTTGCTATTTATACCCAACCCATCTGACTGGGTTGCTACTCTGGGCAGCTTCCAACATATATAAAAACATAACAAAACATTAAACATTAAAAACTTCCCTATATAGGGCTCTCTTCAGGTGACTCAGTGTCGGATAACTCCATACCCTCCAACATTTCTCCAATGAAAATAGAGACGTCCTAAGGAAAAGCGGGACATTCTGGTATTGTAACTGGGACAGCTTCTGTAAATCTGGGATGTCCCTGGAAAATAGGGACACTTGGAGTGTCTGCTCTTGTAAAACATCTCTGTAAACACTTAGAACTTTCTTCAAACTCTGGTTTCCTGGAAGCTGTTTGCATAGCCTTTGTTGTTTTGCATAAAAGATGAACTGTGCTCTCATTGTTTGCAAACCTGTATTGAGTAACAAGGCTCTCATTTTTATGCTGGATCACAAAAGCAGTAGGCCCAGGGGGGAACCGCTGGAACGTCCTAATCTCCAGTTGCCAAATTACTTTACTGTAGTAGAGTTGCCCCACTAAGAGCTTTGGACAACAAGTATGCCCCAGCCCCTTTACTGCATGCTCTGTGACCTAACATGGAAACGTTGTGAGCACGTTGTGCAAAGGGGTCTTCTGGGGGTGTTCCTGTTTCGGACAGGGTGCGCGCGTGCAACTGGGCAAGTGAGTAAAATGTTCTGAAAGTTGGATGAGAGCTTTTGCAACCCTGCTGTATTTAAAGGGGAGCAGTTTGCTCAGTGAATGCAACTTCTCGAAAGAAATTTGAGTTCCTCAAGGTATGTGCTTTTTGACAAGGTAAAGGGGGGGAGGGAATAATTGTAGGCAGGCCCCAGCGATGTCAGCATATGCCGTGTGCCATATTGGTTGCTAGGTTTAGAGAGATGCTTCTGAGTGATGAAATGACTTATGTGAGCATAGCCCAATAGCTCTATCTCAGGCATCCCCAAACTCAGCCCTCCAGCTGTTTTGAGACTACAACTCACATCATCCCTAGCGAGCAGGACCAGTGGTCAGGGATGATGAAGAAGAAGAGTTTGGATATGATTTCCCGCTTTATCACTACCCTAAGGAGTCTCAAAGTGGCTAACAATCTCCTTTCCCTTCCTCCCCCCACAACAAACACTCTGTGAGATGGTGGGGCTGAGAGACTTCAAAGAAGTGTGACTAGCCCAAGGTCCCCCAGCAGCTGCATGTGAAGGAGCGGGGAATCAAACCCGATTCACCAGATTACGAGTCTACCACTCTTAACCACTACACCACACTGGCTCTCATTACACCCACTGGATGATGGGAATTGTAGTCCCAAAACAGCTGGAGGGCTGTGTTTGGGGGTGTCTGCTCTATCTGGTCACCTCCATACAACAACCTGGCAGTTGCATTAAAGGATGGAGGCTTGGAGGTTTTCAGACTTTTAAAGAACAGGTACAAATTGCTCATTTTTCAACAGCCAGTCTAGATATCACTAGTGCATGAATTTCTGTGGCTTAGGACTGCCTTCTGCAGGAAAAGACATGGTTGTTTTATGAGGCAGCTAAGAAAGGTAGACAGTCACCCTTCTCACTTGAGCAGCACCACATTAAGAGGCAGCACCAGTTTAGGGAGCACCTCCAAGCTGCAAGCTCGTGCCTTATGGGGTAGTCCGACCTCATACCACATTGGTCATATGCATAACCTAGGTTAATAATGTATTTGGATTTCATTTCAGTTTTTTCATCCATATGCAGGGCCGTAGCTAGGGGGTGGCGAGGTGGGCCCCTGCCAGGGGCGCAGGAGAGGGGCACGCGCAAAATCGGCTTTAAATATGTCCAAAATTACATCTATAAATAAAAATATCAATTATTGCCTCATAAGAAAAGGTTTTTAACAGAGGGTGAATTGAATGGGTGGAGGGGTTGGGGTTGAAGGAGAGGCAGAAAGAAGAGCTAATTTTTCCATGGCTAGGGGGCGCAATCTGGACAGTTCTGCCAGGGGCGCAAGATCACCTAGCTACGGCTCTGTCCATATGCAGCGGTTCCTTGCTGCCACCAGAAAGTTCAGGGTTTCAGGCCCCTCCTTGGGGTCAGGCTTAGGGGATTCTCCAGTGTAGCATTTCACAGAGGACTTCCGTCTTGTCCCTAGTGACTCTGAGAGACCCATGGCCGTAAGTGGAAGTGGTGATGACATGTAGCCATAGGTTGCAGAAGTGGTTGTAAGAGTGAGTGTGAACAGGTTGCAGGAAAGTGCGTGCCCTACTGGGGGCATGGCCGTCTGTCATGGATGCTTTAGCTGAGATTCATGCATTGAAATAACTGCTCTTTCCCCCCTTCTGTAGGAAGTTCTGCACCATCATGATGAAGCTGATTGTTTTCGTTCTCTTAGCTGTCTTAATTCCTGCAAAATATGCAAGTGATCAGCAGTCCTGTGGTTATCCATGTATTCCAGAGAGTCAGATTAACCAGAAGATCCAGGAAGCAGTTGATTCCAAAGGTATTTGGATAGGATAATAATAATAATAATAATAATTATTATTATTTATTATTTATACCCCGCCCATCTGGCTGAGTTTCCCCAGCCACTCTGGGCGGCTCCCAATCAAGTGTTAAAAACAGTACAGCGTTACATATTAAAAACTTCCCTGAACAGGGCTGCCTTAAGATGTCTTCTGAATGTCAGGTAATTGTTTATCTCTTTGACATCTGATGGGAGGGCGTTCCACAGGGCAGGCGCCACTACCGAGAAGGCCCTCTGTCTGGTTCCCTGTAGCCTCACTTCTCGCAATGAGGGAACCGCCAGAAGGCCCTCAGCGCTGGATCTCAGTGTCCGGGCTGAACGATGGGGGTGGAAACGTTCCTTCAGGTATACAGGACCGAGGCCGTTTAGGGCTTTAAAGGTCAGCACCAACACTTTGAATCGTGCTCGGAAATGTACTGGGAGCCAATGCAGATCTCTCAGAACTGGTGTTATGTGGTCCCAGCGGCCAGTCCCAGTCACCAGTCTAGCTGCCACATTCTGGATTAATTGCAGTTTCTGGGTCACCTTCAAAGGTAGCCCCATGTAGAGCGTGTTGCAGTAGTCCAAGCGTGAGATAACTAGAGCATGTACCACTCTGGCGAGACAGTTCGCGGGCAGGTAGGGTCTTAGCCTGCGTACCAGATGGAGCTGGTAGACAGCTGCCCTGGACACAGAGTTAACCTGCGCCTCCATGGACAGCTGTGAGTCCAAAATGACTCCCAGGCTGCACACCTGGTCCTTCAGGGGCACAGTTATCCCATTCAAGACCAGGGAGTCCCCCACACCCACCCGCTCCCTGTCCCCAAAACAGTACTTCTGTCTTGTCAGGATTCAACCTCAATCTGTTAGCCGCCATCCATCCTCCAACCGCCTCCAGGCACTCACACAGGACCTTCACCGCCTTCACTGGTTCTGATTTAAAGGAGAGGTAGAGCTGGGTGTCATCTGCATACTGATGAACACCCAGTTCAAACCCCCTGATAATCTCTCCCAGCAGCTTCATATAGATATTAAAAAGCATGGGGGAGAGGACGGAACCGTGAGGCACCCCACAAGTGAGAGCCCAGGGGTCTGAACACTCATCCCCCGCACCACTTTCTGGACATGGCCCAGGAGGAAGGAGCGGAACCACTGTATGACAGTGCCTCCAGCTCCCAGCCCCCCTAGACAGTCCAGAAGGATGTTATGGTCGATGGTGTCAAGGGCCGCTGAGAGATCCAGCAGAACTAGGAAACAGCTCTCACCTTTGTCCCTAGCCCGCCGGAGATCATCAACCAGCCCGACCAAGGCAGTTTCAGTCCCATGGTGAGGCCTGAATCCCGATTGGAAGGGATCCAAATGGTCTGCTTCCTTCAGGCGTGCTTGGAGTTGTTCAGCAACCACCCGCTCAATCACCTTGCCCAAGAATGGTAGATTTGAGACTGGGCGATAGTTGGCCAAATTGGCCGGGTCTAAAGATGTTTTTTAAGAAGCGGTTTAATGACCGCCTCTTTCAGCGAGTCTGGGAAGGCTCCCTCACAGAGGGAAGCATTCACCACCCCGCAGAGCCCATCGCCCAGCCCTTCCCGGCTCACTTTTATCAGCCAGGATGGGCAAGGATCAAGGAGACAGGTGGCTGGTTTCACTTGTCCAAGCAGCCTGTCCACATCCCCGGAGGTAACAGATTGGAATTGATCCCATGTAACAGGACCAGACAGAACTCTAGCACCCTCCCGCCCTGGCCCTGCTCCCACGGTGGAGTCTACCTCCTTCTGAATCTGAGCGACTTTATCTGCAAAAACTTTGCAAAAGCATTGCAGGAGATCTTGGGGTCCCTACCAGGCCCCGGTGGTACAGGTGGTTCCGATAGATTGCGAACCACCTGAAAAAGTCTCCTGCTGCTGTTTTCTGCAGATGCAATGGAGGCGGCGAAGAAGGCCCTCTTCGCCGTCGCCATTGCCACTTGGTAGGCTCAGCGTTGAGCTCTAGCCCGTGTCCAGTCTGATTCAGAATGAGTTTTCCGCCACCGGCGCTCTAGCCATCTCAACGATTGTTTCATTGCCCTCAGCTCCGGGGAAAACCACGGGGCTGTCCGGGCTCCATGCAATCGGAGAGGGCGCTTCGGAGCCAGACAGTCAATAGCCCTGGTTAACTCCGCATTCCAGCATGCCACCAGGGAATCAGCTGAAAGGCCATCAACTTGGGATAAAACATCCCCTACCACTCTCTGGAAGCCAATTGGATCCATTAAGTGGCGGGGGCAGACCATCCGAATCGGTCCCACCTCCCTGCAGAGGGGAAGGGTTGCGGAGAAGTCCAGTTGCACCAGGAAGTGATCTGACCATGACACTTCTTTTGTTTCGCTTTTAGTTAGTGTCATATCACCAACATCCGTAGGCCCCTTTATGATGTTTGAAGCTCTGCGCCCCATTGTCATTCTAAGATTCCCAGTTTCATCCAGGACTGTCTGTTTCTAATTAAAAGTCATAGGACTTCTTTTGAAGATCTGGGAACCCAGGGTTATCACCAAAGTTTTACCCTGAACCATAATCCGATTACTCATACCAGAAAAGTCCTTATATGTTTTTTGTTTTTGCTAGATTAAAGTTTGTTAACGTGAACATCTTCAGGTTCTACTGATATATAGCTTGTACAAGAAATCCAAAAAGATTCATGTGATATCTATAACATGGGAATCAGTCTTGAATCTTGGGCTGGTATTAGGGCAGTGTTTTTAACTATGGGTCTGACAAGCCACTCTTCTCTGCCTGTCGTGTAAGTTCCCACCTTATTTCCATGCCTTCCTGTGAAACATAAACATGAGAAAGGCAAGTGGAATATGACACCTACAGCCCAAACATGAAAGTGTTCAATCATTGTTGCATTTGTCCTCTTCAGTGTAGCCCCTGGCCTGACCTGCTGTCAGAAATAATCCCATGGGAGAATGGGACTTTTGTGGCCTGGAGAGGCATAACACCTATAAACTTGAGGGGGATTTCTGTTGTGGTTAAATATGCACACACACACACACACACACACACACACACACACAATGCATTTAAAGCATCCTCCTCCCAGTATCCCAGGAACTCTATTTTACTTCTCACAGAACTACAACTCCCAGCACCCTTAACAAATTACAGTTCCAAGGATTCTTTTGGGGACAAATGTGTTTTAAATGTGTGTTGTGGTCACACTTCAGATTGATTTCCCTATTGCTTGCAACTGTTTAAATAGCAGGAGGAACAAAGAAAGCATTTTCTATTTGAGCAAGGATGTCATGTAGTATAACCTGAACTCTCATGACTCTTCTTGCAGTGTCCTCTGTCCTGTTGAAGAGCCAGCTGGTTTGCACAGATGCATTTGCACGTGCTGCTGATGCCCACTGCCCTTCAGGTGAGACACTTTGCTGGGAGAGGAGAACAGATTGGGAGGAAATTAGAAGTGGGCTCATGGTGGCCAGAAGGGCAAGAACAGAACTCCCTCTGTGGGTAGATGCAAAACACATTTCCACAAACCTCTGCTTCCTTTGTGCAGATGTCAGTATAAAATATAAGCTCAGAGCTGGAGGCAGCTGGTTGGGTTGCTTAGCTGGATCATTAGCACAGCATGCACTTGCATCTTTACTTGCTGGTGGAAGGACAACAAGGAGGGAGCCAGTCTAACTTCTCTAGGGAGGGATTTCTAAAGTTTGGGAGCAGCCACTGAGAAGGCCCTCTCCTGTGAATTGGACCCAGAAACAGACCAGTGGAGCTATTGTCACAAGGGAGTTGTATGCTCCCTCCATACCATGGCGATTCAACGCTCTGCTGCCTGTCTCTCTAACTTTTCTTTTCCACTCTCAGGTCACAAGGCCACTGGATGTGCCTGTGGAATGGCTTGTGGTTCCTGGGATATTCGTGGTGATACTGCCTGCCACTGCCAGTGTGCCAACATTGACTGGACTTCTGCCCGCTGCTGCAAAGTGGCCATTGTTGGCTGATGGCTCCTTCGCTACCTGTTGGCTGCAGCTTCTATGCTCGATAAATCTGCATCTATAATTTTCTGAACAGTCTCGTGCTCAATTTTTTTTTTATTGACTTAAGAAAATTATACAGACAGCAAAACGAAGAAGCCTCAATTAACATTGCCTTCTACCGATAAGAAATAATAATAACTATTACAATAATGAAAATACTAAAAATACATTTACTTCCCCTTTTGAACTTCTATTCTGGTTACAATATATTACTATTCTATAAGAATCTATTAAATCCTTTGCTGTCCCATATATTATTTTATTTCCCAAATTCAACCTAACCCTCCCCTCCTCCCCACTGCTTCCCTTCACCTGTGTGAGATCTTCCCATCATAATATTTTTTTCTAGTTGCTTTAATAAAATAGAATAACATGAAAACTGTTAAATTATAATTACTTCTTTTGTCCCTACACGCTTAACAATTGCCTATTAAGAGTTCTGCTGAATCTTTTCTTTGTAAGTATCTGGAGTGGCAGCTGTCTGGAGATGAGAAACTGAGTTAGACCAAACAATCCACTGAGCTCAGAACTGTCTACGCTACTTGGCAGTGGCTGCCCAAGGATTCAGGCAGAGGTCAATGCTGTTACTCCAAATGGCTTCACCCTCTACTGAGAGAAAATGTAGGCGGCCCTTGGCAGATTGGGGTTGGGCTGCAGTGCTTCCTGGGTTTCCCAGTGCTTGGGTTGCTGCCAGTTACTGGGAGGGAGAGGGTGGGGCAGTGTGGCCACAGCCATGATGGAACCAATCAGGTTTCTCCCGCTGCTGCATGTGCACCATGCCTACTTCTCCAGCACCTCGCCATCCCCCCTGTTGGTAACCAACAGCGACTTGAGCATTGGGAGGCCAGTGCAGTGCAGACCCACCTCGCAGGGCCCTGCCTACTGCCACTGGCAAAATATTTGTTCCCTATCCAAAGGTCTCCAACTGCAGCACAACTTGGGACACATATGTCAACCCTCACAGTAGTAATGAGGCAGATCTTTATACACACATATGGTATGTTGAGATGGGATAGATGTCATCCTGTAACACAGGGGTCAGCAACCTTTTTCAGCCGTGGGCCGGTCCACCATCCCTCAGACCATGTGGTGGGCCGGACTATATTTTTTGGGGGGAAATGAACGAATTCCTATGCCCCACAAATAACCCAGAGATGCATTTCAAATAAAAGCACACATTCTACTCATGTAAAGATACCAGGCAGGCCCCACAAATAAGCCAGGGATGCATTTGAAATAAAAGGATACATTCTACTCATGTAAAAACACGCTGATTCCTGGACTGTCCGCAGGCCAGATTGAGAAGGCGATTGGGCCGCATCCGGCCCGCGGGCCTTAGGTTGCCTACCCCTGCTGTAACAAATCTGGGATGTACTGCCTATGGAGAGTTTAAAGGGTGGCCTGATATTGATTCTCATATCCCAACAGCTCTTTCTAAGTGCTAAAGAAAAAGAAAAATGCATCCATATCCTGTCCAGAATTATAATGAACTGCTGCTCATCTTGAGACTGGGAACTCAAGAGCTGATTTATGCTTCTGTCAGCCCGGATATGTGGAAGCGAGTTCTTCAGATTATCAGACTGATCACTTCAGAAATAAATTGAGAACATGTTCTGTTCTGTCAAAGACGTATGCCGTCACCCATTTCTACACAATACTTAGAGCCTTCTTCCCACATTATGATGAATGTGCGTAAGGAAGTGGGGGGGGGGAGAGGGCGGTGACCACTTTCCTTGCTCTTCCTATCATGCCCCTTTGACATAACTTGTGAAAGAGCCTATATAGGTACAGACTGCATGTGCAGTAGGAGACCCTGCCTTTCCTTTTGACCCCGATGGCATAGAGAGAGTCCATGGTGGAATCAAGACACATATTTAAAAAAACGCATTGTGAAAATACTTTTTTAAAAAAAAGTTTTGAAAAATATAACGAATTTGCTATAGCTCACCATCACCATCTAGTATTACATTTGCATAATGCACTTTACAACACACTTAAAATGTTTCATTTGCAGCTGTATAGCTGAGTCCCGTATGTAGGAAAGTTTTATTGTGTATGTCAGGTGTAGCCAACATGGTTCCTCCAGATGGACTACAACTTCCATCACTCCCAAGTATTGGCCATGGCTCACAGCATCTGAAGGGCACCATGTTGGTTACCCCATGATGGTGGGTTTTTCCTAGAAATTATGCTGAACATGCATAGGAAGACAAAGAGAGATCAGCAGCCACAATCCCGCTTATTGTAATGTATGAAGAAGACTTGGGTGACAGACTAATGGGGTAGAATTCTGGACTGTACTACCTCACTGTACCTGGGTGAAAGGTGTGTGTTACATTTACGTTGTTTTTCAAACTGAGGGCTCCCTGCCTGAAATACCCCAGTGCCTCAAGGATAGGGCTTTGCTAAATCTTTTTTCCTGATGTGCTACTTTTCTATGGTAAAGGAGCTATGATCATTCTAAAATATATCCATCCTGGGCTGCAACCTGGAACGAGACGCTACAGAAGCCTTTGCTCACATTGATATTTATTGCAAATGTTACAGAGATAAAAGACAGCTATACATCCAGCTGGGAAAGCTTGCTGGGAAATAGGTGTCTTCCATTGTTTCCAGTGGGCACCTATCACATCCCAACGACAATGGCATTCCATGGAACGGGGGAACAGAAAAAGCAGCTTTCCAATCATTTGCATGAACCAGAAGCCATGTCTTGTGGTACACACTTAATTGAACCCTGCTTCCAACTTTGACAGCCACTTTTGAAAAAATTAAGAACGAGGTGGGTGAGTTCCCAAATCAACTTCCAAAATGCTGCATTATTGGTTTTTAAAAAACAAACAAAACAAAACCCTTGAGAGGATATATGAAGGAATACCATGAAGCAGATGCATATTGAATACTATATAAAATGGCTCTCAGAGATGGACGAAAATGTTACACAGGCTGTAAGGGAAAACAGCCTGCCTTTCTCTTGCAGTTTGGCAGTGTTAATCTGACATGTTTTTCATATAAGTACCTTTGGAGAGAAATGAATTACCATTCTGAGCAATTGCAGTCCATGGCACCTTCCCGACACTTGCCAGACTAAGAGCTGCAATTGCATGAAAATAACTCTCCATTAGTAGTGAGCTTTGCTCCCTTCCCAGTGCCCCTGCTTCACATTCCAGGCTGTAGCAGCTACTGGGGGACCTCAGCACCTGAGAGTAATTGTGCTCTGAATTGAGTAACCTTTCCCCTGCAGTTGCAAAGCAACTGGGTCAACAAGTTTTACAACAGCACAACTCTTACGTACTCTAAGCGCTGATGACTCCATATCCTTTTTATTTCTGAAATGTCTTTTTTTTATGCCAGTCAAGTTTTACATTTGCATGCGAACATGTACAAAGCAATCCACTTTGAATTATTCATCTTCACACTTGCCATGCCTTTCACATTCTCTCATTACAACACAGAATCTTAATAAGCAACAAATAACAACTAAATTAGCTTTCAAACAGCAACACAAACTGAAAGATGAAGCCTAAACCAAATGTATATTTGTGGAATTCAAGAAGGAAGACCAAATGTGTATATGTTTTGAAAAACTGCATGCTCGTTTTCACGTTTTCATGTTTCTACTTCTTGCACCTGATTTTGATATGTCAATGCAGTGTGTCTTCCATAACCTTCATAGCAGATATTGCTAGCTTAAAAAATATTTTTTTTCATGTTTTTCTTCATCTTCAAGATTTGGATTATTAGTATCAAGTATCTGTTGCCATGTGCATCTACTCAAAAGAGATAAAAGGGGGAAAGCCATAACTCAGTGGTAGAACATCTCCTTTGCATGCAGAAGCTCCCAGAGTTGGTTCCTGCCATCTCCAGGAAGGACTGGGACTGTCCCTGTCTGAAACCCTGATTTCCTGTTAGTCAGTTGTAGTGGTTCTAGGGGTTGCTCGTGCGTAAGCCGGTGCAAACACCTGGCTGGGTTGCCTGAGTGAACCTTTTCTGTCCGGACAGCCACTCACCCGTGGCTGTCTCGATCGCTGGCAGAATCCGTCAGTAGGCGTTTCTTAAACTTCTTCCAGCAAAGAAGCTCTTTGACCCCTAGTCTCCTCCTACTCTCTCTGCGCGAAAGCCTTCTGCGCAAGGAGGGCGTAGGCAGCGGAGGACCTCTACTCTCCCCGCTGGTCCCCGGCAAGGAGTCATGGGACCGCCTCGCCGCTTCCCCCATCTGCCCCCCTTCTCCACTGGTGCTACGCTGATTCTCTTCCCCAGAAGATGGGCTGCCTCTCCCAATCCCGGGACGCTCTCTGGAATCCCTCTGGATTTTGCTCTCTCCCTCCGGCACTGATGGCAGTTCCCTGACATCAGTGTATATGGACCAATGTTTTGACTCAATATAAAGCAGCTATCCTACGTTCCTAAAAGTAAGCCCTATTGAATTCAATTGTGCTTACACCTAGGAACCAGGGCATAGGACTGTTAAGTGTAATTGTTTAATTGTACATTGAAATGGACAAAAATATATTTATATGCTCTGTATGTGTATTGCTAAAGTGGCATGGAAAATTCCACTGAGCTAAACTAAAGAGCTCTCTGAGCACCCAGTGGATTGATAATTAATTTAGGATGTATCTCTGCTAGCTTTCATGTGGTGTTTAACCTTAGATCACATGAGTAAGGTATGCAGTTGCAAATCACTATTATGAGGGAGCTTTTGTTCTGAAGCCACCGAAGACAAAGGTGACCAAATGTGCCTCTCCTGAAAAAAGCTCAAGGCTGTAATTAAGGCTATGGAGAGAGACAGACCTTTGATTTCAGGTCTGTTTGGAGTTATTTCATATTTGTAAGAAGCTGAACCTGTGCTTGGATAAGCACATGATTTTATGCAACTATTCGGATATCTCATTCTTTCTTCATGTTTTGGAACAAGTTCTGTTGTTAAAGCTTTGAAAATACTTTGTATTTTGGGTCTGGACAGTTTTTATGCTGAGGAGTCAGTTTTTATTCAACCTATTGCTTCAAGCTGTGCAGTATTAATATCTGCAATAAGGACCGCAGTCTCAGTTTCACTTTAGATTTGGATTTATTTATTTTTACAGCAAAGATAAATATTCATTTATTTAAAATTCATGTCTAAGGCTTAATGACTGCCAGAAAGGAGAAAACCACAACTCCTTGGAAGAATTCTATTCTTCCCTATTTCTGCTTTTAAGACCCTTGCTCTAAATCCAGAGATGGACATTCACACACATTCCTTGACTAAGTTTGCTCATTAGCTTCCTTGGTCATTGTGGTTACAATGACAGAAAGTATG